TGTATACGCAAGCATACTGACAACAACAACCAGAACCGCCGCTACTGGGACACCACCATCTCCGGCGAACCCATCCGGCCCAGCCGCACCAGCATCCTCGAAACCATCAACAAAGTAACCCAAAACCCGCCCAAAATCGCCGCCAAATCCACAACTGGCCGCATTTCGGGCTTCTTCCTCAGCTTGAACAGTTTTGCCTGGCACCATCCCATCCTTGCCGTATTCGGTACGATTGGTCTGATACTCGCAGCATTACTTGGAGGCAAGAAGATGAGGAGGAGGAGAGGGAACGCGGCGTACTTCCAGCTTGGTGAGAAGGACGGGCTGTTAGGCGGTATTGGCAGCGGCAACGGAGCGGCGAAGCACGACTAGATGGATGTGGTTTTGCTTTTGGCGTTGGAGGAAGGGCAACTGTACCATACGCTTTACATGAGATGCGTGGAAGCATTTTGCGCGGCGTACAGGTTGAGTTTTTGATACCTCGGTGGTCATATAGGGGCCTGCAAATGAAAGAATCACGGTTACTGTATTGCCTCTTGCCTGTTGTTGTTTTCTCGCAAAACGCAGTCATCTTGCCAGTTGCCGTACAAGTGGACTGAGAAATGTATGTCCGCCCGTTACAGACTGCGGCTCGACGTTCGTGGTTGCTTTTGGCGTACAACTGACTTAGGGGCCCTAGGTAACCGAATGGGCTTCCATGGAACGTGGGCAACATTCCAACTGCATTGAAAGTACCGCTACAGTCAACAGGGAGGTTTCATTGGGCTGTAGTCAAGACTCCATGATGTAATTGTAGCAGCACATGCATCGTTGGCGTGTCGTTGTTGCTAGGAAATCGTCGTCTGTTTTGGGTATCTGCAAAGCCATCTGCTCCTGGACGTATCAGGACGTAGCACTTGCTGCGCCCTCCTCAACCAGCTAAAGCGAAAATCCTTGCCAGCACATCATCATCACTCGGTCCCTCCCCCTTGACCTTCCCATACGCTGGCGCAAGAATCGCCTTCTCGATCTCCTTGTACTTGCCTTCACACACAAACACCACATCGCCGTGCCTCTTCCCGTCCACAAACAGGTACGCCGCTGCCCTCGCAACGACATCTGTGGACTGCGCATCGTAGTCCACAGCTTTCAACAAATCATCCAAGCCGGGGAGGACTTGTGTTGCGGTCCAGCTAGGCGCGAGACTGTTCACGCGGATGGGTAGGGAGGAGGCCTGGAGGAGGACGGAGAGACCGCGGCCGAAGCCTAGGACGCCGGATTTTGCTGTGGCTATTAATTTGTTAGTCTCAATTTCTTTATGCTGGGTTGAGTTTGAAGGTAGGGGAGGGGGAGGGGGACGTACAGTAGTCAATCGCCCGTACAGGGTGTAGAGAGGTGGAAGATCCCATTAGTACGATGCTTCCCCCTTCCTTCTGCGTCTTCATGTAGTGCACAGCTAGTGTCGCGGTGTTGATCACGCTGTTCAGGTTCACATCCAGAGTCGCTGTGTTCGGCTCTACCAGCTCGCCTAAGGCATCTGTCTCGAGCGCGAGATAGTTCGCGCGCGGCCCGATCCCTGCGTTGGCGAAGACGAAGTCAATGCGGCCATGTGCGGCGATTGTGGATTTGAAGAGCGCGGTGAGCGAGGTCCACTGGCTGACGTCCGTTTGCACGAAGACGAAGAGCCCGGGTGTTGGGGGTGGATTGATGTCCGCGCTGATTACTGTTGCGCCTAGGGAGCCGAGGAGGGAGACTGTTGCGAGCCCGATGCCTGAGGAGCCACCTGTGGTTTTTGGTGAGTTTGTGACTTGGTGGGGAGAGATCCGGCTGGAGGGTACCTGTGATGATGGCGACTTTACCCTCGAACTTGGATCTGGAGAGGTCAGAGTCTGTGATCTGGAAGTCTGTCATGTTGGGTAGTAATTTGTAGAGTGTAAAAGACAAAATCTCGGTTTTGAATGTTTAAGAAGAGCAGCGCTGAAGGGGCAGCTCTCCAAACATAGCAATGATTCGGTCCACGATGTGTGGATCCGGAGCTACTGCCTCTACCGCGACAACACGCTACCTTTGCGTGCGTGGTGACATGGGCACATGTTACCAGAAGAGGCGGCTGAGATCTTGATACTAGAGATGCATGCAGGGTCCAGGTGCGGAGCTTGGAGTCCAATCATACCGTGTGACACAATGGGTCTGGTGGTTGCATGCAGGGTGCCTGTGAGGCTTCGTAACTCTTGAGATCGTGCTCCATTCGGGAAACTCCAAAGAGGTAAGGTGCAGCTATCGTGAAATTGCTAACCGTTAGAGCATCCTTGTTCGGCCAGGCCACGATGGAGAGAGTGGTCCGAGAGTGTCTCTAGACTTGCTGATGGGGCCGAAGAGGAGGTATCTCGGAAAAAGCCGTGTACAATTTGCGGTGCTGATTCAGTCAGCTCGACAAGGTGATCGTCCTTGTCATAATCGAACAGACACTTAGTAGCAATTGCTCTCGTGGAGCCTAACAGCCGTTGTGGTGAGATGGGAGCTCGACGGTTGTTTCGGAGGCGGGTAGGGCCGCAGAGCTGCCGTTTAGCGTGGCACTCAATCATTGATCTGACCACAAGAGGACTGGACTTCAAAGCTGCGGTGAACGAAGGATCTCGACCCATCAACAATTTGAGCAACGTCTTGCCGCTAACATTTCCGTGCTCAAGCCAACATGCACGTTCTCGTACACGAGTGGTACACTGGATGCGGACAACGAACTAACCATGTACCAACTGCCCAGTCAAGATGACAATGGCTCCTGCCGATCGCAAACCTCCTGGAGGAGGTGCGTCTTCACGTGGCGAACATCACACATAGCAAATCCCGGCTAGACAGCGGATTGCACTTCCGGAGCCCATACAAGGCCTCGTAAGAGCAACAGCAACACGACATCATTGCACACAATCTATTCAACCCTTAGCGAAAATTGAGTCTCTCTCCAGACTCACTGCATATTGTACACTCTGATTGCACCATGACTCTGCACCATGAAGCTGTGCACAGGGGTCGAAAAAGCCGTTACAGGTATCGGTCCTAGCGCACCGTTGATCGAGCTTGTCTTGAGCAGGACCTGACAGGTTGGGATGGGGCATTGGACCCGTTCGTGTCAGAAAAACGTTAAGCCTTCCAGGATCATTAAGCAATAAGAGCAACGCGCCACCGAATCCTTTCTCATCGACACCTCGTCTTCTTGTTCTGGAGTCTGCGTTGTCATTGTCGAGTGAGAAAGTACGGTCGCAGTGGTTGCTGAGCCGTGACTTTTTTGTGCTGAGCGATGAATACCGTGTCAGTAGCCGGTGATGGTGTGGCGCTTCTGTACGCCGCAATTATACTGCTAGTCTTGACTTGGGTTACGGTCTCTATGCGGGTTTGTGTCCGAATTTGGCGGAAGGTCCTCGGTATGGACGACTACCTGATGGTCGTTGGGCTGGTATGTGTACAATCGACCAAAACTACTGAACGTCGAAGTAATGTTTTCAGATTCTGTTCTCTGTAACGGCCTGCCTCTGCATAGTCTCTTGCTTCTATGGCTCTGGTCAGAAGGCTAAAGTCTTACCGGCTCTTACGATCTCGAAAGGGATCGAGGTACGTCACTCCCTTGATCCATCTCCTGAAGACCCAAGGCTGATTGTTGAAGACTTTCTACGTTGCGGAATATTTCTATGCCGTCGGTGCCGCAATAATCAAATGCAGTATTTCTGTAACTCTCCTTCGCATCGCCGCCTCCCAGCGCCGCTACAATTGGTCCCTATATGCGATCATGGGCTTGACATGCGTTGCTGCCATCGTCTTCTGTGCCGGTATAGCCAGTATATGTAAATCACCTTCCTACACTCGTTCTCGTAAACAATAACTAAAGGATGGGCAGGCCAACCAATCGAGACACTATGGGGCGAGGCCAAGGGTAGCTGTAACCTCCAGCTAAACAGCAACGTCAGCTTCTTCTTCTCAGCAATCGAGATCCTGACAGACTGGAGCCTGGCCATCCTGCCCGCCATCTTGTTATGGAACGTGCAAATGAAGGGCAGCGTCAAGACTTCAGTAGCTGTCATTCTCGCTCTGGCCTCAGTGTAAGATCTTCTACCCTCTTTTCAGTAGCACCACTAACGCACCATCAGTGCAAGCTGCGCAACAATTGTCCGCCTCAGATACCTCGCCCTGTACAGCGACGCCGGAGAATTCATGTACAGCACCGGCAAGATCGGATTCTGGTCACTCATGGAAGAAGGCATCGGCATAGTCGCCGGCTCTCTACCCGCTCTCCGCCCCTTGCTATCCCTTAGAGTCGGATTCAGCTCCAGCATGAACACGCCCGGTGCTGCAACATCGGGCAGGTCCGAACCCTTGAGCAGAAACAAGCATGCCAGATCGCGCTCAGGGGTAGTGATGATGGATACGTTTCAGACGCTTGGGGATGGCGATGAGGTCGAGCATGATGATGGGGATAGTCAGAAGAATATCGTCAAGGAAACCAAGTATGTGGTGACGTCGAGCTATGTCGCTGTTAGCGAGGAGCGGGTTAAGAGCCAGGTGCTGGGTTGGGAGCAGGCGTTGAAGACTTGATATCCGAAATTGAGAATATCAATTTGAAGTATAGTTGGCGAACCACAGCGAACGCAAAAGGTGAATAAGAGGAGATCAGAAAGCGTAGTCGTTACAGCAAGCAACGAAATTCGACGTGGAGACTCACGTGTTCTCGCGCGATCCTGAACGCGTGCCCCACCATACCTTCTGCCCCTCCAATCACAAACTACACCGCCATCTCCCCCAGGTCATGCGCCGCAGCTCACCTCGAACCCTCCTCCAGATCAAATTGGTCCAATCCAGTCCACAGTTACTTCCTCTCCATACCCAATCGAAAACATACAAGTCGCCTCACCTCCGCGACCTTCACAAAAACGCGCCTGCCCTTTACACTATTCGCGCAACAATGTCAACCATTAGCCTTACAGACCTGCAATACATCTCCCGCGAAACCCTCGCCCAGAAATTCTCCTCCACCCAATCCCTTCCCTCCAACACAGCCATAATCGACGTCCGCGACAGCGACCACATCGGCGGCCACATTCGTGGAAGCACATGGATACCCAGCTCACAGCTGGACTACAAAGTGCCCGAGCTAGTACGCACACTGAAGGATAAAGAAGTCGTCATATTCCACTGCGCGTTGAGTCAGCAAAGGGGACCGAGCGCGGCGTTGAGGTATTTGAGGGAGAAGGAGAGGTTGAAGCCGGGGACGGGGGTTGAGTCGAAGGGGGAGGTCAGGGAGGAGGGGGTGGGGAAGATTGAGGAAGGGAAGGAGGAGGTGGAGGAGAAGGGCGCCTCTGCGGAGCGGCAGAGGGTTTATGTGCTGAATGGTGGGTTTACGGAGTGGCAGGAGAAGTATGGGGAGGATAGCAAACTGACGGAGGGGTATCAGAAGGATATTTGGGAGTTTGGGTATTGAGTGGTTTGAGAAGGGTGCGCGTGTACGAGATGTCTGGGATCTTATGGAGCGCTCGGGAGCAGCACAAGGTGGGACTGAAGTGGTGTTAGACGCCTCTTGACACAAAGAGCCAGAATGCTCAGGGGTGCGCTGCGGGCCGTCACGGTATCCTCGTCCTGAGGCACAGGCATTAAAGCCATTTTATCACGCTCTGCGAGAGACTAGCATTGGAAGAAAGGAAAATTACCAGCAGCATATGCGGGCGAAATTTCGAAGTGAAATACTTGTTAAATTCATAGCAGTACATATATACAACGACACAACCCAACGCCAGCTCGAACAAAGCAGCAGTCTCTTGACCGCATCGCTAAACGCACATCTCAACACCTACAACTTGCTTCCACCACCAAGCAGCTCTGCACCAGCGCCCGAGATAGCAAGTTTGCCCGTCTCCTTCACCTTAGTCTGGAACGTGACCGTATTACCCGTCTTCCACATCTCAGTAACAAGCGTCTGCCCCGGCAGCACGACACCCGCAAAGCGGACCTTGATATTCTTGAGCGGCCCAAACTTCTGCAACACGTGCTTACCCGAAATGCCAAACGAGCACAGTCCGTGCAGGATCGGTGTGTCAAAGCCACCGACCTTGCTGAACTGCGGGTCGATGTGCAGAGGGTTAAGGTCGCCCGAGAGACGGTAGATAGCGGCCTGCTCTTCTGTCGTCTTCTCCTCGACAACAACGTCGGGCGCGCGCTGAGGCGGCTTGTGCGCCTTTGTCGCTGCGCCGCGGTCGCCGCCCTTCTTCTGACCGCCGAAGTTTCCGCTGCCACGGATGAAAACGGTGGACTCGTTATAGAAGATCTCCTCGCCAGTGTTGGCGTCCTTGGTCACGGAGCCGTATACGACCAGCCCGGCAGCGCCCTTGTCGACGACTTCGACGAGTTTAGGCACGGCGACGAGCTTGGCTTCTGTGGGGATGGGGAATTTGCGGATCTCGAGGAATTGCTCGCCGTGCAGAAGCATGCGCGGGTCGAAGTTGGGCACAATGTCGTCGAAGGAGAAGGGTGGTTCGGCGTTGAAGGGAGGAATCACACCGAATGTAGGGATGACTTGGAAGTTCTCGTCGCCCTCGTATACGAAGGGGAGATCTGTACGCTTGGCGCCGATACCCAGGTCTGTTGGTTGTCAGTATTATGTAGGTGCGATTTGGAGGCTGTTGGGCTTACTGTAAAGAATGACGTCCCTCTCGGTGTACTCAAAAGGAGTGCCTTGCGACTTGGCAGCCAGAGCTGTCTGCTGAGCCTTGAGAATCTCCTCGTTGCTCTTGGATGAGTTCTTCTCCTTCGTGCTCTTCTTGCTGGTGTTCTCCATGTTGGCCATGATCGACTTGAGACCACTGGCATTGTCGTAAGGGTTGTCGGCACGACCATCGTCGAAGTTGGTAATGCGATCCCATTGTTGGAGAACAGCTTCAGGAGTGAGCTTGACGTCGACAGGGAAGCCGTGGCCACCAGTGCGCTGCCACCTAGTAGCAGCGAACCAACCAGAGCCCATCTCGTAGAGGCCACCAGTTGGTACGGGAGCCTTGTCAGAGACGAGCAGGATGACGAGGGGTGCGTTGTAGTCGGGCTTGAGGGCCTGGACAACCTCCTCAGGCATGATGGAGCGAGTCATCTGTGTACCAGCGTTGGGAGCAACGGTGTTGACAAAGATGTTGTTCTTCTTGCCCTCAAGGGCAAGGGACTTGGAGAAACCAAGGATACCGCACTTGGCCGAGGCGTAGTTGGCTTGGCCGAAGTTTCCGTAGATACCACTGGTAGAAGTGGTGTTGAGGATACGGCCGTACTTCTGCTTCAGCATGTAGGGCCAAGCAGCCTTTGTAACAGAGTAGGTACCGAATAAGTGAACCTTGTGGATGATGTCCCACTGGTCATCGGTCATGTTGGCAAAGGCCTTGTCGCGAAGAATACCGGCGTTGTTGATGACGATGTCGACGCGACCCCAGGTGTCGATAGCTGTCTTGACAACAGCCTCACCGTCCTGGACATCAGCCTTGTTACCGACAGCCTGACCACCGAGCTTCTGGATCTCCTGAACAACATCGTCAGGGTTGACGAGATCGTTGATGACAACCTTTGCGCCACGCTTGGCCAGCTGGAGCGCGTAGATACGGCCGAGACCAGCACCACCGCCGGTGACAATGGCGACCTTGCCTGAGAAGTCGAGCTCCTCACCCTTGGGGTTGGCAGGAAGCTTGCCAGCCTCCTCGAGCAGCTCAAGAGCATTGGCAGGGCCTTGTGGGTGCTCTGGCTTCGAGAAATCGACGACATCCTTCCACTTAGCTGCAACAGCACCGGGTGTAAGGGTCTCATCAGCCTTCAGGTGAACACCGTTGGCTCGCTCCCAGCGCAACTCAGCAATGTGGCCTCCACCAGCTTCGAATATCGCACCAGTCTTGGTGTTCGACTTGTGTGTAAGGACGGCGACGAGAGGAACGATCCACTCAGGCTTCAGCTTCGCGAGGACATCTGGAGGCATGACGGTCTCGGTCATTCGGCTGGCTGCGATCGGGGCGATGACATTGCAGAGGATGTTGTACTTCAGGCCCTCCTTTGCAAGAGTCTCGGTGAAACCAACGAGGGCAAGCTTAGCAGCTACATCATTCATTAGCACGTAGATCCAGTCCTTGCTTTTCAAACTGTACATACCAGAGTAGTTTGTCTGGCCAAAAGAGCCAAACAAGCCAGCAGCGGAAGCGGTGCTAATAAGCCTTCCATACTTCTGTTTCCTGAAGTGCGGCCATGCAGCTCTTGCGCACTTGTATGCACCGAGAACGTGGACCTTGTAGATGAGGTCCCAGTCCGCCTGCTTCATGTTCTTGAAGCTGACATCTCGCAGGATACCAGCATTGTTGATGAGGATATCAATGCGCCCAAAGGCATCGATTGCGGTCTTGATGATGTTCTCTCCATTCTCGACAGAGTCGTAGTTGGCGACCGCGTTACCACCTGCGGACTTGATCTCCTCAACGACTTTGTCTGCGGCCTGTGGGTCTGATTAACGGTTGCTCTCTCATACCGAATCGTGGAGTATGTGACAATGAGGCGGCTGCGACCTGATGTGAAGTCGCGGTCAAGCTGTCTCGAAGGTTGCTCTAAATGCAGAGCTCGATTGCACTGGGAAATGACAAAGTGTGCAAACTTACCGATGAGCTGCCGCCCTCGCCCTTGAAGCTTCCACCGAGGTCGTTCACAACGACATTCGCGCCGCGGCTGGCGAAGAAGATCGCATACTCGCGACCTAGACCACCGCCAGCACCAGTCACAACAACGGTCTGGCCGTCATATCGCAGTTCTTGCACACCGCTCATGATGTGCGGTTTCCTTATTAACGAGAAGAGGTGGGTATAGCTCTTCAAGAGGTCCGCTATAGATGCGGAGAGCTAGAACCGAATGACGTTAGTTGCTAGCTATGTATGGGTATCAACAAAGATCCCAAATGATGTAAAAGTGTTGATGTGGGAAGGGAGGAGGAATGTGCGGGGAGAGAGTATATTACGGATGCGCCAGCTGAAGCCAGAGTCGTGGTTTTGAGCTCATCTCGTTCACGCGGCCTCCCGAGGTGCAAGCTGCCTCGGCACTTCGAATCGTGTGGAGATACACGTGACGTCCACGGTGTCTGGGGTAGCCGCAGTCCGCCCGTTCGCTCGATGCCGTCACACATTGCCGACATGTGAAAATCAGCTCAGGGTCTTTTCACTGTCATGTGCTGCCAAGAGAGTATGGACTGTTGTATGGTGCTAATGCCTGGTGCCTTCTGAGTGTTATTGTGAAGCATGTTGCCGTTAGTCTACCCTCTTGCTGTGAACTGAACAAGGGAGGGGATTCTAGCGAGTCGGTGCTCCTGGGCGCTCATTGGAGGAGAGAGTTTCCGACAGAGTAGCCATTGAATGTTCACAAGGCCTTCACCTTAGATGGTGGAGGAAGGGTATGTCGTTCTGCTCAAGATCATGATCGACGAAAGCAAAGCAATGTAATGGATGGCAATTGCTGCAACCCGTCACAACGCATCACAATTACGGATGCATTGGAACTGAACACTGAAGATGATAAATCGATACTGTGCTATGGTAAGCCTCGGCGGTTGTGCGTACTATTAATTCAAATTTTTCGACCTGAGCAAAAGTCCCGAACATCATCACTCAGCCTTACACTTTTTTAGTCGTCCCTGTCACTGCCTTACTCCTCTCCTATGTAGCCACGATTACTCGTCCATCGATTTGTGGCATTCAGTCGCGAAGAATGCTGGTGTCATCGATGCACCATTCGTTGCGTCGATCCTTTCTTGCACCATCCGAAGCGACACCACACGGTCTCCTCACCGAGGGGCTTTGGTGAGACTGGATGTACGGCTGTGCTCCCCAGGAAACGTACTGACCTTGGAGCATGTGCAGCTTGAGTGCAACTACAATCTGACCAGAGCGCACAAACGCGTGCAAAGGCGCTCCCAAATACACGAAGCGAGAGAAGTGCATGATGCAGATCGGAATCGACCCGAGAATGAGCGGCGAGCGGATCAGCCAGGAAGGTTCTGTTGGGACAACTGTGAGGCATGGCGAAGGACATATGCACAACAGCAACGTCGCTGATTTGCAGCCGGGAGCTGCAACGGATATTGGTGTGAGAACTAAGAGCTGTCGTTGGGTCAAGATTGCGTTCCTTGATCGTTGAAGCTGCCTCAAAGAAGACGTGCAAGGCTATCCTACACAACTTGGATCAGTAGCGAGCACGCATAGCTCGGGTAAAGTACAGTCTCGCGCATATAATAAGAAGCACTGCATAGAAGGACAAAGCATCTATGCAGCAGCTTTGACAGGTGTCACTGCACGTGGCCCTGAGCATAGCGTATCGGTGCTTGCCAAAATATATGGAACCCCCTAAGTCTGGTAGTCCATGTTCCCTACTTCATATGGAAGCGAGAGCTTCCGAGTGGCTGTATATCTTTGATTCGACAGATGTGACACGCTGGTCGACCACTGCAGGACATGCACGTGGATAATGACCACTCACAGACTTGGCCGCACAGCAAAACCACGGTGCGCATGTACTGTCTGTATCACGGTCCCGAATTCAGGGGGACCATACTTTTTGGCAATCATTATACTACTCTAGACTCCTGTTACCCGAGCATGTAAACTCTGCATGCTTGACGTGCATTCATCTGAAGGGTACTGTCAGTCTTACAGGCTCTGTGTCCTCATTGAAATTTCACTCCTCAAAAAATCATTGTATGCTTGTTGTTCCGCGAGTCGATGTTGATGTGCAACATAGCCAGGTGAAGCGAGTTTGAAGACGCCATGCGTGGGGTCAATGCCGGTGACTGCTCTCCGCCGGTTTCTGTGCCACACCTGAAGATGTGGTTTGCCAAATACAGAATTATGCAGTTTTTGCGCTGATAAGCTTTCCTGTCGAAGTGGGGCCACGGTAGCTGAGACTTCTGTGTGATCTTGCGTTTTTGTTTGCAGCCCAGACTGACAGAGAGGTGTAGAGCTTGGCAATATCGCTCTATAGCAATTTTTGATTCGAGGATTACCCTTCGAAGATGTTCTCGTTTTCTCGAAGGTGCCTCTCGGCATACCTAATCTAGACCGTCGGCCAATTTCGATACGAAAGACGCATGCTACCGTTGAAGTTTGTCGCCGGGGTGTCGTACATATCAAATGCTCTAGTCTCAGCTCGGACCCCTCTGCTTCACCGCTACAGTGTGACGGAGGACGATTCATGAGGCGCTTGATGAGGAGAAGACGCTCACGGGACCATGCAATGTCTGCTCTGTTCGGCTATACCGCCCGCTTCATTCTCTTCTTTTGTTGGAGTCAAATTGCTGCGTAAAGATAACTTGCAGCAATGCATCGATCCGTAGTCGCAACCTTGTGCAACTGGACGATGACGGTTGGACCAGCATAGTGTCTGGAGGCGGAAATTGTAAGCGATGTTGACCAGACTGGTCATTGCATCCCAGGCCCATGTCAGCGGTATCTTTACTGGCAGACTCTTGACGGGATCAACCGCCTTGGACCAACGCCGTTGCTACGTTCCCGCAGTTCGATCCATTTCTAGATAGCTTAATGTTTGAGATTGCGTAACCGATCAAGCGTGTGTGAAGCTGTCGCCCACAGGTGTTGGGGACACACTTCGCCAATCGCAGTAATCCATCCTCCCGAGACCGCCAGCTTCGTATGCCAGTCCGGGGCTCAAACGTAGTCAAATCTCCCCCTTAGCAGTCGTCCAATAGGACAAATAGAATAAGCCTTACACTGCGGCGCAGATCCCTTTCGCGTTCTTGATCGCTGACTTCCGTGGACAAGCCGGAGTTAGGCTCCTCGAGGCCTCTGAATGGCTGGATGCCCTGACAAGCCTTACAAGATTCACCTCGTGTACACATGACGTTTCGGGGATCGGAGGCGCGAGCACAGCAATCTTGCTCGTTGTTGGGTAAAAATTCTTTGTGGGTGACAGCTCCCTTCTTCCTTCAAATTGACAGCGGGTTTCGTAATAAGCGGACTGCTGTCGTAGGGCTTCGTAGCTAACAAGCATTCCGTCATAGCACTTTCTACTAGACATTTTCGATCCACATTGGCCTTGGAGCGGGCAGCAGCGTACAATAAGGCCGAACAGCCTACCGGTTGATTTGGTCTTGAAGCAGACCGGGCATCCACAAAGTGACTAAGTCGCATAGTCCCGCACTCGACTTCGTAATCAAGTTCCTATTTTTCGGCCTCCAGTAGCACGAAACAAAGGAGATCCACGTTGAACACCTCTCACCCTTTTCCATACGGTACCAAACCTCATCATCTGCCTCCAGCGATAGCGATAGCACTATCGCCGAGTTGAAACCATCGTCAGTCGCGCTATAAGTAAGTTGATGAACCATTAGGTTCACGCATCAAGACGACATCAACCAAGCCCGCCATCCGGTTCCTCCTGGGCACTTACAGCAGGCGTTGGCAGTCGAAAGCAGCCCAAGTACTCTTCATCCTTCCAGGCAAGGCCGGATTGACCGGGTCTCGGGAGTATTCGATTCAAACAGGACCTGACCTACAATGGATGATGACTTTCAGTGTGTCACCGTACATGGACGGGTATTCCAAAAGATCTCGATCGACAACGGTATATACTGCGTTCCGGTGGCCAACGACGAGCTCGAGGAAGATAGGTTGACGGCTCAGCATGATGTGTTGTTCAAGCTGTTCGGAAATGCTCTTTTCTCTCCCTATATGAGGATCAGAGATCCCCGAAAGATACTGGAGTGTGGGTATGGTGGTGGCGACTGGTCTGTACAGTGTGCCGAAGAGTTCGAAGACTGCGAGGTGCGTATGCGAAACGGTCGTATCAACTGTTGCTGACTGTGTGAGGTGACTGCCGTTGATGTTTACCCCATGCTTATCGCGGACCAGCCAGACAATCTCAATCTTTGCGGCTACAACCTGAACGACCGCCTCAACGATCCTGAAGTCTTCCAAGCTAGAGCCTACGACCTTATTCACTCTCGCTGCATCGGTGCGGGTATCAAGAGCAACAGGTGGACATCGTACATCCGAGATATGAAGCTGCTACTCCGGCTAAATGGATGGATTCAAATTGTTGAGTACTACCTTAACATTCAGTCGAGCAGCGGGAGATTGACGGATCAGTCGGCGGTAAGAAGATGGTGGCTGGCATATGCAGAGGCCATGAGTCGAATGAATCGCGATCCCAGGATTGGCACTCAGCTACAGAGTCTCTTCAACGAAGCAAGTTTGAGAGACGTTCGAGTCGAAACTATACAGCTGCCGATTGGCGACTGGGAAGCAGGTGATTGGTACCCCGTCGTTCCACCGACTCTCCTTTCTTGATCGGTACCGCCGAACTCGAGGTGTCGGCTCGAAAGATTTTGCACGCACAGAGTGAAAGGTGCTAACAACCTTGGCAGATCCAGTCAAATCCAGTGTCGGTAGAGACACCGTTGGGATGATGGGCGATCTTCTCGAGTCGCTCAGCCTCTGGCCCTTGACACAGCAACTCAACTGGACAGCCGCACAGTTCACTCGACTCATTAATGAAGTTCGCACAGAATTGCAGAACAACGAGCTGAAGTTGTATGTTCCCGTGTAAGTATGAAATGCCATCCCGGTTGGGACTGGATCTGATGATCACATAGGTACGTGGCTTGCGGCCGCCGCAGTGGATAAGGGATAGTAGACTCGGTCGATCGCGGACTGTCAATAATGGTTGTGTAAATCGGCTTGGCGGTGAGTCGAGGCTGTGCGCTACATGAGCGATGGCGATGTTGCTGTTACTGAAGTTTGTTGAGTCCTTTCAGGTAGCCCGTCAAAGCAGACATTTAGACACCACACGCTGCTAGTAGCCGTTTGCAGTACCCTAGCTGCTTGTCAGACCCTTTCACACGGATGTGCTGTTGATGCCGTTGCCACCTCGAGAATTGTCTGGTGCAGAGATAACATGACAGTTGACGCCCCGCAGTCTCAATAGGCCGAGCGACATGTTCTTAGACCAGACTGCCCCATCGATGGAAGTTTTACAACAAGTTCGACAGTTGCTGCAGATTGGGATCTCGCTCAGTATCAAGTAGATGACTCACTAAGGCAGCCTTCACAGAGGCCAGATTAGCGGTTCATCGGTACAGGTACCCAAGTTCTGCTCTGGGTGAGGTTTGGAAGAGATGAGACTGCCCTGCACGGTCCTGAAGGTACCTGGGGCTGATAGTGATCAGCTCGGTGGCGTCCCAGCGATTCAGTGCTGCGACGGTCTGAGCGAGCCCTTGGGTGCCCCTCTGACTACGGATCTAGGGTGGAGAGCACGACTGACAAGATACTGGAGGCGAGAAGAGAGGATCAAAGCTGGACGGGAATTTTGAGGGTTGTGCAGAGAACCTGCGCGGATGCGACCCTTCCCGGGACGAGGAAGGAACGGCCACCACTCACGTCGAAAGACAAGCTCGCGCTTCCCTCACGTCTCCAACCGGCACAAGCGGGCACAAGGAAGCTTTGACAAGTCTCTTCATCTCACTGGTTGGCATCTGAAGCCTGCAGGAAGCCCTCGATACCGACAGGCTGGTACCGAAGCAATCTGCTGTGAGGAATGGCGCGTTTTTGCCATTCGACATCCTCCCTTCAAGAGCTAGCAGAAGTTTCATTTCACCGGCAGGCGCTATGCTCAAGCTATCGATCAACCAGAAATTGAAAGTTGTTGACATTGTGTGCCTAACAAAGAGCAGTTTCACCTCCAGTACCATCCTCAAAGGCCGTCGTCCACGGAGAAGCTTCATGTATCGACGTTGAGCTATCAAACACCATACTCCAATGGGGCTTAGAGTACCCACTATTTACACGATCCTATTGAGAGGCTGGGAAAAGGGAAGCGGCCTATCGCCTTGCGCGCATACGCTAATACACACATGATGGAAGCTTTGGCAGCATCTGATCCTTTGTTTCCTCGTTCACGTCCATCTGCGAGTCTTACGATGAGGATCTTGAAGAGTTTTGCGCATCCACTTCGAGAGTTTAAATCGTCGGTGGATACTCCTCGACCTTACGATCGGTCTACCTCAACGCCCGACATTAGAGCCATCGTCCCTGAAGATCAAAATGTGTTAACAGCGACCAAAACCCTAAGCATCATGGTGTAAGCAGCCAAGCGGTACAGATCTTGAAGAGTCAAAGTTCCCAAAGCTTGTTGCGCATTGCCACCAAAACATAGCACGTCTTCGGTCTAATACGACATGAATCCTGTCCACGCGAGCCGTCTTCGACCGAACAACCTGTATCTTGCCACGAAGAATTTTATCAACACACGGGTTCATCTCAGGAACCATCCAAGCCTGCAGTCCCAAGAACCACGGGGTTCGCACGTCAGGGCAGTGCAACGTGTTTTAGGCTGTTCTCCAGGCGACTACTGCTAGAACGGTATAGTGCCGCGGACGACATTATCTCCAGCTCCTTCCGTGTTGCTAACCCCTCAACTATTCCCGCGGTTCTGCACAATCCCAGCCTCAATTCACCGTAAATTGCCTGCTAGCAACCTTCAGGGTAAGTGCCGGCGGTAAGGAAGCTTCAAGACTCCGTGTTAAACTGGCTAGTAGCTGCAATGGCTACAGGACAAATATCCGCGGGTTGTCCGCATAGCCAAGAGGGTAGCAGCTGTTCCTCTTCGATATGGTTTCCACAACGTTATTGCAATCGCTCGCTACCGCCCTAGCTTTCGCTTTTGTGCAAGCAGGACACCCAGCCCAGGCATGGAAAGCCGGAAAGTTCAATACTTTGGTCACATTCGGTGACTCGTATACGGATGAGAATCGCCTTGGTTACTTCATTCAGAACAATGGCTCAGCACCGCCAGTTGGATGGGACCAACCTGTCGTATGTGTGCTTTTGGTTACACTGAGAACTCTTTACTTATCCTCCCAGGGTCTGGCGACTGCCTCAGGTGGTCTATCTTGGGCGCGCTATGCAAGCATCTACTCTTCAGCAAAACTCTACAACTACGCCGTCTCAGGCGCAGTATGCTCCAACAACATCACTCCACGCCCTCTCTCGCCAACGGCCCTCTTCCCAGACATCGAAGGCTATGAACTCCCCGCTTTCATCGCAGACTCAAAATACATCGTGCCCACCACTGGCAAGCCATTCTTTACTGGCGCTCAAGATTCAACCGCCTACGCAGTCTGGATCGGTACAAACGACCTCGGTAACGGCGCCTTCATCACAAACTCACAGCAGTCAAACAAAACCGTCTCGGATTACATCGACTGCGTATACAACACGATCGACGGCATTTACAAGAACGGCGGCCGCTACTTTGTCCTCCTGAACCTGGCGCCACTCGACCTGCTTCCCCAGTACCAGCTCCCCTCGCAAGGCGGCCTTACTGCAACGCAGTTCTGGCCCGCCAACGGCCGCAACCAGACAGACGTCCACTACCGCATGCAAAACACCGTCGCAGCGCTGAATGACGTGTACGAATACCGTACGCCCTTTGTCGCCCAAATCTCGAAGAAGTACCCTGACGCTAAATTCGCAAACTACAACGTCAACGGGTTGATGACTGATATCCACTCCAACCCAACCCAATACCTCAACGGCACTGCACCGCTTAACGTGACGGGAACTAGTAAGACGTGTGCGACGGTCAGCGGGCAGAATTGTACGGTGAATGCTAGCCCAGACAGCTTTGAATGGTTTGATGCGCTGCATCCAAGTGAGCAGACGTCGAGGATCGTTGCGAGGGAGTTTGTTAATGTGATTAGTGGGAAGGGCAAGTGGGGAACGTACTGGGGTTGAAGGAGTAAGAGGAGTCACTAGCCTGTCCGGTACTTCTTCGAAAAGTAGCTTAAGTACCAACATCAGTAAGACTCTAAGAATTACATTCCTTTAGCTTTGCTCTGGACCCTCTCTAAGAATTTTTGCAAGCAAATCGTCTAGACCTACATCGACTGTCTCCACAACTCTACACTCATAAGCGCTGGAAGGCCCAAGCAGCCACACCATAGAATGCATCCAAATATGATCCATTTACTGCAGTGCGCGGAACGATGGTATCAGGCTCTTTCATCACACAATTGTAAAAGAAGTTACCTGATTGCTGTGAAGCGCCTCGCCGTGCATGGTGTCAAACATCCAACATGTTCCCACAAATCGATGTCCGTCGCCAATTTTACGTAGCACACATGACAGTCTTCCTCCGTTCAATGTAACGATCTCATCATCGTCGTCAGTTTCCCAGGGTGCAGCCGCAAGTCGTCCATTTGTTGTTTCGACGAGGCGCTCGAGACCAGTCCGATGTACGATGCCCTCATGGGCCTGCTCCAATGTGAGCAAATTGTTGCAAACTCAATACCCGATGACAGAAGGTAATCTCTTCTAAACATGGTCATTGCACCAATCCGCGATCATGGCTATAGTTGAGAGGACTTGATTACGATGATGAGCAGACCTCAAAGGAGGTGCATTTTCCGTAATAGGATTGCCATATGCGTCAAGGCCTCCTGTCAGTATCCATGCGAGATTGTTCTGTGCTTGTCCAGAGCCTGCTGCATCGAGACAACCAAGAAACTGTTCCATGACGAAGTGTAAGTTGTCGTAACGTCTGCCACAATGCTTGAAGTCGAATAGCTGGAGATAAAGTCCGGTGTCAGTGCCTTTTTGCAAGTAAGTCTTTCCAGTTCTGGCTACCGTTGCTTCGGAAAAGCCACGCAAAGTAATAGCTCCAGTTGAGGACACGCTCCATTCCCCAAGCGGTGCGATTGCCGCATGCTTTCCAGTGCTGCAGGGCCTAGGGGAAGTCAAGGTCTTTGAGCTTCTTAGTCTGTATATCGCTGCTCCAGGATGGCACCCAGGAAGGCAAGTCGGTCACGTCTTTTCGAGCACGACTTCGCCTTCATGGGTTGCCCGTCTTTGGAGATACGGCATGTGTTACGGACAATCTCGTAAGGTCCTTCGAAGTACGAATTATGGCTTCAGCGACATCAGTGTAGACCTGGCCTGGAGTCTTTTAGTAGTCGACAGCTAATGCAGTACGCCTATTGTCTGATTGTACAAGGCTCAGAAGTCTGTATATCTTAATTTTCGCGTCTGTGGCTTTGAAGTGCGAGAAGTTCAGTAGCGCCGTCAGAAATGTCATAAAAGAATTTGATTCTGATACGTACATTTTGTGTGTCGGTTGTCAGTCGCGTGTATGCTATATAGATGCGCTGCAGAAGCGTCTTGACTCTTGCAGGGTCGCCATGCCATGATCAATTCTGGCCAAAACAGACCATGACATGGAAACATCGAGAGTATATCTCGCGCATGAACTCAATCTGGTGTTTACGTTCTTCTACGTCCCCCTGATTGATACAGAGAGCGTCAATCCACAAGTTGCGGGAGCAATCAGGTAGCCTTAAGATCGAGCAGCGGCTAGATTCTGTGTCACGCGGTGCTGGTGGCCGTTGCATATAATGGTCGGGGATGGTAGAGCTGTTCCCTATACGTAAGAAACGGCCTCGAAGTTAAGAACAGAAGAATTGAGCTCTGTCGTCGTGAGGAGGCAGGTGATGGGGCCTGATCATTCTCCAGGTAGAAGCTCGAGGACGCGAATAATTCGGCCGGTGAGTTGGGTGGGTAGAGAGGGTGCCTTTCTAGCGCGAGCACAATTGGCAGGTTCTGAAGAGGACCGTCGCTGTTCAGACCGTCATGCTGCTTCACCCTGAGTTCGAGGATGGCACTGTTAGAATGCTTGAGTGCTTAGGAGTCTGCGACCGAGGACGGGTCTTAACATATTACTGCAGGCAACGATGGCAGCCCCGAGCTGCAGCGTGATGTACAGTCTTACGCTTGTGCGACCGCCGTGTTCTTGTGGCACCATGATGAGCGAAGCGTTCTTGAATCGTAATCTTGGCGAGCTTGTAACAAAGGCGCTGTCATGTCGTAAATGAATCTGATCTGACTTTCAATCTACAGTATCGACGGATTGCACAGGTTGGCAAGGGTCTTGAAAGACAGCAAGAAACACTGAGTCTCTCGGGCTGGCATAACTATTCAGACAGCAATGAAAGCCCTCGGATGCAGCGCTCGATCTTGTGGCCATAGCTGCACACACCGTACCTTTTAGCACAACTGTACTTATGACAACCAGGCCCAAGTCATCGTTACTCTCCCCAAATCGTGATCCGCCATCTCGTCGAACATCGCAGGACTGACATCGAGATCAGTAGGCTCGCATCCAGTGCCTGTCATATGTCAGGAGGTGATTCATGTATGGGATTCGTTCACGTACATCTGTCAACAACTTTTACGTCAATGCTGACCTGCTTGCCGATGCGTTCATCCACTCTTGTGGCCCTGATCTTTCGTCCACACAGCGGGTTCTGATTCGGATCACTGCCAGTCTGTGCTGCATCGAACACATAGTGCGACACAGAGACGATCGCATCATCATCGCCAGACTCGATGCCACACGCACCAAGGCCAGGGCCGTAGTAGGTCAAATCACCAGTATGATGATCAGTATTGTCGGGAAGCGGCAAGTTCTGAGTTCTGTGTTCGTTGTCAGTACGTATATCCAACAAATCTTCTGACACAGAGCATACTTGGACTTCTTCGATAATCCAACTGCCAGACCAATGATCAGTGCCAGTAGACAGACAAAAGCAACAAGCAGCGCAACGAGAAACGTGCGGCGACTGCGACCGACATATTGTTTGTGTGGTGGAAGTATGCGATCGAAGCGGTCTGATAGTGCCCACCCTGCGCCGGCGCCTAAGTGGATGCGCTTTCTCTTGCTCTGGCCTTCCTCGGGTGTATCCCGTCTGGTTGCAGTGTTGCCTGTTCTAATTTCTTTCAAGTGTGCCGGCGATGGCTCCTCAACTTCTTTGCTTGGTAACTCCTTCCTTGCTATCTCCTTTCTGGGTATCATTGGCACGCTCATTGTGATATATGGTGTGCATTACGCTATGTTGTGGGTATATGTACGGGGTATCGCAAAGAAGACACGCTAAAAGGTCAAAGTATATCGATTAACAGTAAAGAGTGAACGTCTGAGCCATCGAGCCTCAGACAGAGTCGTAGTCTCTAAGGTTGAGAGTCGAGATGTAAGGTGGAGAAAGCGCGATGCTGTGGAGAATTAGGGGTCAATGCCCTGGCGCTAGTGAAAGGCGCAGATTGCTTGTGCCGCGGCAAACGTGGAACTTGCGGCCCGCTGACCTCACCACCAACTTTCTGTATACTCCCTCGCTAGCACTTTGTGTTAACCCGAAGTTCTTCGGTATTGGACCCTCAGGGATCTTCCACCTGTCAAAGCCACCTCAAAATTTCGTCCACGTTCACTGGTACCGAGGAGACCGCCACGCCTCAAAAGAGCCCGCCGAACTCGCTGTCTCATACCTTATACACTCCAACATGGCAGAACAGAGCATCAACATACCACAAGTCATCGTATTCGCTGTCGTCGCCTTCCTCGTATATCGGTGGTACTCCAGCAAGCCCTCCGCAAATGGCACGCGACCAGCTGCTAACCGCTCTGTGCGGATAAACCCCGCCCAAATCGACACAATAGCGCAGATGTTCCCACAACTAAACAGGAGGGATATTGCGTGGGACTTGCAAAGGAATGGAGGAAATGCAGCGGCCACAACGGAGAGAGTGCTGAGCGGGAGGTCTCTGGACAGTGTAAGTTCATGTAGCTAGTTCTGACAATGAATCGAAATATTGACGCAATGCAGGCACCAGCATCGTTCCAGCTACCCGCTACGTCCACAGCAGCTGCACCTATACGACCAGTCGCGGCCGTCGCAAAGCCATCTCATCCCGACCTGATCACACGCTACAACCTATCCTCGAAGCTGAGTCAGACACCCGAACCAACAGAAGAGAAGCCCAGGGCGAAAGCTTGGAGTGCAGACCGAAACGAACGCCAGTCGAATCTACAAAGGAAGAGGGAGGAGATGATTCTGGCTGCAAGGAGGAAGATGGAAGAAAAGGAGAAGGCAAGCGCCTCAGGTGCCGTAGCGTAGCAACGCCCGCGCAGCTTAGAGAGATACATAATACGTACATACTGGTGCAGTATACCGTAGAAGAAACTCAACATCACCTCCAAATCACCTCCACATCAACGTCGACTCCCCTATCTGTGCCATGCCAAGCGCTCGACTTCCTCAAAGCTTTTTCTTCGAAACAGGCACCAATCCTTTCTGCCTCGCAATCCACTGATCCAACCTCGCATAGCAATCCAACGTCATAAACACCCCCAGTGCCAAATACCCCCCATACATGCCCCCCAACCCACTCAACCCCCTCTGCTCTGGCCTCAACTCCTCCCAACTCCACATCTCCGCCAGACAAACCAGCGTCGTGATGCTCGTCTCCATGCCAAAGACTAGCAGAGCCAGGGGAATGCGGGGGTCGTTGCGCACAAGCGCGGGAATGGCCCAGAGTGTGAGAGGCAGGTGGTAGACTAGCTCGAGGAAGGTGAGGACGCCGAACCAGGCTGGTGGGTTGTAGAAAAAGCGGTCGCCGTAGGTGGCGACGTACCAGGTGCGGAGGTCGCCCATCCAGAGGGGTTTGATGTTGATGGGGTAGTAGGCGGTGAGGTCGAACGCTGCGGTTGGGTTAGTAGGTGGAGGTGTGGATGATGTGTTCAGCGATCGTGGTCATTCAAGTTGACTTCAAAGAAAATCGAGAATGAGCGGTAAATGTTCGTTGTACAGAGTTTTGTTCGAAGTTCCAGTGCTGGTCGTGCATGTGCATGATATGCAAGATACAGGTAGCAGGCAAACGATAGAGAGTAATTCTACATACCTAACATCACCGGTAGGTGCGTGATAAAGAAGACCAAGTAAATCAAGTCCCGCTTCCTTGTCAGAATCGAGTCAGCCATCTTGATGCCAGATGAGAGCTGTTCCGAATTGTGGTGTTGATAGTGTAAAGGAGAGAAGGTAGGCGCGCTTTGCCAAATGTGCATTGACTCGTTCGTAAGATGCGTTGGGACGTGCTTTGTATGCTTTCTTCACGACCATCGCCACAACCACAACCTCATTCTCAGCTTGCCAGTCCTGTTCGGAATGCCTCTTCGCAGCAGGTGTAGTCGTCGAGTTCCCCTCGATGGCTTTGTGCGACTTGCCGAGACCAGCTTCTGATGAGGTCTAGTCTGCTTTCTATCAGAATTACGGTCTCAAGTCTTCTAGAGCACATCAGACTTGGAGCAACGTAATGGACCACTTCCGAACAATAGCTCAAAGAGTCCATATCAGATCATCTTTAAGACGGATTCCCTGACCTTGAGCATCAGCGTGTAGTGGATACGAATTTACCCCTCACCAAGCCAGCTATTGCAGCCATCTTTGACTACGACCTTCATGATTATCGGAGCAAGCAGAACCGGCGAACTGAAGTACGACATCTCAGCAAGTCACTCAATCTCATGTAACTAAATCTTCGCGTTACCAGAGGAGCTACTGCTCTTCTCGTCTTCCATAGTCTTAGACTCAGATAGGACGTTGAACCAATCAATCAATCAATCAATCAATCTCAGCAAGCCATCCGCATATGAAAAGCGCCACTTTACCCCAGCGCATGGGTCGTTCCGAGGACAGTTATCGCGTTGATGCGTGAACCAGCAAATTTAGCCTGAAATCACCCCGCGGCTTGGCTTCAGGCAGTTGAAGAACTATCAGCACCACGTTACAGCCGAGCTAAAAGCCGCAAATTGCCCAATCGGACAAGTCAACAATTGTGGAGTACACACCAATGGAGCCGTGAAGGCGTTCTCGGTCTCCATGCCGAATTTTCTTTAGCCAAGAGTCGCTCGAACGTAGCATCGGCAATCATATTGACCATCACTGGCGTCGTATACTAATGCTAGGACCGTCAAACGGCCGCGTTGCAAAGATGTGCCCGGATTACCGCGATGATGTGGGGCCCCTCAATGCCAGGATGCTGGCTAATATCCCATAGGGCTGCAGCATGGTAAGAGCGCAACGTGAACATACAAAGAGCTAGTGTCGCCTGCAGTAAGCTTAAACCTCCGCAGATCTGTGGTACATCAAACAGCCGATACTCCAAACTTTCTTTCCGTCTACGAAACCTACGTTCATCGACCATTCATCATGGGTGGTGGAGGTGCAGCACCCGCTGGCTTCGATGCCGCGCTCGAAAGGCGTCAGGCCTTGATGGGCAAGAGTGGCCCAGGAGCTTTAATCAAGAACTTCAAGGTCTTCCGCATTGCCTTATTCGCCTGCTTGGGAGGAGTGCTTTATGGTTACAACCAGGGCATGTTCTCTGGTATCCTGGCCATGCCGTCTTTCGGAAAACGTACGGTCCTCCCAGCTCAACGACAATCCGCTTAACACTGACGACTCGTTTTAGAGACTGACGGGTACATCGACAACGCAACACAGAAAGGTTGGCTTACTGCTATCCTTGAGCTTGGTGCTTGGTTCGGAGCTGTTATGTCCGGATTCCTCGCTGAGGTTATGTCCCGCAAGTACGGTATTCTGATCGCCACCGGTGTCTTCATTCTTGGTGTTATCATCCAGATCACAGCTATTGCTGGAGGACACAACGAGATTCTTGCGGGCCGTTTCATTACGTGAGTCATTGTTTCCTGATCTGGGATCAAGGCAAACCGGCTAACATGATACAGAGGTATTGGGGTTGGTACCCTGTCATGCATTGTACCCATGTACAACTCCGAGTGTGCTCCTCCGTAAGTACAGCTGATAAAGTTGAAGTACCTCTATTGACAGGACGATAGTGAGGTTCGAGGTGCCCTTGTAGCCGGCCAACAGCTAGCTATCACCTTCGGCATCATGATTTCTTTCTGGATCAACTACGGAACCAACTACATTGGCGGAACCACCTTGGAGACCCAGTCCAACGCCGCATGGCTCGTACCCATCTGTATTCAACTCGTACCCGCTGCAGTCCTTTTCTTCGGCATGATCTGGATGCCTTTCTCACCCAGATGGCTCGTCCACCATGGCCGTGAGGAGGAGGCTCGCCGCACCTTAGCCAACCTCCGTGATCTCCCCGAGGACCATGAATTGATTGAGCTTGAATTTCTTGAGATCAAGGCCCAGTCTATGTTCGAGAAGCGTAGCATCGCCGAGAAGTTCCCGCATCTTGCGCAACTGACCGCTTGGAATACCTTCAAGCTCCAGTTCGTCGCCATCGGTGCACTCTTCAAGACAAAGGCTATGTTCAAGCGTGTCATCGTAGCCACGGTCACCATGTTCTTCCAACAGTGGTCTGGTATCAACGCCGTGCTCTACTATGCCCCGTCTATCTTCAGCCAGCTCGGTCTGACCGGCAACACCACCTCTCTGCTCGCGACCGGTGTCGTCGGAATCGTCATGTTCGTCGCCACCAGTAAGTCCTACATCCCACTCCTCTAGCAGCTATTCTGACTTCGACTAGTTCCCGCCGTGCTGTACATCGACCGTGTAGGCCGCAAACCCGTCCTCGCCATCGGTGCCATCGGCATGGGCGTCTCGCACATAATCATCGCCATCATCCTCGCCAAAAACATCGACAACTTCCACAACGCGCAAGGCGCTGGCTGGGCCGCCGTCGTCATGGTCTGGCTCTTCGTCATCCACTTCGGCTACTCCTGGGGCCCTTGCGCGTGGATCTTGATTGCGGAGATCTGGCCCATCAGCACGCGCCCGTATGGAACCGCTTTAGGAGGAAGTAGTAACTGGATGAACAACTTCATCATCGGACAGATTACGCCGGATCTTCTTGAGAAGATTACATATGGAACGTATATTCTGTTTGGTCTGTTGACGTTTGTGGGAGCAGCATTTATCTGGTTCTTTGTACCCGAGACGAAGCGCTTGAGTCTGGAGGAGATGGATATCCTCTTTGGTAGCGAGGGTACGGCGCAGAAGGACCAGGAGAGGATGGCGGAGATTAATCAGGAGATCGGACTCGCAGCTATTATGGCTGGTGGTGCTCCAGTGCACAGGGATGAGATGGTTGTTGGTGATGAGAAGGGTTACAGCCATGTGTAAGAGTTCGAAGCTTGGGCGTCGGGTAGACTGCCAGCACAGATTGCAGGAGAGTGTGCAGTTATCAGGCGTTATGAACAGCAATACATCAAGTGTTTTGTCGTATTGACCAGCCTCGACTTATTCGTACACTTTCCTGATGTACTGTTGTTGTCACCAGGGCACCGCCATCGCTCTTCGCAAGTTCTTCATGACTGCAGTGCCCGTCATCCCAAAACGGATTCCTGCTGCCTTGCCTAGGTCGAGCAGGACTGCCGTGTAAGCTGTTCATGTTCGCCTCTCCCGATCCGGAGGCTTGGTTTCGGTATCCTCGAGCGTTATAGGAGGTATTGCAGGTCTCCAGATGTTTGCGGATCAGGACGACAAAGGCAGGAGAGCTGCCTATAATGACGGCTGCTACATGTTAGTCGAATGTGCAGGTGTACGATAATCTACTGGGAATGTTTACATACCCATGGACGTCTCAAGAACGTTCCATAATAGCACCCACTTCGGTTCTGGCATCGTCGCTTTACCAATTCCGTCGACACCGAGTTTGATGACACGGAGGGTAGTGGATAGGATTAAGGTGGAACGGTAGGATCATGATTATGCGTGCTGGTTCGCTATTAAAAATACAAGACAAATTCAGGAGCCGTTCGCTTGACATACCTATGAGGTCGGTCAGAACATCGACAGAGTCAGCAAAGTAAAGACAGAAGATAACCATTTGTACCTCGTTTGATGTGCCACCACATCTGCCTTGATTAAACTTGGCATTCAGGTCGCTGCATGTGAAGATGCTGCTCAGTACGCTGCCAACCCAAGGCTGTGCACTGTTAGCAAGTGAGTATGGAGACTAGATCGGTTTGGCTCACGAGTATGACCGCAGCAATGATGCCCCACCATATTCTATGGTAGACGTTCAGTAAGCCTTTCAGTAGTTTTCAGTATAATCTCAGAAGTGTCAGCTTGACACTGAGCAAAGATGTGTAGAAGCACATTTGGGCTGCTGTGATGAGCCTCAGTATCTGCGATGCGTCATGTATTATTGTTGGATATGGGGGCCTCTCGTCGCTGTACACAACATGTGGTCTGAACATTGGGTCGATGACGATGCGGTAGCATATCCAGAGGGCTAGATACAAGACAAAGGCGAAGTAGACGAAGAAGCCTTGGGGCTCGAAGTTCTTGAACCTTGTTTGCTGGCGGTCCGCTGCACTGATTGTCCAGCTCATTCGATTAGCTTGGTTTGCTTCCCCACCCCTTCACTGCTATTCCCTTCTACCATATAGTCCCGATCGATTCCCGCCAATAGCTCCTAAGATCAATCAACTCAATCATCTCAACCTTCCACACATCTCGAAACGTGAACGTCAACATGGGCGACGATGAAGAGCGATGTTCGAGACAGCATAGCCGCATTTGTATGTAGCAGCTCCGAATTCGACACAGGCGTTCTTGCTGGTGTAAACATCGTGACAGGGTCCAGGAGATAGACATCCGACGTCGAAGTACCTGAAGAAGCGTTGATATCTGCAAGCCACGCTCCCATCCCAGTGACATGCCCTTCCGTGTGGTCTCCCGAACGGCATGGCCCGCAGCGACCATGCAGGTGACAAGTATGAGCTCCTGTAGAAATGGTTTATCAACCAGGCCGACTTGAGTGAGGCTTCCAAGCTTCTAGCCTTTGCATTTAGTACATGATGATTTGCATAGCGCAAGTTAGATCTTGCCGACATATAAGTGGGTATCAGGCGCCTCCTGGCAGTGGCTTAATCTGGAGCGTGGGGTAAACGGTTCTTTCGCTAACTTTTTTTGATTGAAGAAGTTGCTGCACAAGCAAGAATGGTGATTCGAGAGCCGAGATCGGAGGTTCAGAGTGACAGGTCAGGTGTCAATGGTTCTTTACTGCGGCATGGCTGGTCAAATTTGCGTTTCTGAATGTCGCTGTGGGTTGCGCGACAAGAAGCGGCACGTCAGGAACGCCAACAGTCGATGTATCAGCCATACCTGAGCTATCTGGCCTTGTGAAGCGATCGTTGGATCTCAGCCCGGGTTCTATCGCTGTAAGTTACACATGGCATTCAAGGTAGACTCCTTGGGTACTGACAGCCTCGAGTGCACTTCACTAAAGACCATATATGGCGACTCGAAGCTCCTCTCGCAAGGCTCCTCGGCTTACAATCGTTGCTGAAATGTAGAGATCCCCCTGAACTTGGTTCACTACTGCGACAGATTTCCGTTATGTAAGAATGAAGGCTTCTAAGTGGCTGTTTCTATCTTGGTTGACAGAATTGACAGTCTGGTACTTGTCTTGCAGGGCAACTATGTGGTGAACGGCCACTCACATGGCTGTCCGCTTTCATGAACCACGGTACGTACCTACTGTACGCATCACTGTACCAAGATCAGGGGGGTCTGCACATTTTTGCAAGCACCGATACAGCAATTTCACAAGCGGATACTGGAGTGCTCAATAATGAGCGATACAACCAAATGCATTTTCAGACCTTCGAAACCCCTCGAAGTATCAACTCTTGTACTTTGGTCAGCCACGCCGCGTTCGGCGCAGCTTCAAAATATCGATGGCGGAATTACAGTCATAATGGAAAACTTCAATCAGGTATCCGTATCGTCCGACAAGACTGTAGACTTCGGTCCTAGTAACTGATGGGTGAACGTCTACACTGCGCTTGAGCTACATGGAGTTGGCGTTACAGGCGGCCGAATGGCTTCTGTTGGCGTTCCTGGATTTATCCTAGAAGATGGCATTAATTTATTTGCTAACAAGATCGGCTGGGTCTGCGACAATGTGGCTAGCTATGAAGTTGTTACTGCATCTGGTGTTGTTGTCACTGCCATACCCACTCTGTTCCCAGACCTCTACTGGGCTTTGCGAGGTGGCGGCAGCAACAACTTCAAGCTCGATGTCTTTCCCTTAGGCAAGATGTGGGGAGGGCAGCGTATCTACCCCGAGAACAATTTCCCAGTAGTGCTTGATGCAATCTGTAGTTTTGCTACTACGAAGTCATCGCAGGACACAGATGCTGCCGAGCTCATCGTAAGTCTCCACCTCTATCTATCAGGAACTTGTTCTGAATACTTCAGTCCTTCTCATACGCACCAACCCTCGGAAAAATTAGAATCGCCCAGCTCGACTTATGCTCAACCCGTTGCAAATACGAGTGTCTTCAGCGACTGGAACGCCATCCAACACATTCAGTCTACTACCGATATCCACACACTCGCCGAGCCCACCACCATGATGAACCAAGGCCTTACCGACGGCCTCCCAAACATAATGGGACGTGAAATTAAAGAAACCTCTTCACGTTCCTCGTCAATACTTTCTATGCCGAGCTACCAGCAGTCCAAGATGCTACCGGCTTCTTCCCATGGATCTCGATCCTAGCTATTACAGCCGGCTGTGCTCGGCCTCAAACCATTAGCTCGTGATGGTCGAACGCATCTGAAGATGCTAGAATCCTAGCATTCTTCTCGGCTACTATTAAGAAGGTCAAGGCGGGAGCAAAGAGCAAGGGTGTGAGTAACGATTACATCTACATGAACTATGCTTCGCAGTTCGAAGATCCGATCAACAGCTACGGAGCGGCCAATGTCAAGAAGCTGAAGGCAGTGTCAGCGACGTACGATCCTACGTTTGTGTTTATAAACCTGATGCCCGGTCACTTCAAGCTAGGCAAGGGGGTGCCAAACCCGAACATGCCTTGAGCAATAAGTATACGAGTCAATAGAGAAAACATGCATCTTGTAGAAGCCTTGTAACACTGTACACATATGAATCAAACCCACGAGCCATACGACTTTCCCGCTTTCCCCAAGACCGGCTGCTGTTTATGCACACCAATGAACGTCCTCTCACCCCCAAACATATGGATACTCCTAGCAAAATGATCCTCATCATCTTCCTCTTCCTTGATAAGCACACCATCAACCACCTTCCCTCTGGCCATCCTGATCGTCTCCGCCTCGACAACAGTCTCGATACCTGCCTGCACAGTATCTTCCTCACCCCAGGGCAGTGCATCAAGATCAATTTCTTTCTCTCGGCCCAACAAGCACATAACAATGACCATAGCGCCAGCCTTACTCATGACCTGGTTGGCGTGTTTACATCGATCGTCATTGCAGCACTCAAGACATCCCTCCAGACAATGGCACGTCTGAAGGCGTTGGCACGCCTGCGCGAGTAGCGAGTCGACGTGCTCAAAGGCTTTGGTGGATATGCCGCTTCCGCTTGCACCTCCTTTTGCGTCGTAGAAGGTCAGTCGCGCGGGACGTTTGCGTTGTGTTTCTTTCTTAGCGAACTCTTTCATGGCGAATTTGCATTCTGTGCGTACGTCGCCGGGCATGCTGATAACGTAGTTGGGCATTAGGGATAGGACAGAGTGTTCGGCTGCGTGGATGCCGGCGGCGATGTTGAGTCTGCGAGATTTGAGAACGTCCATGGCGGATTTCGGTACGTCGAGCCACATGCCTTTCGAGAAAAGGATGATTGGTGGGTTGTCAACTTGCACAGCATCGAGGATGCGACGCTTCTTGTCGATCTTGAAGAAGCCGTAGACGACTTGCTGGATTTTGATGGGACCGAAGAAGGCTTTGGATCGTGAACCGGGGATTCTGCGAATAGCCTCTGTCTCCACGGGATCAATGTCGGTGTAGTCACGCTGTTGCGTGGTCCAGTCGACCTTCACATACTCCACCTTGGCAATCATTCGCTCCTGACTGAACTCCTTGACCAGATATGTATTACCCTGGTGCAAGAAGATGCCACCATCATAAATCGTGAAGAACGCACGTGAAGCTTCCAGCTCCTCTAAGACCGTGTTTTTTCCCTGAGTGACATCGATGATAGCGAAGTGGGTGTCTTCAGTATCTCGAATAGCCACCGAGCGAGATGGTTGGGGCAAGAAGCGTTCATTGCAATGATAGAAGTCGTTGGCATCTCTCCGCATGCGCTCTTTCGCAATCTTGGGCAGCAATGGGCCAAAGTACGCTGTATCCGCCTCAATAGTGATGGGCATCTCATATGCGGCACACTGGACGTGGCCTTCAAGAACTAGCATATTCTCCAAATCAACCTGGAGTTCGCAGTTCGGTTTCGTAAAGATCTCATCCGGATTCTGCATATAGTACTGGTCTGTTGGAAAGCAGTCACCCACTAGCACTGACAGGGAGTCCTTGTTTCGCCTCCCTGCACGTCCGCTTTGTTGACGAAGGTTCGCGATGGTATAGGGAAACCCAACTGTAAGTACACAGTCTAACGATCCAATATCGACACCAAGCTCCAGAGCGGTGGTTGCTACGACGCCCAGCAGCTTGCCGTCGAACATCTCTCGCTCAATCTGTCGCCTGTCTTGTGATGTATATCCACCTCTATAAGACATCACTCGTCCAACAACCTCTGTCCGGTCGAGATTGGTCAGCTCTGTCTTGATCGCAACCTGCAGAGCCTCGCACTGCTTTCGAACTCGACAAAAGGCAATGACCCTGACGCCCCTCAAAATTAGTTGGCAGAATAGCTTTGCAGTCTCCGCATTGCAATCGCCTCGACCTGATGTAGGATCTCCTGGGTCTTTGAATGGTGTGTTCCAGCATAGAAACTCCTTTCGACCAGAAGGTGAGCCATCGAAGTCAGTCAGTTTGACTTTCTCAACACCAAAGATGGTCTTCATGTGAGCTTCTGGATTCGCGACTGTAGCCGAGCAAGAGATGAACTTGATATGTCGATTACCCAGCGCTGCGCATATTCTGCGCAGTCGTCGCATGATCATTGCAACATGAGCTCCGAAGAGGCCGTTGTAGACATGCAACTCATCTACAACCACGAAACGGAGGTTCTGTAGGAATGTTCGCCATGCCTCCTCTTGTGGTAAGACCGTCAAGTGTAGCATATCCGGATTCGTGAAGATGATTCGGCCTTCATCTCGAATGTAGTCACGGTCTGACATGGCTGTATCTCCGTCGAAGGTCTCCACAATGATGTCTTGCATGCCGTCCATAAATCGTAGCAGCTCTTTCATGCTCTTTCTTTGATCTTGTGCCAATGCCTTTGTGGGGAAGATGTACATCGCTCGTGTCTCCGGTTCCTGTTCGAGCTGATGCAGAACGGGGATCTGATAGATCAGCGATTTACCTGAGCTGGTTGAAGTTGATACAATCACGTTGTTCCCTACGTAGAGATTGTTGATTGCCTCAGCCTGGTGTGCGTACAACTGCGTGATGTTACTCCTGTTGTACAACGCGTTGACAAGGTTCTGAGACATTGCGAAGTTGAGGTCGCCATATATGGGAGGCTGTGGATCGAACACTCGATGACCATCTGGCACAATCTGTCCAGAGTACCAGTCGAGTGTCTTTATCTCGTCCACTATATCCGGAATGCTCTTCCTCTCGGTCGGTATAGAAGCTGGTAGTCTTGATGATTGGGGGCCTGGTGTTGAGTCTCGGCTTTCTGTGGGCTGGGGTATGAATGCCAAGGACATCTCTTTGATCTTCTCAACCGCGTCGCGACTCTCTTCCGCACATTGATTCAGGAAGGCGTTGACAGCCGAGGTAAATTTGACGTTGCGCTTCTCGATGAGGTTCATCATCTGCTTCTGGCTGAAGACAGGCATCTTCAGTTCCTCGTGGCGCAGCCTTTGAGTCGCTTTTGTTGGCTCGCCAGTCTTCGCGTGCTGCACCTGACGCTTCAAGTCTCCATCGATAAACTCGAACAGCAACACCTCCCTGTGCTCGCCCTTGTCCGGTTCAGGCTGCATAATGAGAATGTCTTGCGCTCTTCTCCCCTTCATGTTATCCTCTTGGCCCATGAGGTTGATCTGCAGCATAGCCTCGTCAACATATGCGAAGTTGATCGCTCGTGGAATCAAGGCCGTAATCTGGGCCACATCTTCGATGAGCAACTCGCGCTTGATGTGTCCTTCAACGGCCGTTTTCAGATTATGTAGGGTCGTGGCGAGCTGCTTGCGCGTGCAGCAGAAGGTGTATACGAGGTTGAGTGCGCGATGCACCTGTCGTAGCTTTGTGAAGTGTTCCGGCCATGGTATCGATGTTTCGACTAATGTCGATGAGGCGCGGCGAACTAGAGCAGGTTTCTTCGCATTTGTCGTTCTTCGCGACTTCTTGCCTCCATCGTGAGTCTTTGTGGGAACAGTCGTAGTCGTCGTGCTTTTGTTCGCGGTGCCGTTCAAGTCGTCAGAGCCAACGCCCTCAGGTGCTGGTGTTTGCAATTCAGAAGCATGTTCTGCATGTTCATCCTGCGCCTTTCTTTTGCGTTTCCTAACAACTTGGTTTGAGACCGACGCTGCCTTCAATGGCATCTTTCATGCATGTTGGCTCAAGAGGTGGCGCGCGTTGAAGGTTTGGTGGCGGTTGAAGGTTTGGTGGCGGTTGAAGGTTTGGTGGCGGTTGGAGAAAGATTGCCCAGAGCTGAGCACGAAGCCTTCGCGTCACCAGGGGGTGCAATAATTCATTTCCCCTCAGTTTGATGAGGTCATCAACCTCATCAAACCCGTGCTCAGTCTCATCACCCCCTCACCCCTAACTCACTCAAATATTACTATTATTTGATAAAAATGAGTTCCTGTGAATCGCCAAAGACCCCAGAACAAGACCACAGCCTCAAGGAACCTGATACCTCCGAGCGTGCTCACTACTTTGATGCATATGATTGATGACAAGATGGGGAGACCTTGAAGCAGATAGCTGATGAACATGGGATCCCAGCAAGGACTGGACAGCAGTGGGTGAAGGACCGAGCACATTGGAATGATGAGAGAAGAGTTAGGAAGCATGCAGCAGCAGAAAGAGGGAGTAAACTTGGTTGTCCCTTCATAGTATCCCTGGAGCAGATTCAAGCACTCATTGATGATGAGCAACACCACAATCGTGAAGCAACTTGCCCCTTACTGTGCTACACTGACCAAAAAGGTACAGTACTGCTGTAGATAGCAGGTACTGGGAGCTGAACAGTATATACCTGTGACAGTACATGAACATGATTCACCGTTGCAGGCTTGAATGGCCACATGGTTGGATACTTCAAGAGGATGGGGATCCTTCACATGGCATGAAGAGCGAAGACAATGTTGCACAGAACCTTTGTGACATCTCCTGGCTCTGCTCTATCCTCCACCCAGCACAGTCTCCTGATCTCAACTCTATTGAGGGGTGCTGGCTTATACTGAAGCAGAGGGTAAAGAAGAGGCTTTGCTTCCATTCTCCATATCAGAAACCATGGGATGGAACCAAAACAATACTCAAAAAGATACTCCGTGAGGAATGGGATGAGATTACTATGGAAGAAATCAGGGCAAGAATCAGGGAGATGCCTGAAAGATGTGCAAAAGTCCGAGTCAATGGTGGTGAGAAGATTCGTAGTGACCTCTGGTAAAGAGATCCAGAGTGACCTTGGTGAGGCTCACAACACTACAAAACAACTGTATATAAGCCTCAGCACTAATATCAATAGCTTCATCTTGAAAAATGCATCAAATTGACCCAATATGAGCCCTCATACTTCACTGTTCATTGATTTGTATGGGCATTGTATAAGGGAGTTGGAATGGTGGGGTCGCTGACCTCATCAGAGCGAGAGGAAACAAATTATTGCACGCCCTAGTGGCGTATTCAAAATCGATGACGTAGTCAATGTGAGCGCTGGGGAGGTGCGACCAATATCAAATGCTAGCACGCTGAACAGTCCGATATGTGCACACGTTTCCTTCAAAGATTTCTCATTCATGAAATGAGAGGTTGCACTATTCAAGAAACAAGCGCGTGTAAGCCTCGCGAAGTGTCCACACGCTGTCACGTGGTCATGAAAGCTGAGAAAAGTGGGGCGTAGCTGCACGTAAGCGTGCATTTGTACCGGTCGATGTCCTGCAGTTTTTCGGCTGATCACACGCGCATTCCTCACTTGCACAGCACATAATGCATCGCCTCATAGCGTGAGATCACCTCAGACATGTCTGCCGCCGTTCGGTCCTTGGTATGAATCCGATCAATGCCCGCGTCCAGTATTGACGTTGCGGGTTTTTATAAAGAGCGAGGCAACCTTGATGCGCCCGGACTGCTGAGAATAACCATACCACGCGTTGCTTCAACGACGGGCAATATGAGCATTTTATTTCCTGCAGTATGCAAGACACTGGTGCGCCTTGCTCGTCAAGCCTCGTATTGTTCTCGCCTACCCAGCCCTGAAGAGGTAAGCTTTCGAGACGCTTACGGCCAAGGAAGTAATCGATAGTCAGAATGGGCGGTACCCCTCCCTTCACACCAAGAATAACCCGTCAGACCTAATGGCCTCAGGGCTGAAGCTTGAGTTTGTTTCGATTCAGGGTACTTATACACCTGGCCTTGCATGCAGTGCAGATTATTGTCGTGCATTTTCCTTTCGTAACATCTACCCAGTCTAGAGTTTTGGCCGATTGGAGTCGGTGAACGAACAAGAACGTTACATTATCTTCAGTCGCTTATATCTACACCTCGAAACCTACTTCCATCGAGCTACGATCTTGCTATCACAGCACTCAGAATGGATCTAAAGACTGAGCAACGGATTGCCATCTACCGTGGAGCCGATCTACCCAGCCAGTACACGTGGAGTCCGTTCGTTTCGAAACTCGAGCTTCGATGTCGTCTATCCGGTCTCAAGTACATATGCGAGATTGGCTTCCCTCCGTCAGGGCCCAAGGGGAAGATACCATACGTGGAAGTCACTTTACCTGGACAGTCTTCCGTATGGCTTTCAGACTCGACTCTGATAGCAAAAGACTTCGTCAACAAGGGCCTGCTTCCTGACTTGAACTCCAACCTGAGTGTTGTGGACAAGGGTCGTGATCTCGCAATTCGAGCGCTGATGGAAGACAAACTTGCTTTCTACGACACGTACGAGCGCTGGGTCAAGAACTACTATGTCATGCGGGACCATGCCATGGGAAAGCTGCCCTACCCTGCACGAGTCATCGCTGGTACTCTGGCGTATCGAGGCATTATCCAGCGACTTCACGAACAAGGAACAGGTCGCTTCAGCGATGCAGAGATAACTGCCTTTACTGAAGAAGTCTGGGAAGCCATCAATGGATTACTGGAGGCGAGTCTGGAGAAGAACGCTGAGCAGGATGAATGCTTCTGGGTGCTGGGTGGAAGGGAGCCGTCTGAGGCCGACACTTCAGTCTTTGGCTTCGTTGTGGCTAACCTTGTCAGCGATTCTGCACCTTGGAGCAGAGACCTGTTGAAAGGAAACTTCCCTATGACAATTGAGTACGCAAGAAGGATCCACAAGAAGTACTTCCCCGATTATCAGATGTGGGACTAAAGCATGACTTCACACTGAGGGGTTCAAGAGCAAACTGCTTTGCGATGCTTTCAAAGTTGCACATTAATTCTTGGATCTCTTCATCATCACCAAACCAACCTCAACGCTCCTCGAAGATCGCATGACGAATCATAAACTGTGCGATGTACCGTTCAGTACTGGTTGGGCACCCAGAGTCCATGGCAGCCCCACTTCCTGTCCGTTCTCCAGCCTCCATAGGCCTCGCTTTGGTCTCCACATGGCAAACACAGCCGCTGGCGTCATCTCGTGTGCACATTTCCGCCATTCGTCACTGGCACATGGCACTTCGGTGTCGAAGGCTACCTTGAGAAGAGACTGGAAACCAAACTTCTCGTACAGTGGCTTCCCCATACTGGACCCTTCCAACCAACATTCAAGATTGAGATTGTCAGTTTTCTTAATACCTGCTTTCATGAGGAGCGAGCCGATACCGCACAGACGATGTGCGGGATGGACCGCCATCCAATTTAGTGCTGGCACTACATTAGCATGTATCCGGTTTTAGTTGCGGTGTCGGAGTGCCCAATGGTCAGGCAGAGGAGGACCTCTTTTTAAATCGAGTAGGGTCAAATTTCATTTTTGATGATCTCCACTTACCACAATGAGGCCGCGTCATCCAGTTTGCCCGCGGCTTATAGACTTGATTCAAGATCGATTCGCAGAATTTTCGACATTCACCCTCAGGCCACCATGGTGCTTCGAGTTTGGGTACACCTTTTGCGAATGGGTTGGTCGTCGATATCACCCATTGCACGCAGCCAACAGCCTGGTCGGTGACCGTGTCGAAAGCATAGAGCCAGTGACTTGCTGGGTCTGATGTGTGTTGTTTCCAAACCCGTTCTTTCGACTCGATGAGCGCAGCCTTTCGATGCGCAGGTGTGAAGCCAAGGACCGGGAAGAACAGTTGAATGAAAGGTTCGTACGGGGTGTGGTTTGCTGCCCAGATCACATCCAGTACTTCGTCCAACTCTTGCTTTGTTTGGACCTCCCGGACGAGGTAACGATTGTTCATGTCTGTCGGAAACTGCTGTTCGATGCTAGCCATGGCGACATCGGCGTACTGAAATAGAATGTCAAGTTACTGACCTGCCGTCTTGTGAGAGCTACAGCGGAGTCGGAGATACAAAAAAGCATCAGGATTGGATACAAGTAGATTGCCGTGTTTGGTCAACCTTCCCAAACAGGAAGGAGCTATTGTGGTTAAGGCTGCTTCCCTAGCGCGCCTCGGCGCGACGAGCCAGCATTTGGCAAGTCGCACTCACTCACCAGCAAACACCTGATAACCCCATCATCTTCTAACGTTCTGGTCGCACACGTATCACCAATGTCGTGTTGGAGGGCTTGTGACCTTCCTTGCTTTGTCCGGAACTAAGACACCCGGCCGCTCGGCAACAATACAAAGCGGCGCGGTTGGGACGAGTTCCCATTCATCACTGGTCCGAGCTTCGGAGCGCAAACACGGCTGGGCGTAATGCGCGTACTGAGCCACATTGGCAGCTGGAGAACGTGATATAGTTACACCGGAGATGCAACCTTCTTCTGCCGCCGTTGCTGCTGCCTTCCTAACTCCGCTAGAGCATTATTACTGAAGCCATGGAACGACCACCTAGGTACCAACCTGTGAGCGCAGATGAGGAGGAAGAGATCGTGAGACAGCTTGAAGAAGAGAAGGATGGCATCGCTTGGAACAACAATTCCACGGAGATTATTCCGACAAACACACGCAGCTTCGTCGCTTTCATGTCACTGCTGCTGCTATCCCTCTCCGCAAACGTGCTATTGGTAATGGACAATGCAAAACTGCGAATCTTGACTCACAGTGCTGGAAAGACGCCTTACAGTGGTCTGACCTTTGACACTCCTGTCGCTTATGAACCTATATCACCATTCTGGAACCCCTTTATCAGTACCCAGGAAATGGACGTAGCGTGGGATTCCATCGACACCAACCCTATGGCAGTGGCACTTCACGACGACTTCGTGCGCAAGGTTGGACTGCCTCCATCTGGCCGTTTTCCATGGGATACAGAGCGCAGCATCTACTACCTGAAAGGGATTCACGATTTACACTGTGTGAAGTACATTCGCAAGGCTATCACAGTGAAGCACACCGGTGGCAACCAGACCTTCGACTTCCACCACATTAATCATTGCCTGAATGGCTTGCGACAAGATAGTAGGTCTACTTCGTCTCAACCTAGGATCTGGCTGATCACTCGACAACAGTAATGTGCGCAGCTGACGACACTCCGATGCCAGCTCTGGCGGAACACATCGGCGCTGATCAGGTTCGGAAATGTCGTGATTGGAGTAAGATGACCAAGTGGGCTACACAACTGGACCGACATGCTTGCTACAAGCTCGACGATTATCGTGAGGCCACCAACACCCTCGAACAGTTTGCATTTTGTCCGCCCGGGTCGCCTTATCAGCCCATCCAACAGGCTTACTTCGACTACCATGGACATAAGGATCCATACGAGGTCAAGGATGACGACGACGAGGTCGTAATATTCTGAAAGCGCTTGTGTTCTGATCGACAGGAGTTATGTTGGACGGCAGGTTTGCGCAGCGCATCTCAAATGAAAGTGCAATACACCAAAGTCTGCTCCAACTCAATTTCAACGCTCGTATCTCACGCCCACTCGTCTTCGAGAAGCATTTGATAGAATGCCGATCACGCAGCCAAACATAGCAACTGGAACACAACATGTAAATCGTCGGCGACCAAATGCATGCTCGGGAGGACCAATCCCGAATATATCGTCAATCGGGAGTAGACTTAATCACTGATGCTTACCGGGTGCCAGGAAATAGATTGCTTACGTTGTGGCAAGGCTTCCGCCGCGCGTCGAAGTCTCTTCTCCCTTGCTTGAGCGCCGACCCGGTGCCTGAAGTACCTCCAAGGCAGAGCTGTGGACCGCTCATTTTGCCTCCGATTCCCGAGGCGCATTTTCGCACACCAGCAAGACTTCGGAATTCTGGGTCTCAGGGTGGGATACAACATGTGAGAGTGACAGCAGAGCTGCTGCTCAGCCTGATCTGAGGAGTATATGAGGGCTTCGTGAGGCACTTTGGCTGATGTGCTGTCATCCACAACTGCGACTCAGCAACTCCAATAATTGAATCGGCAAAGGTATGTTGTGAACGGGTCTTTCAAGGGATCCATGTAACTGACGCCTTACCAATAGCACACAAGCTCATCCACCATGCGATCTACTTTGATTCTTTTACCCGTGCTGGCTTTGGCAAGCAGCATTTTTGCTGCACCCACTCCAAAGTGCGGGTGGAAGCCGGACCGGCAGCCAGACTGGAAGCCACACATCACGAACCCGGTTCCGGAACCAGCAAAAATCAAAGACAGAGCTGCTCCTCCTTCCAAAAAGCTTCCAGAGCCCAAGATGATCAACTGTTGAATTGTACGTCTCCTTTTCCCTACGGTCTCCTACGACACAATCGCCCCTACTTACGCTCTTCAGTCTACCGTCTGAGCCTCTGTGCAGCCATCGGTACCCTGATCTATCTTCAAGAAGTTAGACTATCCTGCGCAATGTCAGGCGCGGTCTCTTTATCAGCTTTTTCTACTTCAGTCCTCAAGCTCCACAGACATCAATGCAAGTTCAGTCTTTACTGTCAGACGGTATCTACCTCGTGATGACGCTTAACATTAGTGCTCAGATGCTGGTCCGTCGCAGCGAACATCATCTGACGGCTTTGTGTCTCGACCACTAGATTTCGTTTCGCTTCCTGATCAGGCAGTACCCCCACAGGTGCGTTGGCAAATGTTTCACGGCGGCTGGGAGCCAGCGTCTGCCAATCTTACTCGACAGATGCTGTACTACCGCGCTAGAAGTGATGTGTTACAAAGTTACACCAGCCCTTGGGGACCCTCAGCCAGACTAGAATCCTGCTAATGATGGCGCAATGGCGATCCATCTCAGCTGAGACAGATTTATGGGTCACTGTCGAAGCGATGCTGCCGACACTACTTGTCATTCGTACACTGTAAGCCAACGAATCTCGGGCAACGGTCGAGACCACACCAGTAACACAAACATCACCACAGGTGGAAGCATCGCCGTTGATCGACTTCGCTCGGGTTCACTGCACAACCACGTACAACGGCATCCCCCGACTCCGAGCTCGTCTACCCTTCCACCCAGCCTGTGATATTACGAAGCGCGTATTTGACTTGTTCGTCAAACCAGGGCGGATAAGGATACTGTTGTTTGTTTCTCAGGCGGTCTGCCTGGCGAAACCTTACATTTCTCAAGCGATGCGCCTGAAGTTGGGCGCAGACGCCTCCATCTACAACGTTATCTGCACTGGCTGTTTCGACTCCTGCATCTTGGCGCCCCGTCCACTTCTTCCGCGGCGTTTGAATGGCTCAGAGGTGAACACTCGACAAACGATGCGATGACTGCCGTATTTGTTTCTTCCCATCATTCCATTACACGGCAGCCAGGGTCGAGTAATGACTTAGGTCCGTTCTTGAATGTTGTCACTTGGATTCTACTCATCACTTCCGCGTTGGCGGTTGTGACTAGACTCATCACGAAGCGCGCGTTGAGGCGGCGAATTGATGTTGACGATGCATTTGTTCTTTTAGCTTTGGTAAGGATGACCCACTACGTTCCCGTACGTTAACCCCCAGACTAACGATCGGCGCTCAGATTACCAGCATTGGGTCAGGGGCATCTGTTAGCATTCAAGTCGCGAATGGCTTGGGTCGCGACTTCTCGACATTGGATGAAAAGGATATTGAAGCCTATATGAAGGTGTGTCTATTGACGCGCTCGTGCTAGGAAACAGATGCTGACCGCTCGCTGTGCAGGCTGAATATGCCAACAAGATATTATATATCGCAACTTTGGCTCTGGCAAAGCTATCAATCATATCTTTGCTTATGATCCTCACCGCATCAGACAGACACCGCCATCTGGGTCTTGGGCTGACCGGCTTTATTGCGCTGTGGGGTGTCGCATCAGTGATTGCTACGTCATTCCAGTGCGGCAGCGCATATCCATGGCGTACAGCCGACGCAGAACGCGACTGTATTGACTTCGTAAGTTCAACACTTACTCATGTTGCATCTCAGCCGTCACCAACGTTCCATTAGATTGCCTTCTGGCAAGGCATGGGCGTCATCAACATGTTGACCGACCTGGCGCTGATTCTATTCCCCGTCCATGTCATCGTTACACTCCAGATGAGCATGGCTAAGAAAGTCACCATACTTACCTTCTTTGGAGCGCGATCATTGTACGACTCATTCCTCCCCTGCTCGAGAGGCTTTTTCTAACAGTCTGCAGAGACATCGTTGCGACCACTGTCCAGATGGCTTATATCGGCGGATTCTCCTCTGCCAACCCAACCCGAGATCTCTGGAAGTGGACACTCGTCACCCAGATTATTGAGTGTATTACCATTCTCACATCCTGCGTCCCCTATCTCCGGCCACTTCTCGAGTCCATTCCCTCCGGCCTCTACGGTTCTGATGAGATACGTCGCCGCGGCACACCGTCTGAGCTAGGTTATTCGCGCAGAAAGGATGGATCGTACCAATTGAGCAGTACAGATTCGAAGACTGGTGGTACGAGCCCGCCGAGCCGACCACAGAGCAGGAAGAGTCGCACCGAGAGTAGTATGAAACGGTTCTTGCCTATGCTTTCGCAGGATAGGACTACCCACTCGAACTCGGCTTCTGGTGTGCCAGGCGGTCCGCGTCGACTTGATGGACGGATAGATGTCGAGATTACAGCCATGAGAAACAAATCTGAGAAAGACAAAAAGTGGGAAACGGACAGTATAGGCAGCAATTCCAAGATCTTGAAGACCACTGTCGTAAGTGCTGAATGGGAAGAGGCGCAACGACAAAGCCAAGAGGCTTTGGTGGATGAGATCAAAGTCCTGCGATAAAGTCAATCTCGTCCGTCCGGCAATTCATCAGCTTCTCATTGTTCTGTTACGCTTTCTGTCTCTTCATGTGTGCTTTTTCCATGACATGCATATCCAGGCACCAGTCACGACGTCTATCGCTGCGAGCCATAAGTGATCTTAAGATCGTGGGATCGGCTTGAGGTATGGCAGTCCCGCGCCAATGAGTCTGATATTGAAACCATCGATCCCACCTGGGTCGCCATGTCTCGAATGACTGGCCGCGGACACCGTGGCCTTCATCGATGCAAAGTGGAACGTGGTTTGAGCTGCCATTCCTAGACTAGCCATGGCAGTGACAGGTACACGGTAAGCGATTAACATGGGCCTGCTGTACGTATGCAGACAACGCTTACTGCTGTCCAAGACCTTGTGCATTGCTTGAGCGTTGTACCTCGTGCGATGTATGAAATAGGGGTCTCGAAAGCGACACGGAAGATTGGGCGTCGCAAAGCCATTGGCTGCATGCTTCCAGATGCAAGACATGCCTTCAAAGTTTGCTGTACACGCGATGAATGTCTTCGCAGGTAGCCGAATGCTGTGGTACTCGCAAATGACGCTGCAACGTGCAGGTGGCGATGCACACGGAGGAATCGAGGAAAGAACCGAGCCGAGAACCGGTCAGCGCCTTTCTGCTCGTCCTGCTTCCAGCCTTGCGTTGATACTTCGATCGTGCTTCCAACGATTGCGGTACGAACGCCTCAGTCTCTTTGACCCAAAAAAAGCCACAATAAGCCGTTGGGTATGTGGGTGAAGCTGAAAAGGATTGAATGATGCAGAAAGCCCACGTGGTCCAGATTAAGTAAGCGCAAAAATCGCGTCCCACAAGGTTGCACCATTCCTTCATTCTCCTACCCAACCACCTCGCATCCATGATATTGCCCTGGCTCGTCCTACAACCTGTCTGCGGGGAGCCCACAGGTCTAATCAAAACGGACTGGCAGCCGTTTCTGTTGCCACTTAATCCATGCCTTCATCTCCATCAGCATGCCGCCTGTTCAACGACGCTATTCTACAGCTGTATTCCGTGCGACGCGGATCTCAATATTGACAATCTGAGCCCCTTCCGTCATTCCGCCGTCACCACAGAAGGGGATACTGCCTCTTTCCTCACATCGGGCGTGGGTAAAGAAGCCCACTGTTCGAATTGGGAGGCGCTGCAGCTCCGATGAGCGTGCAATTAGCCACCCATGCATGGCCTGCAGTTTTGAGATAGAGGTAAGAACATTATCAGGCAGGAACAACATCCATGGCTGCCACCTGGGAAGACATGGGAGCAAGGGACAACGCTCCGATGCATGCCACCGCTTTCTGCAGCTCCTCCAAGCCCAACTGTGCGACCTAAGAAACGAATCAGTGCTCATCCTTGAGCTGCTCTCTCAAGCTACAAATGCTGTGCAATATGTCGAGATGCCGCCGTACACGCGCTTCAGCTGCACGGAGAGTTGTCTTAGCGGCTTGCCTGCTCAACGCTTCAGTGCAGTGCCGAGCCATACTGCCTAGTCCTCATTGTCTAACGTTCTTGCCGGAACACATGGCTCACGTTACCTCCGAAGGAGATATATATCAATATTGACTTGCATTGCATGTGTCCCGTATCACGATCTCCCTTCCACGTACCGTCTCTCCTTTCCCATTCCGCTGGCTTGTTCTCTTTCGGCTCAAGACGTCATCTCAACGACGGTACCGTTTATCTGATCTTGAGTCTCCCAAACACCGCATCTTGTCAATCGACGGTTTCTCAAGATGGAGAAGCATGTTGAGCTCCAGACCTTCGACGGCAATATGCTACGGAATCGGCGGGACAAGGACTCAATCTCGGATGTCAAAGGTGCAGAGTTCGACCGTGATCGATATGAGCTGGCCAGAGTGGGTAAGGAGCAGGTGTTGAAGGTTTGTACTCATCTATTCTGAGGTATGCACAAAGCTGATATACACAGCGTCGCTTCGGCCTGGTGTCTATGACGGGTCTTTCCTGCGGTCTGATGTGTACATGGGAAAGTCTGCTTGTGTAGGTTAAAACACCAGTTTCGAATTGACCTCTCTGACATCTGAACAGTATCTTTGCTACTGGCTTCCAAAAGTGAGTTGAATCTTCCAGCACCACCAGACATCTTTCTAAACCAAATAGCGGCGGACCTGCTGGTCTCATTTACGGTTTCATACTAATCTGGCTCGGCAACTTCTCGGTCTTCATCTGCATTGGTGAGCTGGCAAGTGCTGTACCAACAGCAGGAGGTCAATATCATTGGGTATCCTTGCTTGCACCACGATCAAACAAGCGGTTTTTCAGCTACATTACTGGTACTGTCACTCCTGAGTCTGCTGACTTCCCAAGTTCTCCTAACTGACGAGTATAGGTTGGCTCACCGTCATTGGCTGGATCGCAGCTCTCACATCAGTGTGCTTCTTTGTTTCCGATCTGGTATTGCAGTTGACGAGTCTGAACAACCCTGACGGCTATGTGCGAGAGAACTGGCATGCGACGTTGCTCTTATGGGCCGTACTAATGCTCTGTGTTTTCATCAACGTATTCGTCAGTGGTGCTTTACCGACCATCGAAGTCGTTGTCCTGATCGTCCACGTCCTGGGATTCTTTGGGATCTTGGTACCATTGGTGTATCTCACGCCTGCACACAACACTGCTAAGGACATCTTCACCACTTTTCACAACAAAGGACAGTGGCCTACACAAGCTCTGGCCTTCTTCGTTGGTCTGCAGGGCAATGCGCTTGCTTTTGTCGGAACAGACTCTGTAGTACATGTAAGTTTCTACTGCTGACCTTCGAGACCTTTCTGATTCCTCTAGATGTCAGAGGAAGTCAGGAACGCTAGTACCGATGTACCACGCTCGATGCTCATGAGTCTCGGCATCAACGGGACGCTCGCCGTGGGATTGCTTCTCGCTGTGCTTTTCAGTGCGACTAACATCGAAGGGCTGCTTATGGAGGAGTCATCATTGTCGCCTTTCATCCGAATCTTTCAAAGGGCTGTAGGCTCCAATGCTGGTGCTACTATCATGGTTAGCATCATCATTGCTCTCGAGTTTTGTAGCGCAATGGGTTGCTTGGCTGCTGCATCGCGCATGACTTGGTCTTTCGCTCGTGACAGAGGTCTGCCCTTCTCTCGCGCTCTTAGTATGGTAAGTATTCGCTGTTCTGGCGATGTAAGGAACCATCACTAAGGCTTCACAGATCGACAAGCGCACCACCATTCCCGTGGTAGCCATTCTCGTCGTAACAGTCTTTGCCGCCCTCCTCTCCCTAATCAACATCGGCAACAGCGCCGCCTTTAATGGGACTATCTCGCTCGTCCTCGAAGGGTTCTACCTTTCCTACCTGCTTGCCATCGGCCTTCTCTTGTGGCGTCGCGTGCGTGGCGATCTCGACAGCCAAAACGCCGAGCTAGCAATCTTCAACTCCTCGCCTCACCACGACGAATCGTACGACCGTAGTCTGACCTGGGGACCCTGGCGTCTCAAGGGTGCGCTTGGTGTTGCTAACAACGCGATCGCGATCTGCTATCTGTTGCTCATCATCTTCTTCAGCTTCTGGCCAACACACACGAACCCAACAGCTGAGATGATGAACTGGGCTGTTGTAGTCACTGGCGGCGTTGCAACATTCTCGGTCATGTACTATGTCATTTTTGCGAGGAAGAGCTACACTGGACCGATTGTGGAGGTTGACCCTCATGTCATGTGAAGGGGATATCTGCCGGGGAGAGTGTTGGAGCGGGTAAAGTGTACGAAAAGGTCAACAGCCGGCGTGAAGGGTATCTTTGGAGTTGTACTGAACAACGATTCTTTTGCATTTTAGGTCTATCGGATAAAATGGCGGTACACAACTCATCTTGACTGACCATAGATTGACATATTCCTATGTAGTATGATAACGAATTCATGACTGAAAGTAACTTGCGAGTTTAATTGGTTTGCTGCCTTCTCAAGCGTCAATAAATTACTTTGTGGCAAATTGAGCATCTTGACCGTTTTTAAGACACCCAAAACGTCTTTCGACATCGAAGAGTATGCTGCTCATCAGTAAGCTTGTGCCAAGTCAAGATGATGGTCGTTGTCACGTGAATATCTGCAGCGACACGTCATTTAGGACCTTCCTGACCGCGCACCTACCCGCAGGCACCGACCCACCTCCACACCATCCATCCTGTCCCTGCATACCTGTTTTACATTCCGTCATGTTTATTTCTCTTCTATTCCGCTGATCCTGGTAATCTTTTTGCATTCAACATCACTGATGCACCGCCAAACATATCCGCTTGGGGAGTGTTGAGGACGCTCACAGCAGCATGGCCACCGTCTTCTCCTCCCTCGTGCGACCTGCGACACTGCGACGCCCTTCGACCGACACAAACGAAGCCACTGGTTCGCCGCCGTCATACCGCAAAAATACTGCAGAAGAGACTGATCTTCGCAATCTGAATGTCTCCTTGCAAGCCCTCACCGACATCTTCCCTGACATACAGCCAGAGGTTTTCCGTGAGATGCTGGCATCCTTTAGCGAAGAAAGCAGGCTGCAGGTCATAACAGAAGCGCTTCTCAAGCATGGGGGCAAGTGGGTGCGAGGGCGTTACCGGATGCCAGCTGAGCAGGAGGAGCAACGGGAAACTGCGCACAAATTCAAGTACCGGGCACATGACACTGGAAAAGACACGCGCGGCAAGCCTTTGGTGCTTGAGGATACCTTCCGCTCAAAACACTACAAGGAGGCAGCAAAGCAGGCACTGTATCAGGAGTTCAAGGGTCTAAGCCATTCGACCATCAGGGCTGTGTTGGCGGAGTACAACTGGAGCTATACACAAGCACGGCCGACGCTGCTGGAACTATCGAGCAAGAGCTGGAGGTCCAGCATCACGAACTTTTTCATGCGCCGAAAAGCACCATCTGGGAAAGACCACCCGCTAGTGCTATGGACAGCTGCAGATCCAAGGACAGGTCGCCAACGGACGCCGCTACTTGTTAAGACCAGGAACGACGAGCTGAATCGAGAGCTTTACGAGAATCTCATAGTGCCCGAACTGTCGGAGCAGCGAAGTAAACAACTGCAGGAAGACTTTGAGCTGGCGTGGAAACTGCACGAAGAAGAGTCTGAACAAGAGGGCGAGATGTACGATTGCGAGTGTTGTTTCATGCCGAACACGCTGGAACAGATGTCCACTTGCGATATCGACGGCCACTATATCTGCTTCCGCTGCATTCGACACGCTATCAACGCTGCGCTCTACGACCAGGGCTGGGCACGCAACATCAACACGGAGCTATGCACACTCAAGTGCATAGCACCCATGACGGATGGAGACTGTCAGGGATGCATCCCACTTGTCTTTGTTCGCCGCGCATTGCTGGAAGAGAAGGACGGCGACGACAACGTCAACAAGCTTGACGAACGCTTCAATAACGAAGCGCTGATCAAGTCGCAGCTACCTCTAGCTCGATGCCCGTTCTGTTCTTACGCTGAACTAGATGATTTCGCCCTCCCAAACGCAAACCTGCTTGCGAATCTTCGACTCAAACCTCGCCCTATCGTGCTAGCATCGCTGGCATCCGTTCCACTTCTCGAGCTGCTTTGCTTCAAAGCCACACAAACCATCACCCTACTCCTCGTCCTGCTCTACGCCGCCTTCGCACTCCTCTTCCGCATCCCGATCATCGCGCCCTTCCAATCCGCCCTCCGCCGCATTCACCTCAAACGCCGAGGTCTCCGCTTCCAGTGCCTCTCGCCGACCTGCAGCCGCGCCTCCTGCCTCTCATGCACCGCACCCTGGCACGACCCACACACCTGCTACTCCTCGCAGCTCACATCTCTCCGCCTTACACTCGAGCGCGCGACGACCGACGCGGTGAAACGCACCTGTCCGCAATGCAACCTTGGCTTCGTCAAGTCGGAAGGCTGCAACAAACTTGTTTGTCTGTGCGGATACTCAATGTGCTATGTTTGCCGGCAAGGGCTGGCGGAAGAGGGGTATTTCCACTTCTGCCAGCACTTTCGTGAGAGGCCGGGAGAGACGTGTAGGGAGTGTAGTAAGTGCGATCTATACCGTGTCGAGGATGAGGAGAGGGTTGTGAAGAGGGCGAGGGAGAGTGCTGAGGCTGAGTGGTGGGAGAGTCAAGGTGAGGGTGCGCAGAAGGGCCTGAAGAATGAGGTTGGGAAGGGGAAGAGGAAAGGTGTGCTAGGGGCTAGGAAGAAGGATTGGGAGGGGTGGGTTGAGGGAGTCTTGGAGACTTTCTTGGTTTAGGATGAGGGTTGATGCATTCGTTATGGCGTTCTGGTGGGCATGGAGAGGATAAGATACCCGGCATTGGCATGTTATGCTTTAACATATACTAGGTTGTAACCACATCTCTTGTGTTCGCATAGATCTCAAATTCTTGTATCAGTCGAGAGCTTCCCAATTCTCGCTCTGGAGGTGTTCATGGTACAAGAATGGAACATTGTGAACCCTCATCCTCAGCCTGGAGGTAATCAACGCCGTCTCCACCATTTCCGTGCTCGATGCAGCGCCAGTAATGCCAAAGTTCGAGCAGTATGCAGTTCTTCCTCCCGGCCTGTGCTTGACATGTCTCTAAACTATAAAAAATTTGCTATGCTTCAGCAGCTTACCCCTCTCCACCATCCTTCTCTTTGACATTTCAAAGATTGACCAGTACCAAGACACATCTGAAAGGCACTCTACGCCTGCACTATGTGAACTTCGCCGCCTTCCAAAAACAAAACTTTTTTTGGGGCACATGGGCGTCCTTGCTCTACGCTGCGCCACACATAACCTCAAGATGCGACTCATACTTGGTATGCCCTCATCGGTCTGTCTGAGTCGCTAGTAAACTCATCTCGTAATTTTGCAGCTGTCGACATCTTCGCCATCTGCACAAATTCTTCAGAAGTTCGCAAGCTGCTGTCTCATGTGCGGAAAAGTCTGCCTCTATAAATACTACACCGACACACACATGTTCTCTGCTGTACCAAAACCTGAGGGACTGACCGCTTATGGCTGTCTCCGCCTTGTCTTACATTTACAATGAATCTAGGAGGGTGTCAGACACTCCAATTTTATCTCGATCACATGCAAGGGTGTTCTGACTGCCTCCTGACCTCACTGTAAGTAGGAAAACCTCCCTCGAGCTCTTGATCTCTATCTTTGCACCAACACATCATTGCCAACTCAATCAGAATGAGAAAGAATGCTGCTCTATGAAAGAGGTGCATGAAGCCAAACATGTCGAAAGTGATGTGGACTCCACTTCAAAGAGCACCATGAGTCCATCATGGAGCCCTGCTACTCTTGTGCTCTGAGCACACTTCAGAACTCTCACCTTGAAATTCCCATGCTGCGCGGCTATGTCATTTTCAACATACGATATAAGCTGACTTTTGCTGCTCTTTAAGCTCTTTTCTTCTTTCAGAAAGCCGTTGTTTCGTGAACCAAAATATAATTCATTGTCTTCACGACAGGAGACTGGACTCTAAAAACACATCGAAGATGACCTCATGCTGCTTCTGTCTGTCAGCCAGAAATTCTTCAACTCCGTCCACATTGGCGGTCTCTGCTATCCAAAAGTCCAGGGCCTGACTGTATGTCTTTCGTCTGTTCGGAAGGCGCACAACGACCCGTCATGGAAGTACCAAAAACCTCCATAGCTCGGTGTGAGATGTGATGCTCCGCTTGGTTCTAAGAAATCTTGCTATTTTACTTCCATTGATGCTGTAGAGAGTCGAGAAGAGAGCGGGTGTCCAGACATGTGTGTGAGAAGTCCTGCTCGAAGACAAAGCTTGTTGAGGTCATAAATCTTATCAAAACCTAGAAGTCCTTTGCACTCACCTCATGCTGCTTTTGCTGCTGCTTTATCGATCCAATATCTTGCACTCGGGCGGGTGAGAGGCAATCACAGAACATTTTCAAAACACCAAAACACCTCCTCCAAGGCCTCTTGTGCCTCTGATTTTCTCCTCTGCTCGAAGGATTGTGGGGTTTATACCATACTGAAAGCATGCGACATCATGTGCAATGAAGTGGCCAAGATGGACCAGAAAAGGATTGTGCGAGACATCTTGTTGCGCTCTTTGTCAAAAGATCAGTTCAGAGACGTTCAGGATTCTCTGGACCCGAGCACCTTGCATAAGTGCGATATGGATTAGTCGAGTCAAGTCCTGCGGACTGATTGCGGACACATCAGCAGCCCATCGATGGTTCTGACATGTCTGGTTGATCCTTTGCTTCAGCTTCACAGCAAAGCCGCAGTAAATTGATGTGCAGAGGTAGAGATTTAAACTTTTCGCATCATCGTCGTAAACATGAAACTTCCACCTATGCAAACATCATGTCATTTAGAACTTCTCGCCTTCCAGGATGGGCCTTGCTTCCTCACTCTTCCACCATGAGACGCCCTCCTTTCCAGGATACGAGAACTTGTCCATAGACTCTGGCTTCATCTCCACACTGTAACCCGGCTCAACCGGCGTAACATAGTATCCCTTCTCAATCCTACTCGGGTTGAAAAAGTGCTCATGAAGATGGTCAACATATTCAAGCACACTCTTCTTACCCGACACAACAACGTAGTCGATTGTCGACAAGTGCTGCGTGTACTCGGGCAGACCGACACCACCGGAGTGAGGAACAATGGGGACACCGAATTTGGCGGCCATGAGGAGCACGGCGATGACTTCGTTGACGCCGCCGAGACGGCAGGCGTCGATTTGGCAGATGTCGATTGCGCCCGCTTGAAGGAACTGCTTGAACATGACGCGGTTTTGGCACATTTCGCCGGTCGCGACGCCGATGCCGTAGGGCTTGAGGGCTTCGCGGATGGCTTTGTGGCCGAGGACTGTTGAGTTGTCAGTGCAAGTCCCAGGAATTGGATGAAGGGAGGGAAGGAGGCTACGTACCATCGTCGGGGCTGGTAGGCTCCTCGATGAACCAGGGCTTGAACTCCTTGAGCTGCTTCATGTACTCGATCGCCTCAGGGACGCTCCAGACCTGGTTGGCGTCGACCATGAGCACGTTGCCCTTGTCGAAACCGATGATCTCGCGCGCAATGCTCAGGCGGTGCTTGTCCTGTGCTACATCGCTGCCGACCTTGAGCTTGAAGTGGCGGTAGCCCTTGCTCAGTGTCTCCTGCAGAAGTGCCTTCATCTTGTCCTCGCCGTAACCCAACCAGCCGGCTGATGTGGTGTAAGCAGGGACGGCCTGCGAGTCGAGGGCTTCCTGCAGACGCTCCTTCTTGCCCTGCTCGGACTTGGTGAGGATCTCAAGAGCCTCCTCGGGGGTGATGGCGTCAGTGATGTAGCGGAAGTCGATCAAGTCGACGATCTGCTGAGGTGTCATGTCTGCGACGATACGCCAGACGGGCTTTCCGAGTGTTTTAGCCCAGAGATCCCAGATGGCGTTGACAACGGCACCAAGGGCGAGGTGAATGACACCCTTCTCAGGGCCGATCCAGCGGAGTTGTGAGTCGTTGACGAGATGGCGCCATGTCTTGCCCCAGTTCTCGACGAGAGATTCGAGTGTTCGGCCCTTGACGCGGTCTGCGAGGTGGGCGATGGCGGAGCAGACGATCTCGTTACCGCGACCGATTGTGAATGTCTGAAGAAGTCAGTATAAGCTGACTGGTTGTCGAACTATCGGTTAGGCTTCAAGCGGCCCGTATGATGCTTCCAATATGCTCCAAACATGCTGAGGCTTGTCGAAAGGGTCATAATAAAACTTGTTCTCCGCCTCGAAAACGACAGGTTTTACATGAAAGAGCGGCAAACGGATTGACTCACCATACCGTGTCCAGAGAATTCTGAATCTGTGCTGAGAATGCAGTAAGCGGAAGAGTAGTCACCCGCCGCGTTCATGGCATCGGAACCAGTCTTATCTAGGGATGTCTGCAGGGAAATTGTGAGTCCATGTCATCGGAGGTTCGTCAGGTAGCTGTACATACTGGGAACCGAACATCCCTCGTCTCAACGCCTGTGATAGTGACCATCGTAGTGGAGTTGTGGTAATGGTACTGTGATGTTTTGGTCGTTCCGAGGATTCGGAATGAAGCGTTCAGTACCCCCGCGGTATCTCGAGCAATTCCCCGAGGCTTGAGGCTGGAGTTTTGGGTATCAAAAGAAAAGGCAAGGTAAAGAGAAGAGCGAGCTTCAGTGTAATAATCAATTGGCAATCACCGCGGCGTTCGAGCAGCTTTATACGATCTGGCAACGCGTCCGACAGTATCCCACTAACCCCCACATTGGCTGGGGTTCTGGAAAAGGGATCCATGATTACCCCACCATCACGGCCCTCATTCGTGGAGAAACTGTTGCCGCAGCCACAGGCAAGCGCAGGCAAGCGGGCTGGTGAGGCCCCAACATTGAGCCGCGTGAGCGTTTTATCGGCATCTGAGGCACAGTGAATGTCACACGTGAGCTTCGAACCGTAGATGGGACCCCGCAATAATTTGATTGAGGCTCTGAAAGCTTCGGTTGTTGGCGAGAAGCTTGATCTTGACCACGGCAGAGGTGCTGAGCATGCGGGGACAATATAGAAGATGTTCAAAAGGTAGTAAGAACATGGATGATTGATTGGGATACTACCTTGTTACAGCCTCGACGCTTCTGGTTTGTTGAAGTGTGGAATATTTACGGCCGTGGAGCACTAGTGAAAGCAGACTGCCCTGGAGCTTGAAGCATGTTACTCCAGGCTGGGATGCGCTAAAGAGCGGACTTACTAGATTAGGTCCAGGTATGGGGAGTAATAGCGCGCGTGTGCTTGGGTGAGACATGGAAGAGTGGTCGAGACAAGCGAGATCTGTTGTTTGTCCACGAGTACGCTTGCTCCTGTACATTAGCACTGACACAGGCTGGTAAACACACCTTGTGAATCGTCAATTGCTGTAACCTCCACTACGTAGGTGTTTGTATGCTTCAAGATCCGAAGACCCTAGAGCATATCAATGGCTGTCTGCTAACGGATCCTCCACTGTGCTTACTTATTTGATACCCCGCTTCTCCGTCTCGCTGTAGTAGATGACCATACGCCAAAGCTTCTTCACGAGAGACTCCGCTTCATCGTCGAGGGCCTACACGTCGATCAGTCACAAATCTCATACGAGGAGTATGTTAGAGGGAGTACTCACCACTTCGAGGTTCTCAACCAGCGCCTGCGGGCTGCCCCTACTCTTCAAGTGCTCAACGATTGCATCAACCAACATCTCTTCCTGCAGACCCATGAGTTCCAGGACCTTGTTCGCAGCCCAGTCCTTGATATCCTTGTCGATGTTCTTCTCAGGCAGATGCTCCCAGGAGATAGGCCACTTCCATAGGCCCTCCTTGTCGTTGGGAATATCCCTGGCAAGCTGTCGCTGCGCATCCTCGACCTCTTCTTGTGTGAGGTTGGCACGCACAGCAGCGTCGAAGTTGATAGGGATGAGGGCGCGCTTGCGGCCGCCGGTTTGATCTGTGACTTCTTCGTCTTCGAGGAGGTTTTCGACGTCGGCGGCGGTGCGGCGGGGAGCAGCAGCGGTCTCGAGTTTCTTGGCTGCGGCACCCAGGGAGATTTTGAAGTGTTGAGGCTCGCGGTGCTCTCGTGTGCGCTCGATTTCGTCGGCTTGTTGGTCGAGGAATGCATCGGCTTGGCCGCGAGCGTGATCTCGTTGCTTCTGTTGGGAGGCCATTTCGCGCTGCTCCTGGGCGCGGTCGACGGCGTCTTCTTTTGCCTCTCGCTCGCGGACCTTCTCACGCTCACGCATGTACTCGCCGCGGTCGCGGTAGTAAAGATGGCGCCGTATCGAGGCCTCCTGATCGTCATCGAAGTCCTTGAGCTGCTTGGCCTGCGCGTCTCGGACTGCTTGCTGCTCAGCCTCTTGGTTCTTCACGCGATCGCTTGTGCGTTCCAAAGAAGAGACACTTCTGCTCTCGTGCTTGAGCCATCGAGAAAGCTGCTTCTGGTAATCGCTTTCAAGCTCCTCGTCCCGCTTCTTCTTGCGTCGGCGCTCAATCTCAGAGTCGCTGGCCGAGTCATCGTCGTCTTCACGACTGTAGTATGTGCCACCATTGAGAGACCCTCCGTTCGTGAAGTTGACGCCGCCCTGGTAGTCCTTGGGGAATTGGGAGCCTCTCGGGCCGCTTGGAGCTCCTTGAACGCCTCGATCTGCCTTTGGTCCAACTGGAACACCATTAGCACCGCCAGGACCTGTAGGTGCAGAGGGTGGTGGCGAGCGCCTACCGCTACGGCGACGCTCTGCCTCCTCCAGCTCCTCTTCTCTTCGAAGTCGTTCGCGATCGCGCTGGTTCGATCGGTCACGGAATGCTGCGATCTCGGCCGCAACGATCTCGCGCATTTCCGCAGGGATATCCGCAAGCTCATCTTCCGCGTTGGTCAGGTTGACAAAAGCAACCTCGACGCCGTCTCCATCTTGAGGCGGCATGTCCTGCATCATAACGTCACCGCCGTAGTCCATCTGGGGCATGTTTGGTGGGTTGAATAGGCTTGCGAGCACGCCGGACAAAGCCTCTTTTGCGCTGTCGAGTCGGAACTGGACGGTAGCCTCGTCTTCGTTGCGCGTCTTGCTCCATTCCTCGGCGTATTTGATTGACGCATCGTCCACCATGACATGCAGTTGACTTGTCTCCACCTCTGCACCGTCCTCCGTCTTTTCTTGGCCAGGCTTCTGTCGCTTTGTAGGGATCTTGACCTCCTTGAAGATCTCTGCTGCTGTCTCCAGACTCTGCGCGTCCGCGAACTCGGCGAAACCGAACGTTTGGGGCTTGTTGTTGGCGTCGGTAGCGCGTGTCCAGCGCACCAGCTTTCCCGCTGTCTCCAGGATGCGCTCCATGCCATCGTCTCCTCCCACGCCATCCGGGATGTTACCAACGAAGATGGTACGGGCAATTTCTTCGCGAGTGGGTGGTATGACCTGCTGCGGTCCGTCTCTGCGATCGCCGTCCCGGTCCATGCCCAGTCCTCGCCGAGCAGGCATGGCTGCGCTCTCCTTGCGCCCACCTACGGGGCTGTCGACAGCTCCACCACGCCCTGACTGTGTTCCTAGGCGAATAACGGGCGCATTGAAGTTGAAGTTGGGCATGTTGGCAGGCGGCTGCCAGTTCGAAGGGAGCGGTCGTGGGCCGCCGAGTTGTGGAGGGCCCTGCGTCTGCGCAACACCTGGAGGAGCGACGCCGGGAGGAGCAGCACCTGGTGGTCCACCTAGACGGTATCAGTATATGTGACGAGCCTTCTCAAGCTTCACGTACCCATTCCAGGCGGCGCCATGCCCGGTGGCGAGCCTGCATAACGCGGAGGGCCGCTGAACCCTGGTGCACCTGTGCGTGTTAGCTATACTCGAGTCGCACGGCGCAGTGAACCCACCTGGGTAATTGTACATGGTGACAGTCACTTCAGATAGATTCAGCGATCAAAGAGAACGTGGAGTGCAAACGGCAAACTCACGTCGTCCTGTGTTGTAGTGAGAAAGATCCAAGCCGAAGCTGTCGTGTCTTTCCCGCACGGGCCAATTCACGCTAGGAAATGTCGAAGTGACCATGTTCAATTCACCACTCGAACTCCAGCGCCGCACCGACGCCCAATTGCGGTCCCAATCACATCACGAGTACCTCCGGAGGCCCGTTTGGGATAGCATCCGTCTGCAAACAGTCGTCACGATGGGCTCTCGCACGTTCGGCGAGCTCCTGCTCCGCCCAAGCACCTTCACCCGCATGACACCCGCTTCGCGCTTCACACCCGCGTGGACAGCCCAGCGCTACATCTCCAACACATCCTCCAAGCCCGCTGCACAGCCAGCACGCCAGGAAAACCCTGAAACCGCAACAACACCCGAGGTCGCCGCCGGATCACCAAAACCCACTTCCCGCGTTGCAGCCTCCCAAGCCATCGACGACCTCTTCGCCGGCCCCCCTTCACACGCCAGCACATCTCCGGACTCGACTCCAGTGAACCGCGTCTTTGGCGCCGAATTCAGCAAGCCCTCTCCCCGCGGCCGCCTTGGCCGCGCCCCCAACCTGAACTTCAACGACATGATCCTGCCCGACACCATCACCAACCCGTCTCTCGAGAACAAGCCCTCGCCCTCGACGCTCGTCGCGCAGCAAACCGCCACCTTCGCGGACTACCCGCGCTTAAACCCTACCTATGGCCGTAGCGTGGACCTGGACCCCAGCCGCGGGCGCGATATTGTGAGAGGTATTGGAATGCTGGGGTCTTTGATGGCGAGGAATAAGATCAAGGGCGATTTCAATAAGCAGAGGTTTCACGAGAGGGGCGGGTTGAAGAGGAAGAGGCTGAATAGTGAGAGGTGGAGGGCGAGGTTCAAGAAGGGGTTCCAGGGGGTTACGGGGAGGGTGATAGAGTTGACGAGGAAGGGGTGGTAGAATGCTATAGTTGAGGGGAACGGGGGAGGGAACGTGTAAGATTGTGTTGCATTTACTGGTAGACCTGTAACTTATGGGGCCCTGGAGTCAGAAGAGGGGATTCAGCATTGCTCTGTACAAACAATTTGAGCCTTTCAAACAATTCATCACACTTCGCGTGTCGTTTCATGTGAGTCGTGTATCTATTTCGTTTGTACTCTTATGCCACAGCACTCCCACCTCCACAGCATTCAGTCCTTCTTCCCAAGACTGCCTCCTCCATATCCATACCCACCCAACCCATACCCACTCCCGTTCCTATTCAACCCGCCGTTCGGCATCGGCAGCCCGTATCCACTCCCACCACCCATTCCGCCACCTATTCCCCCACCCATTCCAAACCTACTCCCCCCGTTCATTTTATCTCTCGCGTAAACCCTCAACCGTCTCGGCAACTCCACACCCCTAAAATACGCAACACAAACCGCGGCACTCGCGCCCGCACTCAACAAACAATACAACAGCGTACTCTTGTAAATATGCCCTCCATACCCGCTCCACCCCGGCGGGAGCGTGGTACTCGGATACCACCTGACGCTGAAACTCAGCGGCAGCGGGTCACCAATCGTGATTTTCGTATTGCGGGTGTGACTCGCAATGCTATACGCTGTGGCCGCATCAATCGTCCCCGGGCTCTCTTTCCGATCCGCAGCATGCAGCAGCAAATTCAGACTATTCCCGACATGCAAATGACTGAGCTGCAATGTCCCCGCCAACCCCACAACCAGGGGCGTATACAACGTTGACTGACTCCCTAGGGCACCCTCTTGCGTGACCTCATCGCTGACTCGGTACTGCTGCTCAAGCACGCTCGGCGGGAGCGGCTTTGACGGAATACGGCAGGTGAGGGGCGCATCGTTATGGATATAGAATTCGAGGAGGTGGAAGAACTCGTCGGTGACGAAATCAATCGTACAATTGATTTCGCGCTCGATGCCGAAGAAGAGTTCGAGCGGGCGGTTGGTTTCGTTGCAGGTCGGGAAGGGGATGTATTGCAGTTGGCCGTTGACGTCGGTTATGTGTTCGCCTGTTTCGCTTGGAGGTGTTAGGAGTGCAATTGGATGAGTAGAGAGAGGGGGAAATACATTGTGCGGTTGAGACAGGTTACTGGGATTGGTTCGCCGGGGTTGTAGCCTCGTGCTTCTTGGAGGGTCTTCAGCGGTTCTTGACCGCTCACCGCGCTCGCGAGTGATGTCCAGAAGGAATACAGCACCAGGAGAGGAAACCAGGAGACTTTTGACGCCATCGTGGTATAGGAACCGGAACGACCGAATTGATATGGCAAAAATACAGATAGAGGCTCACCACGACACCAGCATTGCGTGGTTGGATGCGCTAGGTGTTGGTTCGATCTGTCAACTTGCATATGCCGAAGTCAAACTTGGTGGTCAGTGCTCCTCCGCCTCCGACTCCGCAATCACTCGAGGCCAATATGCAACACCAATCATGAATGTTAACCTCAATCGCTCGTTGAATCACATTAGGCTATCAGGCTTGCTAGACACTCTTTGCTCGCATCATGTACTCGTAATCATGCAGCCATCATCGCCACCGTCGCCCTCGATCGTCGAACTTTACAACTGAGACTTCTTCTTGAAGACGTTGATGAGACCGCTTGTGCTGGCATCGTGCGAGTTGGACTCCTTGTCGTCATCGAGCTCAGCCTGGATCTTCTTGGCCAGGCTCTTGCCGAGCTCGACACCCCATTGGTCGAAGCTGTTGATGTTCCAGATGGCACCCTCAGTGAAGGTGAGGTGCTCGTAGTAGACAATCAGAGCACCAAGAGTGGCGGGGGTGATCTTGTCGGCCAAGATGGATGTGGTGGGTCGATTACCCAAGAAGGTCTTGTGGGAGACAAGGTTGTCGGGAGCACCCTCAGCCTTGACCTGGTCGGGTGTCTTACCAACCATGAGAGCCTCAGCCTGGGCGAAGAAGTTGGAGGCCAGCATCCTAGAATGGTCAGTACGCATAGTTCGAGGGGAGGTATATGTTTGAACTCACTTCTGGTGCTTGTTGTTCTGGACGGGGTTGTGGCTCTTGGCAGCCAAGATGAAATCGGTGGGGATGAGCTTAGTGCCCTGGTGGAGCAGCTGGTAGAAGGAGTGCTGAGCGTTGGTCGCGGGCTCACCGAACAGGATGGGGCCGGTGGTGTACTTGACGTAGTCACCGCTGCGAGTGATGGCCTTGCCGTTGGACTCCATGGACAACTGCTGGAGGTAGGCAGGGAACCTGTGAAGGTACTGGTCGAAGCTGTTGGACGTTAGATAGCTTCATGGCGTGCAGTTTTGTTGACTTACGGAGATACAAGGTGGGTCTGGGCACCGAAGAAGTCAGAGTACCAGACACTCAGCAGACCACCGAGCACGGGGATGTTCTTCTCGAGAGGAGTCTCCCTGAAGTGCTTGTCCATAGCGTGGGCGCCCTCGAGGAACTTGTGGAAGTTGTCATAGCCAATGTACAGAGCAACGCTTGTACCAATGGCAGACCAGACACTGTAGCGTCCACCGACCCAGTCGGAGAAACCGAACATGTTTTTCTTGTCAATGCCGAATTTGGTGACCTCCTCCTCGTTGGTGGAGAGAGCGACGAAGTGCTTCGCAATATCGGCCTCCTTCGCCTCCTCCAAGAACCAAGACTTAGCAGTGTTGGCGTTTGTGGTGGTCTCGGCTGTGGTGAAGGTCTTGGAGGCGATGAGGAAGAGAGTAGTCTCGCGGTTGGAGTCCCTCAGTGCCTCAGCGATATGAGTTCCGTCAATGTTGGAGACGAAGTGGGTCTTAAGGCTGCGGTCAGCGTAAGGCTTGAGGGCCTCGGTGACCATAACGGGGCCGCTAGAACTTGTCAGTATATACGTCTCAGTATAGTCTTGTTCCTGGAAGTCGCTCACAGATCGGAACCACCAATACCAATGTTGATAATGGTGTCAATCTTCTTGCCTGTGTAACCCTTCCACTCGCCGCTGCGAACCTGCTCTGTAAACTCCTTGATGTGCTCGAGGACCTCATTGACGCCCTCGACGACGCTCTTGCCATCAACCTCCATCTTCTGATTGGAGGTGTTGCGGAGAGCTACGTGATAGACTGCGCGGTCCTCGGTGAAGTTGATCTTCTTACCAGCGAACATGTCATCGCGGAGCTGCTCGAGGCCGGCCTCTTTGGCGAGCTCGACAAGGAGATTTACGGTCTCCTCAGTGATGAAGTTCTTCGAGAAGTCGAAGAGGATCTCGGAGTCCTCGGCATCGTTCTTGAAGATGTGGCTGAACTTCTCAAAACGCTGCAAGACTGTCAGTGAGCTTCACAGCATCGCAGGTTTTGTGGCCTACCTTGGGGTCCTTCTGGAAGTACTCCTTCAGGACAATATCCTTTCCGAGCTTCTGGTGGTGGTCCTGGAGGGACGACCAGGCGTTCAGGTCTGAGGCTTGCGCGAAGCCGGGCATGTTGTGTTACGGAACTGGCGGGTTCAACAAAACAATGCTTCGAATGAGGATCAGTCACTTACAATTGAAGTTTGGGGTATCGAAAAGGGAAATGCAAAGTCAATTGAACAGAGAGAAGTGTCAGAAGTGTTGAGTGAAGGTGTGAGGAGACAATCGATGGCGTGTTAAGGTAGCTGCATCTTGGAGCTGTGGAAGGCGCGGCCGAGAAGCCCCCACCAAGCCCCGCTGTACTCGCGGATACGTCACAGCTTTACAGTTGGTTAAATCGCGTGAACTGCAAACTTCTTCGGTCGGTTAGTAAAGCACCATACAAATGCTCACTAATTGACAGGTACAGCTGCGCTACCATCTGGCTGGGCTGTCAGTGTCAGATCCGTTCCAGACTTCGCAGAGTGGGATATCATCTTGCATTTCCTATCTGGGCGTGTTCCAAGCACAAAATGCTGCCCCCCCCCCCCCATACGCCGATGCCGTTGCAGAACCAAAATAGCCAAAAGCACTGAGAGTTCCCACCAATCACACACTCATCTATGTATGCTCCAAAGCCCGACAACAACGGTATCAAAAGGTGCAATGGCGACGGTCCGATCGCCGAAGCAGCCGGCTGTTGGCCGAGCTGAGCACAGTCACCGTTTCTAGGCTAGGGTGACCTTATTTCCTATCCGCAACACCCTCGAAAGACGGGTCCTTCACGGAACCACCAGCATCTCCGAGACCAGCAACCGGCCGGTTGTAAGACCAGCCTGCAAATTGCTCTTGCATAGTCTGCGACAGCATGGGTCCATCAACGTATGAATCTGTCGGTGCTTCTGAGGTGAACTCGCGGTCGAAGTTGGCGGTATCCTTAGCATCGACCTGAGGAATGATTAGCACATATGTAGTCTACAGTTTGAGCAAATTCACATACCACGTTAGGCTTGAAGCTGGGCTCGTACTTCCTCTCCAGCAGCTTGCGCCAGTCGATGCTGTGGAAGAAGTAGTGCGCCTTAATCTCAGCCGCGCCCTTAGCTCCCAGACGCTTCTCTGCGTTGCGGTCGAGCAGACGGGTGAGAAGGTCGCGTGCAGCAGGAGGAACAATCTCAGGTCCGGGGAAGTGCAGTGGCTCAGTGAGAATCTTGCGGTACATGTCGTTGGTGTTTTCATCGTAGAAAGGCGGGAGGCCGGTCAACATCTCGTAAAGGAGGACGCCCAATGTCCACCAGTCTACCGACTTTGTGTAGCCACCACCGGTAAGAAGCTCGGGCGCGAGGTACTCAGGTGTTCCACAGAATGCTAAGAGGCAGGTTAGTTGATGTCAGGATGAAATCAGAACTCTGAGCGCTTACTGTTTGTGCGGTCCTCGTCCTTCATGTCCAGCTTGCACAGACCGAAATCGCACAGCGCGATGTGGCCAGTGTAATCAAGCAGAATATTCTCAGGCTTCAAGTCACGGTAGATAACGTTGAATCCGTGCAAACACTCCAGCGCACAAAGGAGCTCTGCAGCGTAGAATCGCGCACGATTGATGTCGAATCTTTGCTCCTTCTGCAAGTGGTGGAACAGCTCGCCGCCGTTGACAAAGGCCAAAACAAGGTAAAGCTTCTCTGGCGATTGGAAAGAGAACTTCAATGGTACGATGAAGGGGTTATTGATCTGAGCCAGAACCGATCGTTCGGCGAGGGTATGTGCGACTTCGGACCGAGAGATGATGTGGGCTTTGCGAATGGTCTTCAAGGCGTAGATTCGGTGTGTGTCCTTTTTCCTGTACGATGTGAGCGCAGATCCATAGTATATAAGAAAGTCGTCACATACTGCACTTGCATGACCTTTCCGAAACTTCCCTTACCAACGACCTTAAGCAGCTCAAAGTCGTCAATGGCCAATCGGTCTTGTCGGTTCTCAACGAAGTTCACGCCGACCTTCATGGAACCGCTGCCGAACTGTACATTGATCCAGTCGGCACCAGCCTGGCCAGCCGCTGTGTTCTCTCCCTTCTTGTCCTTGCCATCTCGCTGCTCCTCGAATCGAGGGTTGATCTTCAGAGTTCCAATAAAAATGTCCTCATTTCGGCCAGCGTTGGGAGGTGCGGTTGGGTTGCGAATGTAGAGCGAGACAGTCAAATCGGTTATTCGAGAAACATCGAACTTGTACTGTGTGTTGCCGCCAGCCCACAGTGGGTTCTCTGGTGTACCGGAAACAGCGTTGATGAAAACTTGCTGCTTATCAAAATCGACCAGAGCATATGGGAGATGTTTCGAGGAGTATCGACCGTGGATGGTGGGTGCTGCGTTGATGCTACCAGCGGCAGACTGTGGGCGGCCATGGCCGGTGTACGAGCCAACTACGGGGTTCCTCGACGACCCCGGGCGCATCGAGCCCGCTACGGAGAAGCCACCGCCAGTCGAAAGTGAGCCTTGGTGGTGTGAACCGCCGCTGAAGGCCTGCTCGGCGCCAGGCGGGAGAGAGAAGCCTTTGCCCTCATGGAGTGTGACTATCAGGATACCAGGTCGGAGGGGCGCTGGTGGCGGGGCTGCGTTGGCTTCTGAAGCAGCTGCGAGCAATTAGCAGTGTCTCAGCACGTGTCATACATAGACGCACCAATGCCGTTGGAGTCTTTGGGGTCCACGAGGGTTGCATTGCTGCTTGCGAAGCTTGTCGAGGCCTTGGGTGTCTGCTGGTCAACAATGGTCGATGTCGACGACGAGCGACTAAAGGTGTTGGCGAGCGGCGCCAGATGCGTCTCCTTAAGCTCTGCGGAATGTGTCAGAATGCATAATGGGCTGTCGGCAAGGCTACACACTCTTGGTGAGCTTCCAAGACATGGTTGCAGCGGCTCAACGGTGGTTGGATATGCAGAGGAAGCAGCAGGCCAGGTGTGGGCGGTGGAGACGGGAGGCCAAGAAGAGCGGGGAGACAGGCAGGAGGGCCAACGGGTGTCGGTGAGGTTGGTGGGAGGGACGGGAGAGAGGGACAAAGGGCAGAAGGTATAGGGGCAGCGGAGAGGGTGGCGATGGACTGTCGAGAGGCCCAAGGAGACCCGTCAGTGTGCACTTCTGAGGGGGCACGGCCTGTTTGAGTCTCACGTTTGGTTATGCTACCTAGTCTTGGGCGTGGATCGTGTTTCCTCGCGCCTGTGCGCGCGCCCCAATCTGTCGTCCGTAGCTCCTCATTTCCAGCCCTTGAGCCCCACGACGAGTGAATTGCTGTGCGTGCACCGCCCGTCCGCTGATGACGATGCTCCAGGGGCGCGCACACACGTAACATTGCTCTGCGTGCATGCTCTTTCGCTGCCTCGGCTGCACCTTCCGCCAGCTGCGTCCACACCCACCATCGCGATCGCTCGAGGGCCAACACGACCAAGTCCAACGCGCCCATCTTCTTGAAGTCCCATCTCAGCAAACTGCAGCCCGCTCCTCTGCGCGACATTCGGGCTGTCAGGCGCCTGCCCCCTCCCGTTTGCATTGCACAGCCACGGTTGCTGTTGCGCCGACTTCACCTCCGAACGCCGACCGCCTTCACTTCTGCCCCGAGCGCGCCTAGAGGGTGATCATGGGTGTCATCAAGAAGAAGACGGGGACGCGGGGCACTGAGGGCGGCATCAAGTATGTCTGCGATGTGTGCTCGTCTGATATCACTTCAACGGTATGCTGCATGTCCATATTCCTTGATGCCAAGCCGTCCCATGTTGACACGCATAGGTTCGCATACGCTGCGCGAACGACGAGACCTGCCACGACTATGACCTCTGCGTGCCGTGCTTCTCCGACGGCAAGTTCTCACGCGACCACGACCCTGCGACGCACGCCTTCAAAGTCGTAGAGCAGCATTCCATACCCATATACACCGAAGACTGGGGTGCAGATGAAGAGTTGGCATTGCTGGAAGGTGCCGAAACATATGGATTAGGATCTTGGGCAGACATTGCAGACCACATTGGCGGCTTCAGGGAGCGAGATGAGGTCCGTGACCACTACATCGACACATACGTGAAGAGCTCCAAGTTCCCTCTGCCAGAGCATGCCAGCAAGGATGACACTGTGCTCAGTGAGCGCATACCTCGAGCCGAGTTTCAGGCCCGCAAGAAGAGAAGGATAGAAGACAAGAAAGAGGAGGCTAAGAATGCAGCACCCGCAACACCCAAACAGAAGCCCACAGCCAGCGTACCGTCATGTCACGAGGTCCAAGGCTACATGCCCGGTCGATTGGAGTTCGAGACGGAATACTTCAATGAAGCTGAAGAAGCGGTTCAGCATATGTCGTTCGATCCTGGCGATGGCATCAACCCCAGGACTGGCGAAATGGAGCCGGAGATGGAGCTCAAGATGACGATCATGGACATCTACAATTCAAGGTTGGACGCCCGGGTGGAAAGAAAGAAGATCACTTTCGAGCACAAACTCCTTGAGTACCGAAAGAACCAAGCGGCCGACAAAAAGCGCACAAAGGAAGAGAAAGACCTGCTGAACAAAGCGAAGCCCTTCGCACGCATGATGAAGCACGAAGATTTCGACACCTTCTGCAAAGACCTCGAGTACGAGCACAACCTGCGTCAGGCCATCTCTCAGCTACAGGAGTGGAGGAACATGCAGATCACGAACTTAAAGGCTGGCGAGAAGTACGAGCAAGAGAAGCAGACACGGCAGTCTCGTGGACCTCCACTTGGCCAGTTCGACCGCCTAGCTTCCAGTAGGATTGGCAAACCGACACCTCCATTCGAGCAGCCCTCTGCGGCGACCGCTCTGATCGGTCCAGAACTACCACTTCACATCAAGCAAAGGAGCGGTCTCACGACACCGCCTCCTGACAAGACCACAAACGGCATCAACGGCGTCTTGACACCACAACATACCAAGACCAAGTTCCAGGTCAAGCAACTACCGGGAACAGTACCACTAAAGTTCGGCAAGGAGTCTGCGGCCGATCTTCAGCTGCTGACACCGGAAGAGCGTGAAATCTGCAGCGTGCTGCGCATCATGCCAAAGCCGTACAATGTGCTGAAAGAGAAGATGACGCGGGCTGCGCTGAGCAACAACGGTGCTCTCAATAAGAAGGCCGCGAAAGAGCTTCTGGGCATTGATCCCAAGAAGTCGTCGCAACTGTACGAATATTTTGTGCATAGCGGCTGGATCGCAAGAGCGTAGGAGCTTGAGGGCGTGAATTGAGATTGGGTCTGATTATGGATATGGCGTTGTGAGACCACTGTAGAATACCCAGGCTGGACGGCGTTGGGTGGCTTTATGTAGATCTTGGCTGCTACGAGCGGCCTTGTTGACATTCGAATATGAGAGTACTGTTGTTCATCATTGGGCTTGTTTTGGAGTTAAGTGGTTTTGATTTGGATGGTGCCAAGCCATGACGTTCATGGGGTGGTTGCTGCGGTAGCTCCCGAGCGAGCTCCTTCCAAACAGTAGTTCGGGACCGAGATATCGAACTCGTGGAGAAGTCTCTCGTCTGCGCATCACCACTTTCCGTCTTTATGTCTCTTTAGTCACTGCATGGGAGTCCGGGCAGCTTCGACGCCGCGCGTAGTTTTCATTTCTACTTGTAGCAGTACGACCAACGCCGGCCGTTCATTCTCACTCTTTCGCAAGACCTCAGGCCGCAAGCAGCCTCCACTCTCCACACAGCAACCACACCGCGCTACACGAGCGACATGCCTGTCTTCCACACGCCTTCGCATTCGCATGCGCGCACCGGCTCTGGCGCGAGCTACCATGAGTCGGCACCGCGCTTCTCATTTGCGCCTGAAACATCCGGAAGACAGGTGATTGATGCAGAGCACCACGAGACCCGCAAACGGCGAAACGGCGACTACGACAACCCTTCTATACGCGGTTTCACTGCACAGCCATGGACTGGCACCACATCAACATTTTCGCAATCCGAGAGCCCTGCTCCCCTTGCGCACGACCGATACGCACTGGCTGGAGGTAGCATCGAGGGCACGAACAGCTTCACACGGCAGAACGGGAACTACGACGACTACTTCCATCTCCAGACACAGCGCGGAATGTGGTCATCGCCGACAAGTCCGTCGATGCAGCCTATGACGTTAGATCGTGTCCCTTCGACACCAAATGCGCCCAATTCCTGGGTCGTTGATTCGCTCCTGAACATCGTTGGTGGAGTCGCAGGCAAGCTGTTTCAGTTCTGCACTGTGCCATTTCGAGGGTTCCAAGCAGGAGGCGGACAAAGCTACAATGCCGACGCGCAGTTCAAGATTGCGTCAAAGTTAGGACTGCACGACGACGCAGAACCAAGTGGTCCGGCCGCTCCAGTACAGCAGATCAGATTCGATACCCGCACCAACGACGACTACGGCGTTCGGTCGATCGAATCAGTGGACACCGAGCGGCCGCGAATGCCAAAACGACTACGCACAGAAGACGCATGGATAATGGTCGGCCAAGACGAAGAAGCAAGATCAAGTCCCATCGTCACACCACGGCTGTCCGAACGATGCATGCCCGCACCTACATACACGCCCGCACCCACATACACGCCCGCACCCACATACACACCCTCGCCCTCGCAAATCCCGTGCCCCCTGTCCCGCACAAGCGCCACACCAGTCTCGAAACGTCACTCCCTCATACCCGTCTCGCGGCGCTCAAACGCATCAAGAACACCCGTCTACAGTAGCAGCATACCCGGTCCAAAATCGCACAACAGACAGCGGTCGTATAGTCGATTAAACTTTGGGTCGCCTGCCAAATCTGAAGGGGAGAAGAAGAAGATTAGCCCGTTGCCGCCGGATAGTCAGCGCCTTGTTAACAAGATGAGGAGAGAGGAGATGGAGGATGATGCACGGATGCGGAGGATGAGTAGCCAGATGAGCGCTATGCTTAGGGAGGCACGGGAGGCGCTGGGCTCGAAGGTGGAAGTTGAGGATGATGACGAGGAAATGATGCAGCATTCGAATTGATCGCGAAGCGAGGGTTAGTTTTGATAGCGATTTTCTGCAGCTCACGTTCTTGTATATTCGGATTTTTTTGCGGCGTATATCGGGCGTTCAGGTCGGCATCTATACCCGGCACGGCAACAGCTCGCTCTGCATTTTCGTACACAAACAGTCACCAGACTGCTGGAATGAACAAAGTCTTCAATGATCTTGTGCCCCCTTCCCAGGCCAGACCACTGATCGGATCCATCGTTGTGCAGTACTACAGAGCGAGGAGGTCCTCGGACCTCTCAACGATATCTGCGCACAGCTGTCTACAAGAGTCTGGAGACATTCGGCGGATCTTGACACGCGGACACTCGATCATTCACGTTCACTCAGCAACACAACTATGACGACAGGATCAGGATGATGGATTTTGGCGACTACAACCCCCCCGTCCTCCAGAAGAACACCATGAGCCAGAACGCGAGAGCATCCAGCCCACCACACACACCACGCCAGCAACGAGCAAGCCCTGGACCTTGCCCGCCCTCTCGTCGACTGACTCCGCGGCGACCTTGATGTCCGCAAGCTCCTTCTGCAGAGCCGCGAGTGCCTCCAGGAGGTCATCTCCGACGTAGACGGGTGCTTCGGGGGACACCTCGATGTCGCCGGCCCATTTTGTAGGGCGCCGGGTGACGCCGGACGTTGACTGCTGGAGGACTTCAGACCCGCCAGCGAGCTCTGCGAGGACGGGAGCGAGGAGGAAGAGGAAGACGATGAGCTTCATTTTGAGGCTTTGAGGTTGTTTGTATGTCTGCGTTGTGGTTAGTGTTTCTGTGTAGGCAAAAGAGACTTCGGTGCATGGCTTACGTTGACAGACCGGGGCTGCGGTGAAGAAAGGAAAGGATGATGAGAGCGATGGATTCCTTTTGAGTAAACACGCTGATCTGGTGGTGTCTGCCTCAGATCGAAGGGCAATCGCTCATCTCTAGGTGAGGAAGTCACTCCTTCTTGGCTTGTTGTGAGTACGGGAACTACAACACCAAACTATATCCTGGAGGTGTTCAAAGCTCCCACCCTTTGCCTAGTATACCAGCCTAACCTCGTCAACGTGACTTGTGTGAGCGGCGCTGTATGAGGAATGCTGAAGGGCTTCGGAGTTGTAGGCTAGCTTCAAGAGGGTGAGGCGAGAAAGGGCATCAACCGACATGTTGCTTTGGTTATCCAAAGGTGCTCGATATATGACGCTCTCATATATACACACAGTCCCAGGGCTGACGATCATATCCCAGCCGCAAATAACTATCCACAAAGGTCGTGACTTGCCATAGATACGTCAGAATATATTACATTTCCATCTCCCCACTTCGGACCCCTCTCCCAATCTCTTCTTGCCACTTAATTCTGCTTAGGCTGCACACTAATAACCTGCGGACTCCCATCCAACTCACTTGAAAACGGCCTTGCCTCATGAGGCTGAGGCTGCTGATAGTTCGCATTGTTCTCCGCATACGCGCCCTGCTGCGCAGCATGTGGTGGAGGACTCATACTCGGGCTCGGCACGTTATACACCGGCTGCCCCGATCCAGCATGCCCGCCTTGCTGAGGATACTGATTCCCATACATTGACAGCGGGTTCGGCGACGACGCTTGGCTGACAGGGGATTGAGGTTGAGAAGTCCATGTGTTTTGCTTGCTTTCTTCGACCCCGAAGGGGACCATACCGGCGCCTTGCTGCTGCATGGGCGGCGGGAAGTATTGTGGTGGTGAGGCCGGGCCGGTGGGCGCTGCAGGCTGGGGGTTATACGATGCTGGTGGTGGTGCGGCGGTAGTGGAGCGCTTCTTGCGGCGGATGCAGAACCAGGCCAGGAAGCCGATAAGTGCGAGGCCTACGATGGGGCCGACGACTGCGCCAGCTATCCAGGCTTTGCTTGAGGATTTCTCTTCTTTGGTGGGGGTAAGGGTGGGGGTCGCAGCGTTGGTGTCGCCGTTGCCATCTGAGGTGGTTGCTGCTGTAGTGGAGCGAGGTGTTGAGGATCCTGGACATGGTCAGTATGTTTACTTGCTCTGGAGGCTGCTTCTACTGACTCGATGTGGTCTTCGCTGCTTCGGGCTGGACGCGGTAGTATGACCAGTTGACACTACTGATACCGCAGTTTACATTGGTCTGAGGGCTCGAGTCCTGATCGTTCTCATACATGAAGGCAGTGTTGCAGATGGTGAAGGACCGATCTGTCGGGTCGGGATAGGCGGAGGTACTGCAAACTGTCAGTGATGGAGGTTCCCAAGCTCGTTGCGCTAGAGGTCACATACCATGGAATAGTTAGAGACGTGCTACCCCCGTAAAGTCTGCCATCGAAGATCAAATTGCCGTTAACACAAGCTTGAGGTATGTCGCAGCCAGCAGATGTTGCTGCGCAGCATCTCCAATGGCCTCCGGTCTGGAAGTAAGTAGCGCCTGATTCGCATTGTTGAGACGTCCAGACACCGTTTTGTGATACCCATCCCATGTAACGGTCATTGTTTTGTTTCCTCCAGAGCTCGATCTGTGGACCAGGAGTGATGGTAGGATCCGAGGTAGAAGCTGATGGTGTGACGATAAACGCAAGGCTACTCATGGAGAGCGCCGAGCCAACCAAGACCTTTGCTAGCATGATTGAGTTTTTCTATGTGAACGCTTCACTCAGAGATGGAAGTCTCCGCGGAAAGGAAGGGTATGGAGTGAAGAGAAATGCGCAGAATGCTATCAAGCTCAGCTCAGAAAGCCTTCATAACATAGAGTTCTCATAAGCCTCAGGCCGAAAGGTACATGCCGACTACATCCGTACTTGAAATCCCGGTCAGGGTCTGCAGTTGTCTCACGAGTGTGAACGTGGTACTCCTGATCCAATGAGATGATGTTGTAGGCGAAATTGGTTCGAAGGTGGGCTCCATAGTTCGTATTGTCCGCAGAGCTGAACAACACGGGATGTCGTGGCACTCACGCGGTAGCTGTAACAGGTAATTCGTGATGTGCCAAGTATATGCTTAGCACTGTTCGGTATGGTGCGAAGGTAAAGGCGCAGGGGCTTAGCGTACAGAGCAGGGTTAGGCGAACGGCTGTGGGGCTAAAGGCACGACTCGAATATAATGTATTGTTTTTGAACGCCTGAGTCTTGGAAGTGCCGGCTCAGATGTCGTACCGATCGAACAAGCATTTCTAGCCTTGTGCATTTGCAACTGTATGGACGACTCCTTGCCGCTTTCCGAGGGCGTGGTTGTTCTGGTTGTCGGGCTGACTGCGAAACAAGGCTGAACGTTCGTGATGCCCACCGTTGGTTGACAGCTTCAGTTGACCGCTCGAACCCGTATTCGGGCCGCAGGAGACAAAGTAGTCCGGCTCGCTTGTCGATACCTGATTGATTATGGACGAGGCTGTCGCGAAGTCGATCTCTACCAACAAACTTGGGAACTCCCTTGTCGAAGGAAGGGCGTGATCTGCGTTTCCGTCTCTCGTATGTACAAAGGTACATGGGATTGCCATCGGCTCCAGCAAGCAACACACTCTGCTTGGACGCCTGAAAATACCGGAGACCTCTGAACCTCTACGCAGCACGCTACTTCTCCTCAGCTGATCCTCATAGCCGCCTTCGCGCGTTGCTGTCTATTGACTGAGCCCGGCGGCCTAATCCTTCAACGGACCGTCCTCCGAGCAATCTGTACTAGCAATTGATCCTCCTGCTTCATACTAGGCACAAGCGCAACTGCGCTCGCAAAGTCGCCATCGTGGCTGATGCTGATCTCGCAAAACTGGCCTTCGAGTGTTTCCACATCGAAAGTTGCTTGCTCAGCTGCCTTGGACTTGTCAAGCTCCGGTAGAGCTTCATGCAGGATGAGCCCCTTTGGCCTTTGGCTCTGGTTTTCCTCATGATGACGCGCAGTGACTGGGAGGATTATGATATGCTTAAAGCCCCTCGTGTATGTATCTAAATGATCGCAAGCTTTCCGACAAGCTTCTTTGGCTGCGAATCTAGTGCATTGTTAGTCAACCTTCGACAAGAGGCAAGATTCCTCAAACTCCATACCTGCCTGCCAGAAACTGCGCAGCGCCTTGTACATTACGAAACACGGAGTCGTTGTTTCCAAAGCGATCACGAAAATATGTACGTTCGGGATGCGTCAAGATCTTGGTCAAGAACGCCTCCAGTGGCTGGCCTTTGTTGCCATTCACCTTCTGCGTAATCAATGATCTGATGCGCGGGATATTGCAGAGGTCGGTACCGATGCGCAATGGAGATGGAAAGGGCCGAGGCGGCATGGTAATGGGACGAATCGTTTGCTGCTGCAGCTCAAAGCTCAAAGCTCGACAGCGATGCAACGACCTCGGTAGCCGGACTTGGCAGGGATCTAGTCAAAAAAAGTGCGGGCCCCTGAGCAGACTCTAGACAAGACCTCTCTCCTCGAGACGCGTCAAACTGCAAAAAGACGACGTTGGCAGGATTCGAACCTACGCTCCCGAAGGAACAAGATTTCTAGTCTTGCGCGATAACCACTCCGCCACAACGCCGATGGTTGTTGCTGTTGTACAGCTGTTATGAAAGGTCTAACAGCTGTAACATAGATATACCTACACACGAGGCTCTTGTGCTACCATGCTAGCTTAGCAACCTCGTTCGCGTTCGGACTTTCCTCAACCCCACTGTCCTACACAGGTATGCTTCGTATTTTGAATGGTATTTGCGTCGGTCTCATCTAATCATCCTAAACACATGCCCTTCTGTGCTGAACACCCAATTGTCAAGGCTCGCTGTTTCGACGTCTGTAAATGTCAACCACAGGTACTTGAGCGTCTCGGCTGCCCAAAAGCTCTCCTGCATATCAATCCATCTTTTCTCGCCCGACCCAGGCCACTCTGAAGACTGCACTTTGTATACATCTGCAAGCTGCGCATACCCGTACGGCGCCTTGCAGTGTGTCTCCATTGCTGAGAAGGCCTCCCACGCCCAGTCGCGGAATCGCTGTTCACCAGTAATACGCCAGGCGTAGAACAGCGACTCAACATACTCCGGTCGACCCTTGTATTGCGAGTCGGTACTCCAGAAGCCGCTCTCTGCCCACTCCTTCTTCGCCCGACTTGTGTCAGGGGAGTAGAGCGGTTCATCATAGCTGAACTTCGGCGTCCAGGACCATCCTTCGGGGCCAATTTTGGAAGGCGTAGATGTGTATGTGTGATGACATCCTTCTAGTAAGGCAAGCGCGAACGTTCTAAGGTACGGTTGGTTATAGAACTTGGAGCCGAGAAGGATGGTCCCAGGCGCAAAGCATGCAAGATGTCCTTGCTCGTTCTGATATTGTTTGCCATCTTGCTTTCCTATAAAGAGATGTTGCATAACGTGTTCAGGCGCGGATGCAGATCGTGTGCTGAGGTGCTTGCGCAACGAGTAGGCGGACTCAAGGAAGCGGGTCTTGTACGTGTCGATGTGAGGGTCGGAAGCTGGTGCGAGAAGTGTGATCTTGAGTAGGTATTCGTAGTATGAGTCGTGACCGCCGTCCCAGTGTCTGTCACGGCCGGCCGGTGCGCCTGTCGTAATATCGATTGGTGCGTCCACCATGCCTTTCCACGGAGTCGACCACTTTGACCAAACCAAAGGAGCCCACGCCAGCGTAGAGTTCCTTACATAGATTGAGTCGCCAGTCAGCCTTGTAAGGACGCGATTCTCGAGGATGGAGGAACCTGTTCGCGCGGGGCCAATTGCAGGGTGCGCAAATTGAGGCTTGTCTGGGTGCTCGAAGTGTACGGACGGCGGGTCTGCAACACCTTGTGATGTTTTGAAGTTCACACGCGGCCATGGCATGCCTGTTGGTGTGTCGTAGGCAGGACCCAGCTTCTCAGCCAGAGTAACGGCGTGTTCGAGTATCAGGTCGCGCGCTTCGCCATGGAGGACGTCCTCAGGTATCATGCCAACGTCGTATAACTCCACGATCGACAGCAGTCCGCCAAGATATCGAATCGTAGTCTCGAAGGGGTCCACCAGATCCTCCGAATGCGTGAAGTCGATACCTAGAATGTGCTCCACCGAATGCGCCAGCTCGTCCCAAAGTTCCATGAGTGCCAATGTACTTGCAGAGTCTACGATGAATGCTCCCCAACCATTCCTAGTGCTTGAGTTGCCTCCTGAGACCGGCAATATGTCATCTGCGCCCCATGCGCTCTCTCTGTACTTCCAATATGTGTACTTCATTGCACTGCGCACTTTCCCCGCCCTTGTCTCTTGCGCTTTCCCAGTGCCGTTCCATGCTGTATGCTGTATCTGTGCACCTAACGTGGGTACATCGCGTGTTCGGACGGTTGGATTCGAGAACTCTTTGATTAGTAGGTAAAAGGTGATGACCAGGACCGCCGCAAGGAGCTTGAATGACGACTCAGGGTTCTTTTCGAATTTCGACTTGCCCCAGCGGCGGAAGCCGGGCATAGTGAGGAGTTGCGGAGTGCCAATTTATCGTTGTTGGCCTCAGGTTATAGGTAAGTCTTGCGACCGCATCGGTCCACCGTTGCGGAGTTTCGGAGGTGCTGCGGAGTTGTGGATGGGATGGGTTCGTAGAAATTATGCCATTTCTCAGGATGTATTGGCTGGAGTAGGAATATTTCGACTCGCTTGCGTCGTAAGTACCTCACAACTTATGCGCGACCTGTAGTTGAACATTGTTGCTGCTCCACCAAGGTGAAAGGTGAGAAGCTGTCAACCTTGGCAGGCGTGACTTCCGTTTCCCTCGCGTCGTTCCTTCCAAACTTCTTCAATCAACCTCACATATTGACGAACGCACCCGTATAGCCCTACGCGTGGGACAAACATCGACAAGACTTCTCACAGCTAGTGAGGGGAAATCGAGGCTTGCGCTATCGTCAGCTACAGAAACGCCATTGCACACAGCACATTTGGAACCAAGAGAACCCAACATTCGCCATGGGTGTTTGGCAGTATGCCATTCTGGAATTTCTGTTCTGCTGCGTCTAACGGATGTACAGATGGTACAAAGGCCTTGCGCCCAAGACCAGGATGATCATGGGTGTCGGCATCATGGCATACGCAGGCTTTGGCCTCCTAATATCGGACGAGATCGAACAACGCTTCGGAATGACACCGACCGAACAAGACTACGAGGAAGTTCGCAGACTGGTGCCTAAGATTAGCACCGTCGAGAAAGGCCAGCGTTGACCACACGGACTTTTGCGCCAGCGACTGGCACGCACCTTGGACCGGGTTCCGCGGCGACTGGGGCGCTCACAGAATCGAGAATCATGTCACGGCCGACTCCACGAAGTCTCCAGCATCCAAAGCGCATGGACGACGACAGAAACCCTCCGTCCGGGGAAGTCAGAGTACATCATCAGTACTCTCTCTCGAGACAACAAATTGTATCTGTCATGGTCAGGAAACAAAATCAAACTTTGAGATGTTGCTCCACAAAACGGGGTTTCGCCCACGATCCGAGTGGATCTCGCAGCGATTTAATTCTGGTACACGAGCCTTGGTCACCCTGCCTTGCTCTGTGAGAGAAGATTACTGAAAGGCGTCAAAGGTCTTTGAGCGATTCAATGGTGCAGTCCGCAACCTCAGACGGGATATTCGCACCACCTTGGAACGCTGGTTGAGTGCTTTCTGGCCACGTTGTATTCAACAAATCCAAGGCATATACGTTGTCTCTACTATTTTGTTGCTCTGCATTGTTGCTTCGTAGCTTTCCATTGTCTTCATGAACTGCCAAATCCCTGTTCGCCCTCACTGCATGGACTCAAAGTCTCCGCAAAATATGCGTACATTGGTTGACCACAACGGAGTCCTCAGACGACGTAAAGGCTGGTGTTTTTCATGATGGAAGTAAAACATCAAATCCCAAGATTGCGACACACGAATCCGAAATCAACGAGTTGTGCCTCGGGAGGAAGGCTAGAGCACAATCGGACATGCGGCGAGTATTGTGGCTGTCTCGGCGCTTATCCAACCTTGCACTCCTTAGAGAGCTCAGCCTGATGGACGGATCACCGCAAATCACAAAGATGTCTTCGACAAGAACCTTCATAACAACCTCTCTTCGGTTTTGCGACTTAGCAGTGACTATACTTTTCGTGTTACTTTTGAGTCCCAGCGAAGGCTTCTGACGAGTGTATCGGTCTGTAGCAGCCTGCACAATTGTATGGTGCCAGGCCTCAAGCGAGATGAAAAATAAAAGACCTTTATTGGCTCTCACCGCCGATGTGCCTACGACGCCTCTCAAAGAGTTTCAGTATCGGCAACCTTACAACGAGCGGAAGGACCTATGGTCAAGGACTACCCAAAAGGTCGCCCACCTGGAAATCCTTTCTCTGGCTCTTTAGTGACACATCCTGGCATGTACAGTGGCACGCTTCTTACAAAGGGTGTGATACTTGCACAAACGGAAAAGTTAACATGGACAAATCACAGCATGGTATCAAAGGACTGTTTGAAGCTTCTGGGATGGAATGGAAATCTAACAACCGGGTTACACGACAAACCCTGGCGAACACTCGTTGCCAACCGGACGGAAGAGGGGCGTAATGCACCAGCCTGGTATCGACGAGCATGTGCTTCAGCACTGAACATGTGAGCAAGCGGGGCGATCGCGATTTCTCTGCGTTAAATCTGCACAAGAAGTACCCAAGCATTGTCGTCGAATACATTGAGCATTTCCGAGTCGTCACGTATGATCGCACGTTTTTCATGGCGAGTCTTTCCACAATCCTACACAGAAATGAGTGGGTCTAGTACCATGGTCGGGGCGCTTTAATGACTATGTCTGTGTTCTGTTTGGCTGTTCTGTTCCGGTTCTACTTCGCTCAACTGAAGATGGCGATGATGATTGGGAGGTTGAGCTCGTTGGCGAAGCATATGTTCTTAGGCATATGGCAGGCGAATTGTTTGTGGGCAAGACGGAAGCGGAGATTGCAGAGATGACGGCGGAGTTCAAGATCCGCTGAACTTTATACTCTCCTTGCTAAAGCAACGTTGTGTTGGAGAAAGGCTTCGTTTCCAAAGTCTGGAGATCTTACCAGTTGTCTCGTATAATGAAAGGTTCTCGTGAAGTATAAGATCACAATTTTGTTCTACCATAACGCCGTATCAAGACCACCAAACCTATGCTAGCATCCCACTAAACTCACTCCCCTCCTTCAACATATCCTCCGCCTTTCCCGCCTTGATCAACCTCCCTTTCCCCAGCACAACACAGTAATCCGCATTCTTCACCGCTTCCAGGCGATGCGCAATCGTGATCACCGTGCTCTCCTTCATCTCTTCCCTCAACACAGTTTGAATGCGCTGCGCAGTCTCAAAGTCAATACTGGCCGTGGCCTCGTCCATTATCAGCACCGGACTCCTTCTCAGCATCGCTCTCGCAAGACCGACAAGCTGTCTCTGGCCTTGTGACAGCCCCTTGCCGCCGCCTTCGATATTGGTGGACAGTGTCCAGCCGTGGTTGCCAGCGATCTTGGCGAGCACGGCTTCGCATGCGCCGTCGGAGTACTCATCCAGTGGGTCAAGGTTCTTACGCATGCTGCCGGGGAAGAGAACGGGCTCTTGCGCGAGGAAAGTTACACGGCTTCGCAGTGCTTGTTTTTTGACGGTGGAGATGTCGACACCGTCAATGAGGATACGACCACTTTCTGGTGCGATTGTGGCTAGGAGTGACAGCGCGAGTGTGGACTTGCCGGAGCCGGTGCGGCCGATGACTGCAGTGTTGCTTCCAGCTGGGATGGTGAGGGTGATGTTCTGCAGCGCAGGATCAAGATTTTCTGCATAGCGTATAGTGGCGTCTTCAAAAGTAATGTCTCCGGTGTAGGTAGGCCAGTGGGCAGGTGGGTCAACGACGCCTGGGGCTTCCTGATCAAGGTCGAGAAGCTCGATGACGCGTTCCACGCTTGTAAACTGCATTTCCAGCTGACCGTAAATTCGACACATGTACTCGGTGAAAAAAACGAACCTGGAGGCTGTGACCAACACGAAGGCTGTCAAACCCGAACTAATACCCGTATACACAGCAATAAGTGTCATGACAAGTGTCGCGCTCGCCGACATGGTGCTGAATCGGAATGACAGCCAAGCTTGAAGTGACCAGTAGAAATGATCATTTTTCTGGAAGTTGTCAACGACCTCGATGACTCGAGCCTGAAATCGTGGCTGAGCGTTGAAGGCGCGGACAGTGGTCAAGCCCTCGACAAGAGCACCGAAGTTGGACATGAGTGGAGAAAGTGATACCATCTGTGGACGTTAGTACATGAGGGCAGTGTGGTACTGATTGCAACTTACCTCCAGGCGCCTCAAGCTCTGCGAAGTTGGCAGAAAGCGGTAGAAATTGTAAACGAATCCACAGCATAGCAGCAATCCGAAAGCGAGGAACGCTGGCGTCGAGGAGAGAATTACTACAATGCAGCTGACGAAACCGATCATCTGCCAGCCAAAGACAGTGAACGCAGTGCTCAGGCCACCGTCCACTGTGTTCATGTCGCTTGTCAATCGGTTCATGAGCCGTCCAACCGGTGTGACGTCGTAGAACCTGAACGTCGCGTGCGCGACCTTTTCAACCCCCTCTTTGAAGATAGCTTTCGCAGCATGGTATCCGACACCAAACATGATGAGGTTGGTCCACCAGAACAGCACTGCCGTGCCAGCGACAAACAAGAAGAAGCCCCACAGCCACGGTACAACATCCTCGGTAGGTGGCGGCAGGAAGTCAAATACACCGTCCCTGTGCTTGCCATCGTAGCCTTCGCCCCAGGCTTTGATGAACCAAGTCTCGGCGACATCTAGTAACCGAAATAGCGCCATGACAACGAGCGATATGGCCCACCATCGCAGTGTGCCAGCCTTGATGTAACGCCAGTAGACCTTCAACTTGACGCCGCCTTCAGCTCGGTGTTCATCTTCGATGAACTTGTCAGGGATGGCTGCGGCTTGCTCCTCCTCTCGCTTCTTAGCTTCCTCTTCCGAGAGTGACTCGTTCGTCTGTGCTCTCTTCAGCGCGTTCCTGTCGTCCTGCTTTGTAGGTTCATGGATGGTCGCCCGTCCATGGTCAAGCTCAACCCATTGCTTCGCCAGATCATGGCAAAGCTCGGTTCGATGTGTAACCAGCACCGTCACGCGACCCTCGACCAATGAGCTCGCGAGCAGCTTATGGACAATGAAGTCAGCAGTCTGATGATCCAATGCGGAAAGAGGATCATCGAGAAACAAGACCTTTGCCTTGCTGTATACAGCGCGGGCAAGCGCTACACGGGCTTTCTGCCCGCCTGACAATCCGATGCCATTTTCGCCGATGTTCGATAGATCACCGTGCTTGAACTCGACCATGTCGGGTATAAGCGCACAAGCTTCCAGCACTCGTTTGTAGCGAGTCTCTTCATAAGGCTCTGAGAAGAGGATGTTATCGCGGATGCTCATGCTCTGTAGCCATGGCGTCTGGGCACAATATCCGACGACCTGATCGGGGCGAGTGAGTTCTCCAGCGGACTTGTCGAGCTCTCCAAGGAGTGCTTGAAGCAAAGCAGTCTTGCCTGCAGCAACCTCGCCGTAGATGACAGTCAGACCCAGCGGGAATGATAGAGTGATGTCCTCGAGTACGTTCTTGTCTACCCCAGGCCAAGCGAAGGATGCGTTCTGCAGGCTGAGGTCATCAGAACCTTCGGGGACCACAGCAGCTTGTTCCTTGTCAGGCTCATCCATGAAGGCTTCGATTCGACCCATCGCAATGTAAGCGTTGAGCAGCGTCGTGACGAGCGAAGGCAAGGCGCCAAGGTACGACTCCAGCAATATGAACAGATCGATCGCAGGGAAGATGAGATCGACACTGAGTGGCTTGCCAGCCAACTTGGTGAATGCATAGAATGCAACAGCTGGGAACAGGCCAGATCCAAACCTCATGATGAAAGCCAGCGACGTGTTGAAGATGATCTGCAGAACCCGCAGGTGCAGCTCCGCCTGCCTAGACTCGAGAATGCCCTTGAGCCATGCCTCGTGCCAGCCATACCACCGCAAGTGTCGGATAGACTCAATGAACTGTGTGGTTCGTTGTAGCTTTTCGTCTGTCGCCTTTCTACGCTTCTTCTCAAAGTATACCTGATAACGCGCAACAATGACGCTGAGCACCTGGGTCACTGCAAGTGCAAGGACACCAAGCAGGCATGACCAACCAAGCATTCTCCAAATGAGGAGAGTAGACCCAATGACTCCAAGTGGCTTGATAACGATGTCGGAGAAGTCCCAGAAGCGTTGTGCGATTTCATAAACGTCGTTGCGCATCAGGTTGAGAATCTTGCCCATAGAAGCGGCAGCGCTTTCTTCCTCTCTTGCGTCCTCTTTTTTCTTCCTTGATAACAGCAATCGTGCACGCGACCAAAGTCTTCCCAGTCTGCTTTGAGGCGCGGTCTTGACTGGCTGAGTGGATGCACTAACTTCACCATTGGGCTCTGCATTGGTCTCGCCGTCTGCGTGACCATTCACACTGCCATTAGTATGACCATTGGTGAAGCCATTCTGCGGTTCCTCCTTGGCTTCCTGCTTCGCCCCGAGGATCTTGCGGTTAAGGGTCTTTTCGTATAGCATAGTGATCAACTGACCTCGAGATCTTTCATATGCACGTCGCTGGTACCAGAGGTTGAAGACGTCACATTGTGACGATAGTAGGCGCACAAACAAAGAAATGAATGCATATGTGATCGTGGCGCTGCGCGGGGATTCTGGATCCTTCATTGTACCCAAGAGCTGTTGCAGTAGGACTGGTGTTAAGAGCGCTGTGTTGCGTTAGATCTCGTACCTTTGATAAGAGCATTAGGGATACGACTTACTTGCACAAAGCCGTAACAGATTAAGACTTGTTGTACGCAAAGCATCCATACCATTGGCCACAAACACCCTACGGGTTACAGAGCCTTCCAGCTTCCGAAAAGCATCGTGGAGCCGTGCGTGCTTGAACTCCCAGCCAAGATCCCACACATCTTCGTCGTCCATCTTTCGTGTGATTCCTTTCTCAATCAAAGGACCCATCCAAGACACAGTCATGTACTGAAGTGGGGTCAAGTTATCCTCGGGAGTCCTAAGCTTCACCGTAGGCGGGCCGTAAACAGGGCTGATGTCGTCACTCTGTAGACTTGGGTCCCTTAGAGGCATGTTGAGGATGACAATGATACCTACAAACGCTAGAACAGGACCAAAAGCAAGGCTGGCACCTCCTGGGTTCGACAGAATGATTGCGACTTCAGCAAGTACTGTTGAGGCGAATAGGAACAGCAAAGAGAGCGAAGCAGTTCTTGGCCGTTTAAGTACAATGATGGCGACAGCGATAGCCTGACTCGTCAGTATCTCAATTACGTTGATGGACTTATTACTTACCCACGCAAGCGAAGGGAACCCGGAAACTGTCGCTACAGCAATTGGAAGATAATTGCTGCTGACCTGTTGAATGAGGCCAGTCGATGCGATCACTAGTAACCCATAAGTCGACCATGCGAACTGGTGGCGAGGCGCATCGTCGAGCTCATCCGACTCTGCTTTAGTCTCCCGTAGAATCGGTTTCGTCCATTGTGGGCGATATGGATTGAGGAGCCGTAGTGAGTAGGTCAACAGTATCAAAGCTCCTACGATTACTGGTATCATCGAAAGATACGGAAAAGCGCATGGCGTGAAGGTAGCCGTTTGCGAGTCCTGTAACCATTAGCATACAGTATGTGTGAGGAACCATTGAACGTGCCCATAGATGTCGACATTCTGAGATTGGTGGTATCTCAAACGCTGGAGGATTGTAATAATCATCGTTGCCGTGCGCCAACATCAGTGTCTGTAAGGAAGCCATAGCGACGCGTGACGAGGCAAACAATTGTGCGATACACTATATCAGCACCTTCTTCCACCTCAGCTCCGACCGGTCAACAATTGAGTCAACGGGCGGTATCATGAGGTTGTTTGCAAAATTTGCGAGGCAGGCAGCAGTGTGAATGGGTGTTGAGTGGACGTCGGTGTGGAAGTAAGCCGCAGGTATCGAAGCGGCAAGGGTGTTACTAAACGGGCACTAGCGCTTGTCGTATCGGCGCGTATTGGATGGATTACCTCGCCACACGGCTGGCTGGCAAACCTAGTCCTTTCTTCACCATAACATTTTGTAGATAAGTGTTGCCCATTGTCCATTTCTGAAAGCATCGTCTGCATTGCTCAGGAGCGATTCAAGGCAGTCAGCTGCCACCGTGACCGATCGGGCGGTTGGCTAGCTTCACTGGTGTCAGCGCATCAATAGACTTGATTGACCTGCGCATACGAGATCACGGTGACTGCAACAGTCATTGAAGGCCTCCACAGCTTGTTCTACTTGCATGCAAAGACTGTGCGGCTTTCGAGATGTTCGTATCCAATATCTAACCGGTTCAAGTCGAATAGCGCATGCAACAGCGATCCTCACGCTGGAGATACTCGGAACATTGACTCACAACGTTCCATCCAGCCCATCAGCCAGCCTCAATTCCTCCATTAAGGCATCAATGATCTTGAACATCTCTTCCGCCATTTTCTTCCCTGACTCCCTCCAGCCTTCATCGCACAGCCGCCCAAACCTGTCGGGATGCCACCGCAGTCTTTCCTGTCGCAGCCACTCATAGCTATACAGGCCGCTTGCGCGTAGAAGCACCTCTACATCATGTCTGCATGCCTTGATGCTTAAGGGGTCCGATTTGAGCAACTCGCATGACGGAAGTGTGCACGTAGTTACCGCTGGAGGCAGGTACGGAAAGGCGATCAAAAGACTGGCGGGTGCAGAGGATGCTGCTGGTATTGAGGGCACATGCATGTTTGACTGAGACCTGACTTGCAGCTTTCGCGGCTTTGGATGAACAGGGATATCACCGAGTGGGCTCGATGGCGCTGGACTTGATGGTGTAGCGATCGCTGCCAGTGCGGAGGCAAGCCTGCTTGCTGTATCTCTGGACCAATTTTCGTATAGAGCCTGGATTGCAGCGTCTGGTCTTGTATTGATTGGCGGCACAGACGATGTCTCTGCTCCGTTCTGGTCATTTGATTGGCTTCTGTGCCGGGACTTCTTTGCCTTTGTGAAAAAGTTCAACGCAAAGTCCTCCAGAGCATCTTCGTTGATATCATCGATACTGCCAGCCCATGTGCCATCGTTGCGAATAGCGATGAACTGGTCAGATGTAGTGGGATCGAGCGCGATGAACGCAAGCTCGCTCCACGAGAAGCCTTTCTCGGCTTTCCATTCTTCGACTGTCTCTTTGTAGATGTCCCAACTGTCTTCGTCGCCAAGTCGATACACCACATCTCCGTACTCACTCATGGCAAAGAATGCACCTTCAGGACCCCAAGTCACAATGCGTGGCGGCCCCACACGCCATCCTGACGGTGTGAGCCATGACTGTAGTGAATCTTCAAGGCTAGGCGGTAAATTAGCCCATCGTATCAGCTCGGGATGCCAGATGATGAAGGATTCGTTTGGGCCAAGAAAGAAGCGTAGATGCGGGGAGTGCCACGTTTTTGCTAAGATGGTCTGAAGACGTTGTGGGAGAAGCGCGCCCCAACGTATGCTACTTCGACCGGAGGCATCTTTGAAGCTGAGTAGCCAGGATTCAGGGACTGGGCCTAGTGATGCCCAGTGGACTTCTGTTGCGGTGGAAAGAAGGGCCAGGAGAGAAGTAGGAAGGTGGCGACTTGAGATTGTTAGCTTGTTGTGCGAGCCTGCAGGATTGACATACTGCTTCAGCCCCTGAAAGCTCTTCGAGATGAAACCATCATCTCTTCCAAAAGAGAGGAAAGAAGCGTTACTGGATGTAGCGGCCATGCTGGGATGTTATTGGCTCGGTGCCGTTATGACGTCAGATGTGACTTTCAAGCTCTCCAACGTCTGTCTCCTCGTTGGGATTTTGGAGGCTTCAGCGATTCGACCTTGTATATTATTGCGCCATCACAATCGTGTGTACCTGTTGGTGGAGCGACCAAATTGCTCGGTACGCAGTCGGCCGATGTGTGAAGCAACAGTTTCCCTGCTCTGAACCTGGAGAGGATCGCTTGGCGCGGCAACGCTGTTTACACCACGATCGCTCGACCGCCTTATTGTGAGATATTCATATGTCTTTAACCCCTCTCGGATGGCCTTTCGGGTCTCGAACCACTTTGCTGATGAGAAGCTGAGCTCTTGATGAGCGAAGTGAGAGCATAGCTACGATCATGTGCGACGCAACTTTCACATTCGGTCAAAGAGGGAGCCACTTCTTTCAGTGCGCATCGCGGCGCGAGATGTCCGTTTGATCCATGAAAGCACTTTGAATGATGATACTGATAGTTTCTCAGCACTCGCATACCCCAGAAACTGACAGCTTTCCTCTCATCTTCTCAACTCCAACTGGTCTACCATGTTGCACTTGGATTTCAAGACAGCTTCCTCGTTACATGGCGCGATCGTAACGGCAACGACCGTATAAACAGCATAGGACTTCCGGATGAGCTTACAGACTTTCTCTACAATCGGAATCCTCAAGGCCAGTTGATTCGCAACATCCCCGCCATACGTTGTATCCTGGGAGCTTATAATACTTCGTTCTTCGTTCACGACTCTTCCGCATACCTGTGGATGAGCATACCAGAGGGCTTACTTACTGCCCTCCAAGCCCGCATCAAGAACGGATCTTGGGTGGATAAGCCACGTATTGTGGCACTTGGTGCGGACGATAACTTCCTTTTGATCACCGAGAAGAACGCAGCGATTTGGGATCTCGACAACTACAAGACAGTATCCAACATGCTCGAGTTCTCCCGATCGCAAGAAAGGGGCATTCAGGAGATCCACGACATTAGTCTGCACCCTTATCGCTATGGCTGCTTTGTTGCGCAATCCAAGAACGGAACGTTGCTGCATGAGGACTTGCCAGCTCACCAGGTGTCCGGGATAACGAACATGATTGACCCAGTGCTGCGGGATACGGAGCGCGCCGGAAAGAAGGCGATGCAGCGAAGAGAAAGTGAGAAGCGGGAGAGCATGCAAAGGAGGCCAAGTACACTCCAAGAAAGAGCGAGGATTAAGAGAGAGTGGAGTGAGCACAGGCAGCAATTTACCGCGCAGTCCAAGGGACTCAAACTCAGTCTAAGCCTGAGTATTGGCGTAGGAGGACTGGCACGCATGCTTGGGTAACAGTTGGCGAGGCATAGGGTGGGGTGCAGCTTGGAGGCTTTCAGAGCAGTCGAAATCACTGTTGAACTGTTTGTGGTCTTGATTCTTGAATAGCAGCGGTATGTTCGCCTGGCCAAAGATTGAGGGCTCCGAATACCTTTAGGGTGTGGCTTGGTGTTGCAGTTTCCATGTTTCTCCCCCTTGCCTTCCTTCCCCTCCCCTTTCCTCACCTCTCCTTCCTTCACCCCTCCACCCTTAGACATGCATGTAGACCTATACGATGTACACATCATAACTCATAACGCTTATTCACGATTTTCAAGTTTGCGTCCAACCTTGAGTACTTGTGATGTGGCGCGCGGATGTAGGCGAAGACCTCCAGGGTCCCTTCTGCAGGGTCGTCCAAGTGTATAGATCGACGATGGTCGGGGGTGGTCACAGACCACGCAGGAACACGGCATCTGGGTAGGCCTTGCCTTTTTGAGGCGAGGGTAACGAGATCACCGATTCTAACTACTCTGCAGCCAGCAGGGGACTGAACCCAACATCATGTAACTAAGTCTTTGCATTACCAGAGGAGCTACTGCTCTTAGACTCAGATAGGACGTTAAACCAATCAATCAATCAAGCAAGCAAGCAAGCAAGCAGCCATCAGCGTACACTGTGACGATTGCCTACCGGACAAGATGCGAGGTTTCGAATGGGTATTGGAAAACTAGATGATCAAACTCGAGGCCCTGTGAGGAGGTTCACTGTGATGAAGACCTCCAGGGTGAGGGTTGATCTACGGAAAGTGGAGCACCATTTCAGCACTTACCCTCCACGCTGTACGATTCTCTAACCTTGAGTCCAGTCCTCGCTTGACTTTTCTGCCTATCGTGGAGGGAGGCTGGTGGTTAAGCCGAGTGCCGACGGTTGTCGAGGCTTGCGCGGCCGCGCCACAGATGCGGAAAGGCAGGCGCAGTCCGCGGGTGGTGAGCAGGGGTCCGATGAACGCATTGGTGCATTTCACGATTTGACAGCGCCGCGACTCCCGACCTCTGCGCAGCCCGCGAGGCGTATCTCACCGGTCCTCTATACGATACCCTCGCCATGTACACAGCGCAGTAGACCTCCTCCTGCGAACGATCCATTAGCTTCAGAGCGCATACCTCGCTTGTTGCTGAGCGACATCACCCCCCGAGGCGGACCTCCGAGATGGCCGCAGCCGCCGACCGCGACAGCAGCGGGCAACATGAGCTCGACGACATGGCCGACAAGAAGCCCAGCCTCCCCGTCGAGGAGGACATCATGCAGCTCGCGCGTCTGGGAGAAATCGGGGCCATCCAGAAGCTCTTCCACAGCGGCAAGTTCGATGCGACATACACAGACGACCAGGGCATCACACCGCTGCATGTCCGTACCCATAGCTCTCCTTGTGCGCATATAGCTGACACATACACAGTGGGCAGCCATCAACAACCACTATGCGCTCTGCCACTTCCTCATCCAGTCCGGCGCACCCCTCAACGCCAAGGGCGGCGATGCCGTCGCTACCCCCGTCCTCTGGGCCGCCAAAAAGTGCAACTACTACGTCGTGAACCTGCTGCTCGAGCACGGCGCTGACCCGCTCCTCACCGACGACCAGGGCTTCAATCTGCTTCACTCAGCCACCCTCGACGGCAATGTCTACCAGCTCGTGCTCCTCCTGCACCAAGACATCCCCGTCGACATCCCCGACCCGCAGTCCCACACGCCGCTCATGTGGGCCGCATACAAGGGCTATCCCTCTTGTGTCGATCTGTTCCTGCGCTGGGGCGCGAACGTGTATGCCACGGATGATCAGGGCTTCACGGCGCTGCATTGGGCGCTGGTGAAGGGGAGCCAGGGGAGCATACAGAAGCTGCTCGAGTACGGCGCGGATCGGTTTGCCAAGAACAATGATGGAAAGACGCCCGCTGTCACGGCCGAGGAGATGAACACAACCAGGCAGTGGCGCAGGGCGCTGAGTGAAGCTGGGTACAAGCCTGATGGGAGTCCGAAGGAGTTCCCGATCCCGGGGGTCAAGGATACGAGGTGGTTCCTGAGCAGATTCGTATTCTTTTGGCCGTTTGCAATTTTGCTTGTGGGGCTGTGGCTGGTCAGCTACTACCCCGTGTTTGTTGGAGTGCCGTTGGCCTTGATTGGAAGTTATGTCATGCAGATGGCCGCGCAGAAGCTGCTGCAGTGGGGGCCCTCGAACATGCGGAACATACATCACAGCGTGAGTTTGACCACGAACCAGGCTGTATGGACACTGACTATCTCTAGCCCTTCCTGGCCGGTATCTTTGCAGGCACTTTGTTTTGGGTTGGAGTGCGCTATGCAACGACAGTCATGCCAGGTAGGCCTACTCTCTGCACAGCACAACTAGAGCCTAATATGAGCAGGAACGATACGAAACTCATTCTTCACGAACATTGTCTTTGCAGCGTGTTACGGACTTACGGCCTACTTCTATTTCTTCACCATGTCCTCCGACCCAGGCTATGTGCCCAAGTCGGCGAGCAGGAGCGCTTCCAAGGCCATCATTGACGAGTTGATGGAGCTGCGACAATTTGACGAACACCACTTCTGTGTGAACTGCATGGTCAGGAAACCCCTGCGCAGCAAGCATTGCAAGAGATGCGAGCGTTGTGTTGCAAAGAGTGACCAGTAAGCTGTACACACACGGGCCCTGCATAATGCTAACAACCCTAGCCACTGCCCCTGGGTGAACAACTGCGTTGCGAACAACAACCACCGCCACTTTGTGTTCTACGTCCTTTTCATGGAACTCGGCATCCTCGCATGGCTTCGTTTGGCCTGGAACTACCTCGACCACCTCCCCAAACCGAAGGACGATGCTTGCAACGTCCTCTCTGACGACCTCTGCGAAATACTCAACAAAGACCCTTTCACCATCGTCCTTTCCATTTGGGCGGCCTTCCAGCTAACTTGGGTCACCATGCTTCTCTGTGTCCAGCTCCTACAAATTGCCCGCAATCTCACTACGTACGAGTCGATGCGCGGCCACCTCAACTCGCACACCGCCGCCGAGGCAGTCACCTCTTTTGTCACCACTGGTGACACTTCTCAAGACGTCGCAGGAGGGGCAGCGAGCACAGGCCCAGCAGGTAATGCACCCACCAACGGCTTTGGATCCGGTCAGGACACGGGTGATGTTCCCAAACGCCCGCAGCCTAAGCACTCGGTGTGGGATCAGTGGAAGCGACTACTCGGCCTCGACACCTTCGTCGCCATCGCGCTGCACGGTTCAAATGCCGACCAAATGCGTGCTCAGCGGCAGCGGCGTGGTAACCCCTTCTCACGAGGCATCGTTACGAACTGCAAGGATTTCTGGTGCGATGGTGCGCCGGTATTTGGAAAGAGGGAAGGCGGGTTTGCAAAGCTTGGCGGCGAGAGGATTGACTACACCAGGTTGTACGACGTTCACGATATCCCGAAGATGAGGTATGCGAGAGGAGGGGATGGAGAGAGGTACGAGAGTGTGGGCACGGAGGAGGAGACCTGATGTGTGATGGATGAGTTATCACGAATAATGCATTGCTACAACAAAATCCTACGGTTCAACAGTATCCCTTCGTAGTGTGCTTCGGCGCATCTTCAAAAGCCGATGCACGCGCCTGCGCCACGTTATGTCCGATCTGTTTCCGGCCGAGGCGAGGTTCCCGCGAAAACTGCCCCTGCGTGGAACTGCCACGCGCGACGCTAAACGTCGTGAACCTTGGTTGCTCGCACATGTTTGGCAATTAATAGCTTTCGCAGTGGTTTCTTGTACTGCGTGATACCCTCCGCGCGTGCTTTCTTGCCTCCAGTTTGGCGATGATATAGCAAGCTTCCTGGCCTATCTACCAACCTTCACAACCCTCGGAAATGACATCATCCGAGGCTCTGCGCGGGCTCAGAACCCTCTCGCGCGCAGCTGCGCCGCAGCGGATACTGGCGACCGGAGCGAGCGCCAGAGCATATTCGAGGAGGACGATATGTAGCGACTGTGCGCGAAGCTTGAGAAGAGCAGAGAATGCTCAGATTGGGCGCGCTGGCACCAGACCTGCTCTCGACCGTGTCGCTCGGCAAGCCCCAGTATTGGGTTACAGAGGATACGCACAGGTGGCGCATGAGTGTACGTGAGGCATACGGCGTCAGATGGGGAAAGTGCTGATGAGGGGCAGACTCGCCGGATCCAGAGAGGGTCCATGGACCCATTGCCGAGTACGATGCTCGCGTCGACTCAGGACGATTGAGGGATGATGAACACCAGAGAAGTACGGCAGTCAGTTAGGCGCACGACAGTCTGCTAATCGCCACAAGACATCATCAAAAACCTCCAAGACCTCCACGACATGCTCGCAGGCTACGAACAGCCCCCCGTCCAGCAACCCACCATCGAATCCTTGCAGCCCCCCAAGAAGTCATTCTTCTCCTTCCTCTCCTCTTCAGAACCCAAACCGACCCTCCCCCCGATTCCTGAATCCCTGCCAAAGGGCATGTACATGTACGGCGATGTCGGATCTGGCAAGACGATGATGATGGACCTCTTCTACGACACCCTCCCGCCCAATATCACACGCAAAACACGCATCCACTTCCACGCCTTCATGCAGTCTGTCCACAAAGACCTGCACAAGATGAAAATGGCACACGGCAACGACATCGACTCTATCCCCTACGTCGCCGCCAACATCGCCGAGCGCTCCTCGGTCCTCTGCTTCGACGAATTCCAGTGCACCGACGTCGCCGACGCCATGATTCTGCGCCGCCTAATGGAAGCCCTCATGGCCCACGGAACCGTAATCGTGACGACGAGTAACCGGCATCCCGACGATCTGTACAAAAACGGCATTCAAAGAGAGAGTTTCATTCCTTGTATTAATTTGTTGAAGCGCCGCCTCACCGTCCTCAACCTCGACTCGCAAACCGACTACCGCAAGATCCCGCGCCCGCCGAGCGGCGTGTACCACCACCCGCTCGACGCGAGCGCTCAGACCCATGCAGAGCGGTGGTTCAGGTTTCTGGGCGATTTCGACATCGACCCCCCGCATAAGGCGACGCATCAAGTCTGGGGCAGAGACATCGTGGTGCCCAAGGCCAGCGGGAAGTGCGCGTGGTTCAGCTTCGACGAGATTATTGGGCGCGCGACAGGGGCGGCGGACTATCTCGAGCTCAGCAGGGAATACGAAGCGTTCATCATCACAGATGTACCTGGCATGAACCATAAGAGCCGCGATCTAGCGCGGAGGTTTATTACATTCATAGATGCCCTCTACGAGAGTCGAGTAAGTCGCCCTGCCCTTCAGACCCCGACCATGGTCGGCGATGTGCTCAGAACGGAGGAACCACAAGCGGAGCAAAGAATCGTGCTGATGAGATACAGTCAAAACTCGTACTCACTACCCAAGTTCCACTAACCCAACTCTTCCTCGACGCATCCGAAATGAGCGACGCCCTCAATCAATCCAAGTCCAAAGGCGAGATCCCCGCCTCTTCCGATCCTGGCGAGAACCTCGATGACGCGATGCGCAGCCTGATGGATGATTTGGGCATGAATATGACGATGCTGAAGAACAGTTCTATTTTTTCTGGTGATGAGGAGAGGTTTGCATTTGCGAGGGCGCTGAGTAGGTTGAGTGAGATGGGGAGTCAGGAGTGGGTGGAGAGGGGGCTGGGAATGGAGAAGTTGGGGGGCAAGAAGGAGAGGGATGGGTGGCAGAAGGTGAGGAGTCAGTGGAGGGACGATCTTATGTGAGGAGTATGTTGGAGAAGTGTGGAGATGTGGGGGCAAGTGGATTCAGCGATGCATATATGGCGTTGCAGTTGCGTTGCGCAAGTTAAAAAGATCGTATATGAGCTGGGAGGTTGTCACGACGCTGAACGTGCAAACTGACCCAAGGCCTGACCAACAACTCTGACTCGTGACAAACCACGTGCTAGCCTGCAGAACTTACACGGTATTGAAACAGCTGCCACGATCTCTCTCTGTCTTCCTTCCTATATTCCTGATCACAATTGTCTCAAATCAAAAACCTGACCATTCATGCCTATTCTGCTTGTTCCCAAGACCCTCTATTCCATCTTGAAAACCCACTTTCGTCATGGGGCATGTCTTCCACTCCTCTGCCTCCTTCCATCATCGAAAACCACCCTACAACATCGCCACGTCCAAAAGCCGAAGTCCACTGGGCTATGTGCCCAGAACCACCGAGTCAAAGACATTTCGTCCCAAGATCTGCTCGTCCTCTCGGAAAAGGCACATCATCACGAAAGTGCGAAATGCTCTGCCCAGGCCATGTTGCTAAAAGGATGGAGCTGCACGTGAGAGAAGGCGGTACATAAATTCCATATATGTCGTGTCTTCTTTATGGCACACATCTTCTTCGTCGTCGAAACGTCCCAAGACCTCAAAGTCCTTCTGGGCATGTCTTTTGCTTCTCTTTGTCCTTGCGTAAAAGTCTGGCGACCTCCATGCTCATGTACAGAACTTCTTCCTCGTTCTTCTAATATTCTCGGAAGAACACAACTCGTTTGAATGCTCGAGAATTGTTCTCTTCTCTACTCCTGGAGGTAAATGTTCCAAAAGCCTGCTGCAATGGCTTCATGGTTTCTTCTTCTCTGCGCTGTCTTCCATTGTCCGAAAATGTAGCCACCACGAATGCATGTCTGAGAAGACCTGTGCTGACGAGGTCAATGAAAATAAAATGGCAAGCATGATAGCCCATGGACTAGTGGCAGCATGTCGAACTGACCATCTTCACAACCTCAAGGCATACCCTGACGTGTATCCTTGCCTCGAGATGCCAACTTTGATACTGTCTCTTTGTTCTTTGTAGAAATCCGAAAAGTCGGAATTTTGTCATGAATGATGCGGAAGCGTCTGGGGGACCTGAAGGCCTCCACGGTAGGTCGTGATACGTTCCTTTGCTTCGCCTTGAAGTTCCTACTTGTCTTGTGTTTCTTGTTCTTAGCACTAACTCTCTGTGACTCAAGGCTCCAAAGTAGTACCCAGATTTCATTGATGTGTTCCTTTTCTGCTCCAGTGCCTATCATCAAAACCAGATACAAGGTGCCCTATTCCTGCGGTAGATCTGTGTCTCTCTCTCCTGTTCAAAGTCTATTCGCAGAGAATTTATGTCTGAGACAGGCATTTGCTGCAGTTCAGAAACACAAGATGCAAGATGCTCAAACACACGTGTCCTGTAGGATCTGGAATTGAGTTGTGTCAAAGGACTAAAAATCCTGATTATGTTCATTCCTTTTCGAAATCGAAAACGCAAATACGTTCATTCCATACCGTCTTTGGTCTTTTCTCGGGACTACACAAGTTTGAGTCGCTCCACGGTATGCTGTGGCACCTTCTGGGTATCTGGAGAGTCCTCCAGGGTACATCGATGCTCCTGCCTGAAAAAAAAAGTGGCTGAGTCGCATACATCTCCTTCTTTCTCTTCTTCTTCTTCTTTCTTTCTATGTCTCCACAAATTCAAATTTCAAAATGCCACAGCGACTTAGCTGATGTTTGTTTCTCCTCTCTGCCTTCTTCCGTCACCGACATCAAGAGTCGCCCCATGCATGGGAACGGGTGCCTGCCACCTCTACGTCCTTACTGTTCATTCAAAATAGTAGGTCGACACGACGATGTTCTCAGCCTTCGCTGCTGCTCTTGCATTCCGACATGTGTACCAAAGACTTCCAGAACACCTCAACAGACCACTGTCTCTGTCCAAGATCTGGAGGCCTATCTTGGTGTCCGGAGCGGTCTCTCTTCTATTGTTTCCAAAAATCACGTGTCTGTGATCCCATGATTGAGGCTGTTTTTATTCGTGACAGTGGACAAAAGAACAAAACTAAAACGGCCGTTCGAAACAGGCAAATTGTCTGCCACCGGCTCTGCAGCTCACGTTGATAGGACAAACGCCCTACCTAGGAGGCATCCAGTAATCTGACGTCCTAACTGTCCGTTGCTCTGTTGAGAGAAGTCTGAACCTCTCTTCTCTATCCATCTCCTGCTCTCACACAGTCACCAGAATGTCTGAAAGATCTCAAAGTAAGAAATGGCAAGGCCTAAGTTTCTTCTTCCTTTACGAGTCGTTCTAGCATCAAAAGTTGAGAAATTCGCAAACATGCCAGAGAACCGTCTGTGTGCTTCACATCAAAATATTAACGTCACCGACGAATGATCTGTTCTAGAGGCTGTCAATTGTCTTTTCTACACCAAAGTGAGCCATTGGACTTTGAAATGGGAGAAGTGGGTGTACATGTCTCCTGCTTCTTTCTATCGATTCTTTTTCCTGGAAGTTCTTTGACAAGTACACATGTTGGGTTGTGAGGATTCACTCTCCTACAAAGACTTCGTACGCTGGCTCCCCAATGTTCTCAAGATGTTCACGACCAAAAGGCAACTGAAGCCCTCCTATCTATCTGAAACAAGAAGAAATTTTTAATCATGTCCTAAGAAATAGTGATATGAAATGTGTCGGCGACCTCCAGGGTCATGCCAACGTGTTTCAGCTCCATCGATACGTGGCTTGACAGCTGGTGTACATAAAACGCTCTCATCTCCACAATACTTTCACAGTTCTGCCATTTTCTCTTCCGGACTTCCAAAAAGACATGATCGAACATACCATGGATTTTTGCTCGTCTTACTGGCAACATTGACCAAGCATGGAGGTTGTCAATGTGTATGCCCAGACAATCGTCGCTTGCACTGAAATATACCAACTTTCTTCGGTCCGTCATGTACGAAGAGCTTCGCACGAAGGTTGCGAAATACCTCAAGGGTCAGTTGCATGTTTTTGTGCTGAGAAATTGTCCGGGGCCTCCGCGGTCAACTCAGAAGAGCTAGACGTCGGCTTCGTTACCTGACAAGTGAACACATCGAATCTGCAGACGTGTTGAGCAGTATGTATCCGCATGCTTGACTGGGTGACACAAGTTCATGCCTTCAATGTACATCAGCCTGACCTTGAGCCTTTCGCACTGGCAAAAGAAATACCACACGCTCCAAATACCGTGCATGGCCATATGGCGCGGACCGCAACGCTACCGGGCCGTCCAAAGAAGCAAAGTGGACCCACAGGCTTCGAGAATAGTCAAGACGTTGCGTGTGGAGGTACGAGGGAACGGTGCACAATCATCGCAACACTGCGACCTGACTACCAGTTGTATGGGCCTGGTGGATTAGTCGCTATGCTATTTCTTCTATGCATTTCAAAGCGACGTCATGATGAAGTTGGCATGTTGGCATGTCACGTTGTTAGTGAGGCGACGTATGTTTTGAGACGCGATATCGAGCATCTCACAGCCGGACAGAACACTGAGACCATGAAGTTGAGTTCGAGGTTCGAAGCACGAACTGACTTTTGACGTTGAACGATGAATGAAGGGATAGGATATTCGAATGTGGCCCCGAGGAGCTGAGGATAGTATTGACAACGGGGATCAGAGGGAATACGATGGGCGATATAGGTGCCGCTTGCACACAAGCGAGTCGATAGCTGGTGTTTCGAAACTTACCTGCAGACCCTGCAATGCAGACCTTGACAGCGCATGAAGAAGTCGATGAACTGGTTGCTTGTAGGTAAGCATGAGCCATTTGAGCGAAGGGCTCTTGCACGAGCATCTTCTTCGAGATGTTTCATGTCGCAAGCACAGAGAGCCATGATGTCAGCCATGTGCTTCTTGTGAGGGTACGCGAGGCTTAGCGTCCTCGGCCGAGCGTGTGTTTCAGGTGTTGATGGAGCAGATGCAAGGGGCCAAATCTTGCAAATCGACTTCGACTCGTGGCCAGAACTTTAGATCGACCCAACGTGATTGCATCTGGGTCGCACGCAGGGGTTCCATGGAAGAGAGATCTCCAACCTTTGAGGACTGCAGCCAAGAAACGGACTGGTATACTAGCGAGGTGGCACTATCGAACGTGAAATTACCACGACACGTGATCAAGTTAGTGGCAGCCGTCAGCAGCCTCGTTCGTACAGCTCAAACTCGGAAAGCATCGCATACGAGCGAAGCATCCGGTGTCAATGGAAGCTTTTGTGCTTGAATCAAGACGATGCTGTTCCGTGGAAGGCCGAGGCCAAGAATAGGTGTCAAAGAATGACATTCGGCCATTGTGGTGAAGCTCCCGAGGTTTGAAACGCGCTGCGCTCAAGGGACCCAAATGTGGTGGAAAGCAGTTGATCATTCGATAAAAGCAAACAGGCAGCGTACCGAAGCAGAATCGTCTTCACAAGGAGTGCCGCGGTCGTTAACAGAAGAAGTCCTCTTCCGGATCGCTTGATACCACGAGCCCAGAATAGTGCTGGCTGAGGCACAGACAAGAAGCTGCCTCGGTGGTGTGGTTGAGGCACAAGCATAGAGTACACACTGTAGATAGCAAGGGCGGCCAGATGTCGAAACTGCCGTCAGCGTTAGGTACAAACCTTACCAAAGTATCAGAAATAAAGGAGTCGAGCGAAGTGCGCGCCGTGCCAAAGTTGGATGTTTTCGAGGGAAAATCAATAGTCTCGTTAGCAGCAGCTCGTTGGAGGTCGGCCAAACGCCTGGAGGATATGGACGCCCAGGGTAAGGCGTTCAGCAGCACAACACTCAGCGCAGGCGTGGCTGCAGCTCAATAAAGTGGCCTGCAGTGAGAGGGTTGTCAGCAGAAGAACGGTGCAACCACGGCGCAGCGGGCGGCGACGATGCGCACCTCATCTGCAAGCTCTGTGATGACTTTAGTGTAGCAGAGTGGAGGCAATTAAACGCACACCTGGTGGACAGCCAGCGCGAGGGACGAGCAGGCGTGAGTGCTGGTGAGTTGAGGCGTTCATTCGAGCAGCCACAGCACCCTGGTTCCACCTTCCGAAATGAAAGCTGGGCAGGGCAAGGGCAACAGGAGCTCGCGTGCGCTGATTGGGCGACGGTTTGTTGGATGACAGCGCTGTCACAGAGAGAGCCACGGGCTGCTCAACACCGGAAGCGCAGCCGTTGCAAGATCTGCGAACGGGTGCGAGCAATGTATCAGGTGCGCACACGACGAGAAACTGCTGCGCTGGGCGGCCGTTAATGGAAGCAAAAAGCACGTTGCAGGTGGTGATTTCGTGCTTTGGCAGGTGCCGAGGGCAGGGGTGAATTGATTGTGCCCCCATGCCTAGCGCGTGAGAGATGCTGCGCAACCAGGCCTCGCGGCCAGAAAGCAATTAACGCGGGCCGCTCAGGGAGCCACCAGGTGGAGGGGACACACGGCAGATTGAAAGCAGACTGAAGGTGCACAAGAGAGCCAGCTCTCATCTTCGATTTCTATCCACTGCAACTGCTGTAGTATCTCGCTGCTTCGTGTCCACCCTCGTGTTCCTAACGTTCGTGCCTGGCGCGCGAACCTGAGCTCCCCCGTCTATTTTTGCGGGCGCTATCGAATGCAACAAACACGCCGCCCGCGCCCCATCGTGTTAGCGGCTATCCCCAATCAGGGCGGATCCGTTTTGCTGGTCTGCAGTGGACGGGCAGCGCAGCGACTCGTTCGGCTCTCCCCTGTCTGAACAGCCTGACCCGTCGTTTTGCGCCTGGAGCGGCCCTTGTGCGACTGAGTCGCTGACGGGCACCGACTGCGCTGCTGTTCTCCTTCTCCACCTGCCACTCCGCCGTTCTCGACACCAAACCCTCTCTCCACCCGCCGACAAGCTTTCGAACGTAGTGCGCACTACTGGTCTCGACTACAAGTGTGCATCACCCGCCCGTGGCTGCCCGTGGAGATCCCCTTCGCGCCCCATCGTCCACCGCACCGCACCTCTCCCGCCGCCCTTGGGCTTACGCTCCCTTTGTACGATTCTCCGAATCACGACCGCTCCTTTTGAACGCTTTGCCTTCGATTCTTCGCAGTAGCCCTGCAGTAATTTCCACCGTTGCCTATCGAAAACGTTGTCGACACTCGTTTGCCTGAACCCCCGTGGAACGCCTTTCGACGTTGCTCACCCAGCCTCGCCTCTGACCCTGCACTGCACGACGCGCAAGCTTCAACGCCGATCAGGAACACCGACTCCACCACGCCAACATCTTGAGTCTTTGTTGCAAGAGAACGTCCTTTGCGCCACTCAATCAAACTGTGCTTGGAGCGGCCGCCACCTCGGCACTCTCTTTGTTGTCGACGTGCATCGCTGCTGACAGCTGGGCTTATATCAGATCTGGTTGACAGACGCTAAACCACTGGAACGACTGATTCTCGCGCTTCTCTGGAACTGGTTCATGTCAAACATGACGGCATAGACCCACCACGAAAACGGATCTTACTGCAATTGCTACGCCTACCTTTACCAAGGCTTCAGTCACATTTCTAGCTGCATCGACAGTCTAGTGAGTCTGAACTTGAACCATGCTGGGGATGCACAATCCTAATACGTGCCCAGGTCCATTCTTTATCCATCTTTGACTCTCGTCAAGTACACTCGTTTGACCCAGAACATACTGTAAGCAGCCCATGCGCACTTGCAAACGGCCATGTCTCACATATGCAGGTGCACCGACTTTGCTCGCGCTCTATACCCTCGACATATCTTAATAAGGATCTAGTGCTTGAAGATAATCACAAAAATGACGCGCTCGACAACAGTATGGGCCGCCGCGCTGGTCATGGCCAGCATGTCTGGCTCGGGACCGATTGGCACAGTAGCTGAGGCCATGCCCGCACCGCAACCGCAGCAAACACAGGGCAAACCCCGATACTACTTCCCACGCCACGTAAAGCGCCAAATTAACACCGAGACGGCAAATGTCACGACACCCGCAACACCATCTTCATCTTCCACCACCATCTCCTCCAGCTCGAGCAGCTCCGACGAGGAAACGCGCCTGATCCCGAACTTCACATCATGGTTCAACTCCTTGATCGACTCTCAATCCTCGTCCTCGTCCTCCTCGTCCTCCTCTGACATCTTGTCTACCCAGAGCGAGCAGGACTCATCGAGCTCAGCGCCCCAGCCTGAGTCGATCACTGTCACGCAGACACCTCAAAACACCCGCGCGCGCTCGACCGGAACAAGCACTCCTCCATTATCGTCCGCCCCGGTGTCTTCGTCCTCCTCGACACTTACATCCGAGGAGGTCCCAGTTGTTTCTTCTGCGCCGGCCTTGTCGAGCTCGCTCGTTGAGACCACTCCAGAGGTCGTTTCCTCCAGCCCTTCTTCTGCACCTAGCTCGACACCCGAGAAGCAGACTTCCACTGTGGTTGCACAGCCCTCATCTGCACCAAGCTCGACACCCGATGAGCAGACTTCCACTGTGGTTGTACAGCCCTCATCTGCACCAAGCTCGACACCCGAGGAGCAGACTTCCACTGTGGTTGCACAGCCCTCATCTGCACCAAGCTCGACACCCGAAGAGCCGTCCTCTACTCAAGTCCAGAACACCTCTGACGCTGAAAGGCCCGCGGCGACTGGCACCCTTCCTGCGGCTTCAGAGATCGTACAGCCAACAACGTCCTCCTGGCCTTCTCCTCCAGCGGCGCCCAGCTCTCAGACTCCTTCTGACACCGAGACCGAGGAGCCTAGCACCACTCAGGTTGTCCAGCAATCTTCTGCGGCACCTACCGGCGTTCTTCCTCCATCCTCAGAGATCGTGCAGCCCACCACATCGTCCTCCACTTCTCGTGTCACAACCTCTCAGTCTCCAGCTGAGACCGAGACTGAGGCGACTGGCAGCACTCAGGTTGCCCAGCAGCCTTCGATCGCACCCACCGGTAGCTTGCCTGCGTCCTCAGAGATTGTTCGGCCCACTACCTCGAGCACTGAGACTGAAGATGCGACCAGCACTGCTGTTGTACAGCGCCCCACCGGTGTTTTACCTCTCTCTTCACAGATCGTCCAGCCCACGACCTCGAGCGATGTTGAGCCAACGCCTGCCCGCTCGACTGGTGTCCTGCCCCCGCTTTCAGAGATTCTCCCGCCCACCACTTCATCTTCGTCTTCTGTGCCAACACAGTCGATTGCAGTTGAGGAGCCAACTCGGACCTCGGGTGGAGCTCTGTCGTCCCTTCTAGGAGGTGTCCTTCCATCCAGCAGTGGCTTGCCTGCGTCGGAGTCTATTATCCAGCCAACCCAGCCAGCTGCTTCATCTGACGCGCCTACAACCTCGCGCCAGCAAGCTGCGCCTACTGGTACCCTTCCAGATGTGATACTCTCTGCTACATCGTCCGCGACCACTTCGAAGGATGCGCCTTCATCTCAGGCGTCGAGCTTTCTCGGTCCTTTCATTGTTCCCGGTACGTCGCAGACGATCCTGCAATCGACGGCTGCTGCCTCTACTGGTCTTTTGCCCCCAGCCTCCGAGATTGTACAGCCGACCTCATCTGCCCAGAGTCCTGAGCAGGTCGCGTCTACTGGTCTTTTGCCTCCGTCTTCCGAGATCGTGCAGCCAACCTCATCTGCTGGCCTTGTTGATGGTCTTCTCTCCTCGCTCCTTCCTGAGGCCACTCCCACATCGCAGGGTGCCTCTACTGGTCTCTTGCCCCCGGCTTCTGAGATTGTGCAGCCCACTGGCGGTCTCCTATCATCACTCCTCCAGAGCCCTGATGCAACACCTACATCTCAGGTTGCGTCCACTGGTCTCCTGCCTCCATCTTCCGAGATCGTACAGCCTACCGGTGGCCTGCTCTCGTCGCTCCTCCAGAGCCCTGTTGCAAAGCCTACATCTCAGGTGGCCTCCACTGGTCTTTTGCCTCCTTCTTCTGAGATCGTGCAGCCAACTTCATCTGCTGGCCTTGGTGGTCTTCTCTCCTCGCTCCTTCCTGAGGCCACTCCCACATCGCAGGGTGCCTCTACTGGTCTCTTGCCTCCGGCTTCTGAGATTGTGCAGCCCACTGGCGGTCTCCTATCATCACTCCTCCAGAGCCCTGATGCAACACCTACATCTCAGGTGGCCTCCACTGGTCTTTTGCCTCCTTCTTCTGAGATTGTGCAGCCTACCACATCTGTTGGTCTTGTTGGCTCTTTGCTGTCCTCTCTTCTTGGCAGTGCAGAGCCGACAGCTACTTCAGCCGTCGGTTCTGGTATCCTTCCCAGCAGCGGCGTGGTTCCTACAGGCGTCGTCCCCTCTAGCGGCGGTATCACCATTGGCATCACCACCGCGCTCGGCACCGAGTCAGCATCTTCATCGGCTACCCCCACAAGTGAGGCCTCGCCTTCAGGTGCCATCCCTACCTCGGAGGGTGTTTCCTCTAGCTCTGGGCTTCTCAACCTGCCCTCGATCCTTTCCTCGATAGTTTCTGAAGCTTTGCCCACTGGCAGCCTGTTGTCAACTGGCATCATTCCCAGCTCTGGATCCTTCAACCCCACTGCTCCTGTATCGGCCACTATCACTGCATCGCCATCGGCTTCAGGTATTCTCCCATCAGTGGTCCCATCGATCGTCTCAGAGTTGTCCAGCCTTCTGTCCTCGGCAGTATCCGACCTGCCTACTGGCTCTGCCTTGCCAAGTGTGGTGTCTAGCCTGGTGTCCAGCGCCGAGTCTGCTCTCAGCTCTGCCTCCATCTTGCCAACCGCGTCGGTCCCTCTGCCCATCCCAACTTCTGATCTTAGCAGCATCGCATCCAGTATCGCCTCCGAGTTCTCATCTGGCCTTTTGTCGTCTGGTATTCTTCCTTCTGCAACAGTTTCGGGCTCAGTCAGTCTTTCTGCACCTCTTCCCACCGGCACAGAGAGCGTTACACTCTCAGCGAGTGCTTCCTTGTCCGCTTCTTCGAGTCTCCTGCCTACCTTTACCCTCTCTGGTACCGATGTTGCCTCTGGAACCATCTCATCGTCGACTTTGGTTGGCACTGGCCTATCATCCAGCGCTACTATCTCGCCAAGCGAGTCCCTCAGCATTCCGTCATCTATCCCGGCTTCTGAGTCTAGGACCTCCTCTGGTGTAATCTCGAGCAGTGCAACTGTCACCGCTTCCGCTACTGAGTCTACCTCGATTGCCCTATCGGCATCAGCATCAGGATCCGCCTCTGTATCTGTTTCAGGAACAGTGTCTGCGTCTGGATTGGAATCCTCGTCCGTGGTATCTTCCGCTACTCTTTCGCCATCGGAGTCTTTGTCAGTGTCGCCGTCTGCTCCGGCATCTACTAGTGTCTCTGTTCCTGCAAGCCTCACATCCGCGAGCGACTCGGCCACAATCCCAATCCCCACCATCCCGTCAGTCACAAGCTCGCAAACTCCAGTGCGAACTATCTTGCCAACCGCAACTGACACTGAGACTTCGTTCGCCATCCCCACCAGCATTGTTCAAGAACCTTCCACGATCGCATCGCCCACTGCTACGAGCAGCGGCATCCCTTCTAGCCTGCCAAAGATGATTGCTCCTCCCGGTGGCGTTCCCAGTGAAGTCTCGCAGGACAGCTTTATGGGTCAGGTCTGCTTCAAGTGGCCATTGAACTACCCCTTCGTGTCTGCCAACGATGGTGGCAGCCAGATCTTCCACTACCTGCCCAAGGCTATCGCAGATGGGCTCAACATCTCGGTCTCTGACGTCAAGAACTACGGATTGAAGCCTCTCGACACTACAGCGTACCAGGGTTTCATTACCACCATGGCAATGTTCACTATCCCCAAGGACTTGCAGACAAAGCTTGCGGCTCAGCTCCGCAATCCCGCTGATCCGTTCTGGCATAACAAGGACTCCACCGTCAATGATCTCACCGACTTGATCAACACTGCTTGCCCCCTCGCAGCTGGCGGTACTGTTTCCGGTGGCTCGAACGTTGCCGGTGGTGACACTGCCGCTACCTCGACTGGAGGAGCCGGTGATGGCGGCGCTATGGGAGGCGACATTGGTGCCAGTCGCAAGATCAACCCTACCAGCGCAGGTATCGCAACCGGAGCTATCGTTGGTGCCATCGCCTACGGTGCGGCCATGTTCTTCGTCGCTCGCAGGTACCGCAACAAGCGTATCGCTCACCAGCGCTCCAGCTCCGTTCCCAGCACTAGCCGTATGACCTACGGCTCCATTCCTGGTGGCGCAGCTGCCTGGATGCGCGGTGCTCGTGATGGTCGCATGACGCCTGGCAGTCGCGGCAGCCGGGGAAGTGACAGCAGTCAGGGACGCAGCATACGCACGCAGCAGATCTCGGCTCCTGTCATGGCAGAGAACTCGCTGGGCTGGAACTGAGCATCTGTCCATTCGCACTATCCACCACAATGACTTCAGTTGGTCTTGTGTTGTACGATACGCCAGCTACCAGGGCATGTACGCATGGCTCCCACCACATCTGTGTTTCGATCTCAGCATCTATCTCGCGAACCGACCTCATCCATGCTGACATTTGCATCTCGCATCTAGTTGCACTCAGCTCTCTCACATATCGTCGCTTCTATGTTCGGACACTCTCATTAAACCTATCTCTAACCTTTATACTATACTTTAACATACATTGAATCTTTCTGTATATTCACTTCTTAGATACCAGTCTTTGCTCGAAAGCAGCGAGACCGTTTTTTCCTCTTGTTGATGCACAGGATGGCCATTTGCCATTGGCGACGGAAGGCTTGGAGCATGATTCAGAGTATCTATTATGCGGTTGCAGGAGAGCCGTTCGAGGAGTGCAGTTGGCACTTGTGGGGAGGTTATCTCGAGTAAATAGTTGTAGAGGAGAATTGAGAAAAGTTTACTATACCTGTTGGATACTCTTATGTTGTGTTTCGATGACATCCAACACTTCCTATCGATCTAATCAGGACATACGCAAATGCTCTCGTAACACCGTTGCGTTAGTGCCCAAGAACCACTCGAGCTGATGCCTCTCAGGATGTCAGAGAAACTGATAGCGATTTCGCCATTTGCGAACAATCCTGGAGTACCTCAGACCACTTTTATTTCCGTGGAGCACTTGACCAGGGCTGAACGGTGATGTTGCGCATGTCGTCTGTGATCGATGGTTTTCAAAACTGCCCCATTTGGAAATAGTGAAACACCCTGGCGCGCCAAGCCGTAACAGCGGACACAGATGCAGCATCGCGGAGGTGGTTACGGAGCGGGCCCTTCCAACTCTATAAGCAATCACTCTTTCCAGCGGTTCTTTCGACGTCGTAACTATATCCAGGTCTACGTTTCGTAACACGTGATCCCTGCCCGCGCTCTCACGGACTGGCTACAACAAGCCACGTCTCCCCCATCCCACCCCTCCACAACAATACACATAAGCTGCGAAGATGCGTCTCGACGTGAAGGTACGCCAGCTACCTCCAGAATGTTCGGCAGTCGCTCATTAGGAAACAGAGGCAGCTCTTTGCGCGCTCGGAGAGAGTCAAGGGTAAGCATGCTGTGCGCCAAAAGTACTCGAGGTCCCATACTAACATCAGCTAGGCATTGGTAGGAATTGCGCTTCCAGAAGTCGACCGCAATACTAAACAGCTTCGAAGACTTTCACCCGACCGAGCCATGGATCCTTACAACCTTGTACAGCGGTATGAATAGCTGCGAAACTACAATGGTCGTGGGGGACTGACGGTGGCAGGACACGTTCACATCTGGTCGTACATTTCGCAATCGATCGTCAAGACATTCGAGCTCACCGATGTTCCCGTTCGCGCTGGTCGCTTCATTGCGAGGAAGAACTGGATTGTTGCAGGTGCGATCCCCGGTTGTCTTACGCATCTGGACGCCATGTTGACGCGGCTCGACTACAGGTTCCGATGACTTCCAAATGCGCGTATACAACTACAACACCTCCGAGAAGGTCACATCGTTCGAGGCACACCCAGACTACATCCGCGCAATTGCTGTGCACCCCACACAGCCCTTTGTGCTGACCGCCAGTGTGAGTTGCGACAGGGAGAAACCAAGAAGTCAGGCTGACGCGCTTCTAGGATGATATGACAATAAAGCTGTGGGATTGGGAGAAGGGCTGGAAGTGTACGTAGATTGAAGAAGGGGCGAAGATGTATGAGCAGAGCATTCGCTAACGATCTACAGGTGTGCAAGAGTTCGCCGGCCACCAGCACTATGTTATGGGCATTGCCATCAATCCCAAGGATCCCAACACGTTCGCCTCCGCTTGTCTCGACCGAACAGTGAAGATCTGGTCGCTCGGGAACTCAACACCCAACTTTACTCTCGAGGCGCACGAGACCAAGGGTGTCAACTTCGTCGACTACTACCCTCAATCCGACAAGCCCTACCTCCTCACAACGTCCGACGACAGGACCGTCAAGGTGTGGGATTACACCACAAAGGCGCTTATTGCGACGCTCGAAGGCCACACGTCGAACGTCAGCTTCGCTGTCTACCATCCCGAACTCCCTGTGATTATCTCTGGATCTGAGGACGGCACAATCAAGATCTGGCACTCGTCTACATATCGCCTGGAGCAGTCATTGAACTACGGTCTGGAGCGATCATGGTGTGTAGCATCTCAGAAGAGCAAGAACGGCATTGCGCTTGGTTTCGACGATGGAGCTGTGGTCATCTCAATGGGTCGTGAAGAGCCAGCGGTCAGCATGGACACCGGTGGCAAGGTTCTGTGGGCGAAGCACAACGACATTCTAGCGGCTACAATCAAGGGCAACGACCAATTGAAGGACGCGGAACGTCTCACATTACCCTCCAAGGACCTGGGCTCGACCGAAATCTATCCTCAGTCTTTGATCCACTCGCAGAACGGTCGTTTTGTCGCTGTCTGCGGTGACGGCGAATACATCATCTACACCGCTCTCGCGCTCCGTAACCAGGCTTTCGGTTCCGCACTGGACTTCTGTTGGGCATCGAAGGACCACGACAAGGACTATGCAATTCGCGAGTCTGCCACTAGCGTCAAGATCTTCCGCAACTTCAAGGAGCGAAGCGTCTTGAACGTCGGTTTCTCTGCTGACGGGTTGAGTGGTGGTGTTCTGCTGGGCGTTAAGGGCCAAGGTGGCATTGGCTTCTACGACTGGGATTCTGGTGCTCTTGTTCGAAGGATAGAAGTCGAACCCAAGAGTGTCTTCTGGTCCGAAAGCGGCGAGCTCGTCACACTGGCCACAGAAGACACATACTATGTTCTGCGATTCTCGCGGGAAAACTACTTGGAGGCGGTGCAGAATGGCGAAATCGATGAGGATGGCGCTGAGTCTGCTTTCGAGGTTGTCTGCGATATCAACGAAAGGTATGTACCGAGGTTATTAACCATGATATCACAACTGACAGAGCGATAGCGTACGTACGGGTTGCTGGGTTGGCGACTGCTTCATCTACACTAACAGTACAAACCGCCTCAACTACCTGGTCGGTGACCAGACCTACACCATCTCCCACTTCGATTCGCCACACTACGTTCTTGGGTACCTTGCTCGCGACTCGAGAATTTACATTGCCGACAAGGATGTTAACGTCGTATCGTTCGCTCTTTCGCTGTCGGTTGTGGAATACCAGACGTTGATTCTTCGAGGAGAGCTTGAAGCTGCCGAGGAGACATTACCATCTGTGCCAAAGGACCAGAACAACAAGATCGCTCGATTCTTGGAAGGTCAAGGGTACAAGGAGATGGCCCTCAAGGTCGCCACCGACCCTGAGCACCGCTTCGACCTTGCCCTCTCATTAGGTGACCTGCAGCAAGCCACCGAGATCGCACGTGAGCAGGACACAGAGCACAAGTGGAAGACCGTTGGTGACGCTGCCCTGACCGGCTGGGACATCAAGCTTGCGCAGGAGTGCTTCGTCAAGGCTAAGGATCTGGGCTCATTGCTTCTGCTCTACTCGGCCACCTCGGATGATTCCGGCCTACGCGAGCTTGCTTCTCTTGCCGAGACCGCAACAGCGAACAACGTTGCTTTCTCCGCACTTTGGCAGATTGGTGACCTCCAGGCTTGTATCGACTTGCTCATTAAAACCAACCGCTTCGCCGAAGCTGTGCTTTTCTCGCAGACATACAAGCCTAGCGCAACAGTAGGACTTGTCAAGCAATGGAAGGCCAACTTGGACAAGGAGAACAAGAGCAAGGTTGCCAAGCTGATCGGAGTACCTCCTCAGGATGGCGAGGGCGACGAGGACATGTTTCCTGAGTGGGATGAGTACCTGCGCATGGAGCGCGAAGGCGGAGTCGTTGAGGACCTCCTTGTGCAGGACGATGAAGTCGATGTGGAGGCCGAAGAGGAGGTTGCTGAGGCTGCCGAAGCTGTGGAGGAGGAGGATAATGAGGAGGAGGAAGAAGAAGAAGAAGAAGAAGAGGACGATGAGTAGTTGAATACCTCCAGGCTATGCTTTGATAGAGACATGTTGAAGAACATTTTGATGATCGGCTAGCGTTTGGCATTGCTACAGTAGGGCGAAGACAAAATGATACGGAATATTTATAAGTGCCTTGACGTTCGACTGCCTTCATCCTAATCGACTGTCTAGCACCAAGTTTATTCCTCTCCACTGCGTCCATCCAACCATACTCCTTAACCGTCAGACCTATCCACCTCCCATCCTCCCCACTCCCCCACCTCTCACCGTCCAACATACAATAACCATCTTCCTACGCCCCCGCCCCATCCGGATGCGTAGGATCAATCCACTTTACACTCTCCGGCACCTCGACCGGTTCCAATTCCGGCAAATTAATCGCCACAGCCTCACTATCACTCCTCATGAGCACACACTCCAACTTCTCTTCATCAGACGCATTGATCTCCTGATGCGGGACATAGGGCGGCACAAAAATGAAATCTCCGGGTCCTGCTTCCGCCGTGTACTCTAGTGATTCGCCCCACCGCATGCGCGCCCGTCCTTTTAAGACGTAGATCACGGACTCGAGGTGGCCGTGGTGGTGCGCGCCCGTTTTTGCGCCTGCGTGGATGTGCACTGTTCCGGCCCAGAGCTTTTGAGCGCCCACGCGCGCGAAGTTTATCGCGGCGGAGCGGTCCATGCCTGGTGTCATGTGTTGGCCGCCGACTGGTTCGAGACTGTCTGCGGGGATTACGCGGACGCCGCTTGTTTTCCAGGCGTCTTCTGGGGCGGGTGGTGGGTGGTCGTGATCATGGTTGTGGGAGTGGTCATGACTGTCGTCGTAGGATTCTGTGGCCGGAGGAGGATGTTCTGAAGTTGGTGGGACGGATGTGGATCCGCTCAAGGAGGCCATGCTGGTTGAGGTCCAAGAGTGTAGTTCAGGGGCGTGTGAGTGTGCCGACGTGCTCGAGACTTCGTGGTGTCGTGTACGTTGAAGAGCACTTGTGCTTGATACGCGTTGGGATAGCTGTCCAATGTCAAAGCTTCGATTTGAATATTCGGTACGTTTGCTCCGCTTCCGGAACAGCAAGCATATATCTATCGATGACAGCAGTTCTCGAGATTGTTGCGTGCTTTTGATGTGGATCTATGTCAGGCGTTTAGTAGCTTCCAGTGGGGTGAATGCGGGGGTAAGGACCTCGGTTGCAACTGCCTCGCGAGCGAGCGGGCTCCTTCGACAATGCTCTGAATAAACTCCGTGAGAATGCTGGAAGTCTGCATATGCATAAGATTGTTTGTACAACAGTCGAAATCTAGGGTCTAGTCCCGGCTCTTCAAGAACGCCGCCCATGTAGATGTAGTGAAGATGCTGCCTGAAGCGCCTACCAAATATATATCGAAACAGATGAGTTGGGACTGATTACCTGATCACTGAGGGCTCAGGATCGTCGTATTGCCGCGACTTCTCGTCACCGCTGGTGGCGCTGTCGGTGCTGCTGACTTCCTCCGAAGACTCGGAGGTGGTGTGTATCCTCCTGCTCCTAGCGTTCATCTCCTCGCGTGTCTCGTCAAGGCTCTCCATCTCCCTCAGACCCTTCCCTCTGCCGAAGAAGTCTTCTGTCCGGAGTCCACGTACGTCTTCATCCCTGACTCCTCTGCTGCTCTTCAAAGTACCGTCTGCCTTCTTGCGCCTAATGTATTCCCTGACCGGCCCCATAGCCGCGTCTCTGCACGCTTCTTTGATGTCTGAGCCGGACATGCCTGCGGAGACGCGCACCAGGTAGTCGAGGTCGAGGTTCTTGCTATCGATCTTTGTGCCGCGGAGAATGAGGGAGAAGATGTTGTGTCGCTGCGAAGCGTTGGGCAGAGCGACTGGGAACTTCTTGGGCATGCGGCGGAGGATGGCTTCATCGATGTCTTGGATTCGGTTCGTGGCGCCGAGGATACATATCCGTTGTGGTGTGTTGCTGCCGGAGGCTGTGGAGGAAGCGAGACCGTCCCAGTGCGTCATGAACCTAGGAGTGGATGTTAGCCTTGGGTCCATGTAATCTCAGGTGGAAAGCAACATACTCAGCCTTCACCATGCCACTCGCCTCGTGCTCACCGCTTCGTCTTTGGCCCAGCACTGCATCGATCTCGTCAATAAAGACAATACTCGGCTGCAGCTTCCTTGCCAGACTGAAGACAGCGTTGACCAGCTTGTTGCTGTCACCATACCACTTCTCTGTGAGAGTCGAGATGTGGAGGTTGATGAAGCAGGCGCCCGATTCGTGGGCGAGCGCCTTTGCCAGCATAGTCTTTCCGCACCCGGGAGGGCCATACAGGAGCACGCCGCTGGGTGCGCTCAGCAGAGACGACGAGTGCGAGTAGAGATGTGGCATTGTGAGCGGATAGATGACTGACTCCTTCAACTCTTCGATGATCGAGTCGAGGCCGCCAATGTCGTCAAACGTCACTGGAATCTCCTCGGGCGCAACAACCTCCATGGCGATGGTCTGCTCATAGCTGTTCAGCACGAGCTCCTGCATGCGCGGCCTCCGATTCCGCGAGCCCTCCTCGTCTTCATCGCTGTCGTATTCGCCGTAGCTTTTCCGCCGTTTGCTGGTGAGGATGGCGTCGAGTTTCCGAGTGGCGGCGGCGGATTTGGCGCGTGCCTCTTCCTTTTGTTGGGCATCGGGGTCGAGTCGCGCGAGCAGATTGCGGATGACGAAGTAGGCGATCAAAGGCTGGAGTCTCTGTTAGTATGAGTGAAGATGCGCGAGGAAAGTGCGAACGTACTGCTGCTGCCGCCATCAAGATGTCTGGCAGGTAGCCAGTGAGACTGCTTTTCTTATTTGAGGCCATTTTGCAGATTTCTCTTCAGATACACTCAAAACAGCAAGGGAGGCGCGGCAGAAAGAAGGAAGAGAAGCGCGGGAAATACTGGCGTCCAAGTGCTAGCATCATGCACTGCGCTGTTCATCCAAAGTTCAGCACGACGTCGGCGTTCGCACGTGCCTCGGTCGCAGCCCGCACCTGGAAGCTCCACCTCCGCTCGAGCTCCATCAAACTTCACGGCGCCTCATATTCAGCATAGCCGCCACAATGACAGCCCTCTACAAGCCCACTGAAGCCATCTCGCTCCTTCGACCGTCTCTGCTGCTCCCGCGCATCCAGCCGTCGTCGACTCGACGCACACGCGCAGCATTCTCCACTACCCGCAATGCACAAGCTACACCCAGTTTTCCGGGCAGCCCGATCCCTGGCCCGCCACGCAAATCAATCACACTGACCGGCGACACGGGTCGAGTACGGTGGAACGAGCTATCGCCGGGAGAGAAGGTCGTGCGGACAACGCAACAGTCGTTCAACTTGGTTGTAGTAGCCATTGGCGTGATCGCAACTGTATGAGCTCCATGACTCTCTACTCGAGTATCGTACTGATGTGTTCAGGGCGGTGTGACATACTTCCTCTTCAGCGACGTCTTCAGCCCCAACTCGAAAACCGCACACTTCAACCACGCTACAGACACGATAAGACAGGACCCCCGCTGCCAGAAGCTGCTCGGCGAAGGATCCCAGATCGCAGCGTTCGGTGAAGCGTCATGGTCGCGGTGGGCGCGGAATCGTTACATCAGCAGCACAGAAGAGACAGATAAGTGGGGTACCGAGCATCTGCGCTTCAGGTTCTACGTGGAGGGGCCACTAGGGCAGGGTGTAGTCAATGCACATCTGGTGAAGAAACCAAGCATGGATGCGTTCGAGTATGCTGAGCTGGCTGTTGACGTCAAGGGGCATCGCAGGATTGATCTGGCAGCCAAGGAGAAGCAGGACCATGTCGCGCCGAAGATCTTTGGGGCGAGGTGGTGGTAAAGGAAGAGGTATATCAACATTAGTATGTGCGAGGCTAAGGACTTGTGAAGGCTGCCCCACTGGCGCATATACGCAAAGCAATCTGTCTGTGAACTTGAGTTGCACCAAGCTCTGCGCCATCACATCGCCTCTTGAGATCGTGAAGCATGAACTCCATCCTTCGCAGCGAAGACCGGCGACACTATGCGAATGCGGAGTCCCGCTGCATGGTTGCGGCGTAGTGGCTACCGCGTTGGTGATTGGGTTCGGTGAGATTGGGCTAAACGGCTGCCTCAAAGCAAGAGCTATAAAGGAGACATCCAAAGCAGTATCCCATTGTCGCATCGGAAGTTCAAAAGTCCATCATGGGTTCCCGCTCTTCCGCATCTCATCACCTGACCACTCTAAGCGAAAATGGCGACGCCCAACAGCTGTTCACAGCTCTTGAATGGCCGTCTCTCGCTCAAGTCGGGCTGCAAACCGAAAGCGTGCTCATCGATGCGCAGGTCGGTGTAGTGAGACAGGAATCGAACCTACACCGTATGCTCTGTGCTGCTACTCGATCCGGACTAAGAAATTGTACAACTGCTGCTCGAATTCGGCCAAACACACGACGTCGCATCGAAGGAGATGGTGATAATGGATACTATGGACGCGGCCCTCCATGAAAAGCCACTGGAAGTCTTGTTGAAGTTCCGAGCCGTGGACCCAAACGTCTTTTCTCATCCACTGCACCTTGGGTCGGACATCCTGCAAATTGCCTGCCGCGGAGGCCCCGATCGAGACGACGCTCCTCGCGGGAAGCGGCTCAACTTCGTGCAATACCTCTTGGAGGTCGAAGGGCGCGACCCCAACACGCCAAATGCAAGGCCAGGATCGCGAAGACACAGACCAGGAAAGCTGCTGTACACAGCGTGCTGGAAAGCAAGTCTCGAGATCGTGGAGAGTTTACTTGCATACGGTGCTATTGTTAAGGGACCCGGGGCCATGCCTTCAGCGAGCTACCACGTGAAAATTGACGTACTTGATTTGTTAAAGTATGACGTAGAGGTGAATGAGCTGCTGAACAAGAGGCGGTCGATGGGCCGTCTGGCACGCCGCTACATGTTGCCGCTGCTGCAGGAAGGGAGGACGTGTACAAGTGGTTGGTGACACAAGGAGCTGATGCGGCAATTGCGAATGGCGAAGGAAGGACACCCAAGGGGATCCTTGAAGAGAAGAGCAGAGCGATATCCTTGGACGACTAGCAGACACCTTGGTCTGAATGAGACTCTCGGCTCCACAAATCTATCTCTGCTTATGATTCTTCTATGAAATTTGTATTGAGATGATATTCGGAGCGTTCGAAACAATCGTGGATGTTGAGGTTTAATTTGGCCCCACCCAATCACGTTTTCACCAGCCATGAGCCACATGCGGAAAGCATACACGAATGACGTCCAGCTGAGCGACGCCTCAACCATAGAAGGGTGCTCACCTGCACCTTCCAAACGGCCCGTCGCACATGGCACTAATGCTTCCCCTCTTGGGCTAAGGCGTCGACTTTCGTGACCTCAGATTCTATTCATGCACAATTCGAACCATCTGAACTTGTACCTCAGGCATTGAAGCTGACCAAACGACGACATGTCAGTAACCACAGCGTCCTATGCACCGGAACGTTCGGACAAGACCGATCTTGAGGGGGAGCACGCGACATATCGAGACAAACCGACTGTTGCCGAGCCAGATGCAGAAGGAGATGCAGAGGAACGTGGTCGACTCAAACGACGCCGAATGTCCTCACACTCTCCTCCCCGAGCTGCCTCACCTTCTCGAGGCCACGACCGTGACAGCGGCTCCCGGCACCGACATCACCACCGCAATCACCATCGAGACTCGGAGTCAGCGAGTATGACGCCACCGCCATCCGTGCAGAAGAAGCAAAGACGGCGCAGCGACGCAGAGCCTGATCATACGTTCCGCGGTCGACCACGAAATCGCAGCGGCAGCAGAGAACGTACCGGCAGTCCAATCTTCGAAGACGAAAGTGCGAGCGAGGAAGAGGTGAGAGAGCTCAGGAAGAGGGCCCAGCCGCCAAGCCGACCTCGAGTGGAGGCTGAAGAGGACGAGGGTGAGCTACGTAGACAGAGAAGTTATCCCAATCTGTACAGGAAAGATTCGAAGGGCAAGGCAGAGAAGGTCGAGTCCAAGCGTCCGCATCCGCTTAGACAGGAGCTCTGAGAGCTGTGAGGAATACAGCACCTTTCACTGAGGTAATCCGAGGTTTGACTTGAGATGTCTGGCGTTTAGGTTTATACCCAAGAAATAAGTAGGACGCATACAGCGTTAGCGTGATATCAATAACCATCAGTAGCAGACCTGCTCGTATCGACTGCGTGTGACTTGTTTGGTTGACAGCACGCGACAGCAGCCAGACCCTTTGAACATGTTCCCATTTCAAACGACAAGGCAACCGTCACTCAACACTATATCTGACTGCTGCCAAACGCACGGCATTGTCCATCATGCAGCATCAGAAATGTCTATTCGGTCGACCCGACACATCCGCCTTGCTCACATCAGCACCCATCTGGAAAGTTCCACGCCGCCGCGGCTCATAACGGTGACCCACCCCCGCGCCAGCTGCGCCAACCCTCGTGCCAATCACATCTTCCCAACTCCGCCGCCTCTTCCGCGCTTACGATAACCCCCTCACTCTCGTCATCCTTCCTCAGGGTCGGTACTTGTTCAGTTTGCTCGTCGCGATGCCGCCTGGCAACGAGTATGCCGCCGAGCAGCTCAAAGCTCAGGGAAACGCTTGTTTTAAGAATGGCGACTATGAAGGCGCTGAAGGGTACTATTCCCAGGCTATTCAGAAGAACTCGAGTAACCCACTACTATTTACCAATCGCGCTATGGCGCGGAATAAATTGGAGAAGTGGGAGGGTGTGATAGATGACTGCATACGGAGTATCGAGCAGCTGCCGGAGAACATGAAGGCGTTCCACTTGCTGTGTACGTCTATCACCACCACCCATCCATGCCTACACTTGGAATAAGGAACATGTAGCTAACACGAACCTCAGCGCAAGCCCAGCTCGCTGTGAATCACCCCAACGAAGCCCTCTCGAGTGCTCTCAAAGCGTACGAGTACTGCACGAAATCCACACAACAGACCACCTTCTCGAACGCCGCTCTTATATCACAACATGTCCTAAAGTGCAAGAAGCGCAAATGGGAAATCCGCGAACGCGAGCGAATACGGCGGCGAGGCGACCTCCTCTCCGACCTCGAAGAAATGCTCGAGCGAGACCACAAAAAAGACCTCGACGACGTCGATGCACGCATGGAATCCGGCTCAACAAGTCGCACAGAAGGGCACGAAGAGAAAGAAGAGCGCCGCCTCGAATTCGAAAAGAAACGCGACGACCTCCGCACTGCGTTCGCCATCTCTGATCCGGATCACCAGCAGAAGCGCGAAGTGCCGGATTACCTTGTTGATGGGATTACCTTTGAGATCATGCATGATCCGGTTGTGACGAATAACGGGAGGAGTTATGAGCGGGCGACGTTGATTGAGCACTTGAAGCGCAGTCCGACGGATCCGTTGACGAGGGAGCCGCTGAAGATTAGTGAGCTCAGGCCGAATTTGGCGCTCAAGGAGGCATGTCAGGAGTTTATCGAGAGCAACAGTGGGTGGATATATGACTGGTAAGGCTCGCTCTTATAAGATGCGCAGTTGTCGAGAGGTAGGTGTGGGCGGGGTGTGCTTAAACGGCTTTGACAGATCGTGACTGACATTTGTATAGTGAGGACGGTGAAGTAGACTCAGACAGTCGTTGGGCCCATCTCTCGCATGTCTAAGGTTGAAAGGGAAGCGATCCTATTTGCATCATCAGGAGTCCGGGAACTTTGTGTCAGTGTTTACGATGCATCTGAGCGCTTGTCGAATGACCCATCTTTTGGCCATATTGCTATATACCCTCGCAAAGCTCATCGCTGATTTCCAGTTTCTCAGAACATTGCTGAACGGTTTTTCCCTTGCTGACACGGTGTAGGCTAAACGCAACCTTGGAACTGCAAATGCGGGTTTTGATCCTTCCTGAACGTTAGCAACTCTTGCCGCCTCATCTGCGTCCTCCGTGTCCTTTACCTACTTAAGTCTTTCCCGAACGAGTCTTCGGTATACGCATTCGAATTTAGGACGCTCAAATCTTCACGAACGATACCTAAACACTTCTCTGCATGGCGCACCTTGTCGCGCCTGGAAGCGGGCACAGACCCCGCTATCTTAGCTGCTCGTGTCTCTTACAGGAAGCAAGCCTTGGAATTCTTCAGCATGACAACAGGCCAAAAGTTCGTCAAATGCGAGAACCTAACCATCGTCAACTTGGTCCACTTCGCATATGAGGAGTTCGTGAAACCAGACGCTGTACCAAAGCGCGCACTTCAAACACCACAAGTCTATCTAGGGCTTCGAGGATTCAGCAGTCAAAGGTGCGACTTCTGCAGCCTGGTCATTGACTGCTTGAAAGGTTACTCGGAGGGTAGCGTCAATCGGCTTAACTTAGCAAGGGAGTGGAGGGGCGACCAGTGTGCATATGAAGATTCCTTGTACGCTGCTGCTAAAAAAAACTGCCAATGTCGGACGTGAAGATTAGTATCGCTTTGTCGCAGTCGCAGTCAAACCCATTGACAGGGGAACCAGGAGAACTCGCAGATGTCGACGCGCTCGACATTCCCTTGGTCCAGGTTGGTCCGTGGCGGGGTAGAGGCGCAGAGGCCCACGAAGGACGTTGCTGATTCCCCTGTTCTACATTTCAATCTACTGCTGTGGGGTGAGTGTGCAAATGGATCTACCCCCTGTCACTGATATCTGTTTTGCTAACAGCTCTCGATGTATCTCAGCACGAGCGGTGTTAGTCGAATGTTTCCCCGTCGGAAGACGCTCCGAACATCTTTCGACTGTTCTTAATTCTCCCTTATGGTGGGCTTAACCAGTTAACTTTTGATGGCTTCTTCGCGACCACTATCACATGATCGAGCTATACAGTCGCCGTAATCTGACTTTTGCCTCCGATAAGCTTCCGGCTCTATCTGGCATTTGCATGCGACTTGCTGGGCATATTCCAATATCCTGGTGTTATGCAAAGTATCTTGCTGGGAGTTCGGATACAGATATTGTGATTGATTGATTGATTGATTGGTTTAATGTCCTATCTGAGTCTAAGACTATGGAAGACAAGAGGAGCAGTAGCTCCTCTGGTAATGCAAAGATTTATTTACATGATGTTGGGTTCAGTCAGAGGGATGGTGAGGGCTCAGGCCAAGAGCAAAGTTGCTAGAGGGATCAAAGTAATGCAAAACAAACAAACAAAGGAAAGGATGGGTTGTCAGATGGCAAAACTATGCCAAGTCTTCAGTGTGTTGTCCAAGATGCCACCTCCTTGTGCCAACCTTGGTCCTGCTTGTCATCCTGACATGGCTTGCAGCCAATAATAATCCACCCAGTCACACCTCATGGAACATCATGGAACCTCATGGAACCTCATGGAATCCCATGGAACCTCATGGAACCCCATGGAATCCCATGGAACA